TGGATCTCCTCTCCCCTTTCCCCTTATTCCTGGTACTGCGATTCCTTCCTATTGATTTGTGGAGGTTTTGCTTGCATTTGCTGGCGTTTGTTCTCTCCCTTTTTCTGGGATAGATGCTCTGAAGAAGAATATCTCCGACCCCTTCGACTTCCAACATGTTACACATACAAGCCCCAGCCAGCTCCCACCTTTGAATAACTGCCATCTCCATGATATAGTGACGGAATTCTCCGTCATTAGGGCCTCCCAGCGTCCTGGCAGCGAGCTGAAGGGAATCAGAGCCGAACGCTTGCATTCCGAAAACTCTTCCTCTGACAATATTTCCACCAACAATGATGCCATTCTGCGCACCTGGGACTCAAAGTTCCAACACTCTCATAGCCCCCCTCGATCACCTAATGCACGCACCTCACCTAACTCCCATTCCAATCTTCAATCAAACCGCAATTCTCGATCAGTAGAAAACTTTTCTCGCCCAGTGTCTCGCCTGTCCAGGCAACAATCATCCCCATCGATGATACCGCCTCCTCGATCGTCTTCAAAGCTGGCAACACCTGATATCCCTGAGCCATCACCTCAAACGATTGATGCCCTGCTTGGTCTTCATTCTACCTTTGTTGTTCCAGAAACAACGTACGATGATACACAAGAGCAACACCTCCCAAAGCTGGATCTGCCCAGCGTCTTCCCCGGTGTCGGAAACGCTATCACACCTGATGACGATGAGCCAGTAATGGCCCGCACACCGCCATCGAATATCCATACTTTTGATCTCGCAGATGTTCCAGAGGAGGACGAGACTGCGGCATCCCGCAATAGTGAGGCACGAAACTCCGTCCTTGCAACTTCGTCAGAACCTTTCCGCTTTGGACAGTCCACCCCAAGAGTGGACTTCGATAAACCTTTACCTGCAGTGCCTTTGTATAAACAACGCATCCAAGAGCCGCTTGGATCGCCTACGATCCCAGCACTTGCTGGAGATTCCGATGCAGCTTTTGCACAGAAGAAATGGGCATTGAACAAGCGGCGTTCGATATTGCAACGCCCAGCAGATGACTTGTCATGGGAGGATGACATCGATTATTGCTACGAGCATGCTGCAGAGTCAAATTCAAATTTCGATTGGCAACGCACTTCATTTGAAGAACTGGAAATGAGAGAGAGACTCGAGAGCCTGACTATTAGAGCAACCCCCGTGGCTGATTCCCCCAACGCCATTGGCACAGAAAAGTTTGCCGAACCCATTGATCTCCAGAATCAAGAGAGTCAGGATGCACCGGAACACAGTGACCGGCAAAGCATTAATGAGAACACCGCTACAGTGCCCCTTTTCATTGCTGCGAGTTATGATGTTAGCCCAATAACAGCGACCAGTCTTCTTCCATGCGTTCAAGTAGATCCGTTATCACAAGCCGATTACTTTAGAGCCGAGCATGTTCCAATCGTGGCAGCGCCCTTTGGAGATGACATGGTGTCAAATCAAGCCTATGACGAGTTGATTCCGGGCGGCCAAAAGATCAACGAACATTATCCCTTGTACTTCCCAACCCAGGTGGACGAGCCCGTCGATTCTTCCCGAGGAAGCTGCTCTCCAATCAGCAAGTGCAACTCACAGGAAAGCATTATCCTGTCCCGCGCGGCATCAGTCGCACGAAAGCATCGCTCATCGGTGTCCACAATCAGTGTTCCCGAGTTAGTGCATAGTTCGAACCGCAGCCACCCAGCCGTGGATCATGATTCCATGCCCTCTGCCGGTGAACAGCAAATGAAGAAAATTGCCTCCCGCCCACCCCCCATCGCCATTCATCAACGAAGTAAGAGCCTAGCGCGAGAGCTCACCCAGCGATCGGCGCCTATCTTGTCCGCAGATTCTGTGGATGGCTATAATTCTGAGGTCTCATCTGTCCCGAAGATGCCGTATCACGATCGCGCAAAGTCTGTATCCGCCTTGGATCTGTGCCAACCTACCTCTCCCGTCAAGACCAAGACCCCTGAGACTCGAAAGCGGTCTGCCACTGTAACCCGTGGCCCTAGTGGTCGGAAGGCTCGAAAGTCATACTCGCTTTTTCCCACCGCAGCTGCAGCGACTCCCGCCCCCGCATCGCGGTGAGAAAATGTAAACGCAGATCGAAGAAAGAAAAATAGCAAGTGGTGTTCCACCGTTGGCGATGTGTGCACTCTCGCTGACCGCTAATTAGTCTCTTGTGGTACTTTGGGAGAGGGGCCTCTTGGCCTATATTCCTCACCACCTGTACATTGCATCGCACAATTGTTTCCTTTTTAAACATCATCAGTTTTCCATTTTCCAATTTTGCTTGCGTCCACGCGAAAAAGCAAAAAAAGCTTTGTACCCCTATATAGATAGACGGCAGTTGGTTTGGTTGTTTTTCTCTCTCTTTTATTTCGCTCTCTCCTTTACTTGCCTTTGCAACTTCCTTCTCTTTCTCTTTCTCTGCCCAGTCGCGCCCCAAAAAAGTTTTGATGTATCGTCAATAAAAAGCTGGATCGTTTTTACTCTTTTCTCTTTTTTTTTGGTTTTCTACCCCATCCTTGCATATTGCTGGCATTTATGACATCATTTTCATTTCTCATCAACCTTGCACTCTATACTTCTCATCCTTATCCTCCCTCCTGCCTGCCTACCCTGCCTACCCTGCCTATCCTTTTCGCATTTCCTTTCTAAGTCCATACATATATGGCGAAGACATTCGTTTTGATAACTCACACTTCACATTTTATCTCATGAGCCCCACGACCTCATTTTGGTTTTTTGAGCTTTCACTCTGTTTGGGAAACAGCGTCTATATTACTTGATACACATTACTCATGTCTACATACATACACATCACATAATCATTCATATATATTCATATATATTTCTATATTTTTTTTCTTATTAGTTTTACTTCCCTCACTGTCATTCATTCTGGTGATATATCTATCATTCTTTTTTCCCCTTGTTTTCAGATTTCTTCCTTTTGTCAGTCAGCCTTCCACTTGGCATTTTACATTCCTTCTGCATGTTTCTTATTTATTCAACTTTCAACCTTTCCTTTTTCTCTCTTCTCTCTTTTGGCAAACGGCGGAGAAAAGGATGGGATGTAATTGGATGAGGTTGATGAGATGGTGGATTCTAATCCTTCGCTATTAACATAAAAAGAGGGGGGAAAGTGAGAGCAGACAAGAAGTCGAATGCTCTGCTTTTTCTTCTTTTCTTCTTTTTCTTTATATAACAAAAAACATTATGCTCACATTTTACATATAATATAGGCTGGAGGGATTCGTTTGATTTAGCTTGGGGTTAGTCGGCTTGATTGAATTTAACTTTTTTTCTTGGGTACCTACCTAATTCATTGAGGTCTTTTCAACTTCTGCATGCCCTCCCTTCTCCATGTGCCATATGTACAGTGTAGAGATAGGCACACATGTACGGGTGCACATCTATACCTCAAATGTAGGAGAACAAAAAAAAGAAAAAGAGATCTCATCCCCAATATCCAACCCGCACCGCCACGATCGCGAAATAAATACAACCTCACACGTCATGCGTCCTTCGGTCATATCTTGGAATGAAGAAGAAATGAAGTAAAGTAAAATTCATAAATTAACGAGAGTCATGAGGGGAGATGGAAGATGAAGACGAAGATGGAGAAGCGCAGATGGAGCTCCACATGTACAGTACACTATCTAGTACGCACGCCGATGGCATGTTATCTAGATCTGCTGTACTGTACATTACCCACCCCTACATAAAGACCGTTGCGTAACCGTCTAGCTCTAGATATCTAGATAGATATAATATATACCTGACATGGAGAAAATCGGGTTTCATTATCCATCCCCACGCGCCGTCTTGTTATTATTATGTTGGGGAGGGCGGGTTGGATTGGTTCGTTCCCTTCTACTACCTACTTACTACCAGCATGGCCGCTGGGTGGTTTGATCGAGCTCTTTTTTTGGCCTCAGTGGCCTAGCATATATTATGTATCGATACGGGCGTCAACGCTTCTGTCGATGGATGGCATTGAACATTGAAGCGAGAACAACCCCAGGTAGTTGGTTACTCTCCCTTTTTTGATTTCAACCGATAGATGATTTGTCCCCCTCAAAGTCCCGAATACTTACTTTCCACACTGGCTTTCGGCATTGGGGCTTTTTTTTTTTTTTTTTAGTTTTGCTTGTGTGGCGCAAAGCCGAGATTTTATATCTCATATTCCATATTCTTTCATTCTTTCAGAAACCATATGAGTATGTATGTTGGCGAAGATTGATTTTTTTTTGCAAAGCTACATAAATTGTTAATACTATGCCGGAACACTTATCTGTATATTATTTATACAACCCAGTTTTTAACTGCATTTTGCAAAAGGAGCAAGCGGATCTGGAAGGGGATTGTTCATTTCCAAGATGCAAGTCGATAGATATATGATGAGTATCACGAAAAGATAGCTAGATATGCTGCGGCGTAACTTCGTACAATACACTGCTAGCTAGTACTGGTTAGTTTGTGAAAGCCATATTCCATATTCCATATTCCACATGGAAGGCGGTCAGCGCACCAGCAGCTGAACATGCAAAGTTGTTGTTGAAAACCATTCAACTGACTGCCGAATAAATGAGAAAAACTCCGTGTCATATTTGATGAACGGTTGCGGATCACACACAGAGAGAGAGAGAGAATTGCTACTCCGCACTGTGCGTCGCTATGCAGCCTGGAACGCGGGTCTCGAGGGATTCGCTCGTTGGGTTGTTGGTTGAACGGAGCATGCGTGCCTCCCATCTAACAAACTAATAGGAAATGTTTCCTGGGAGCCGGGTGGAAAGCGTTTTTCGGATTGATTCTTTTTTTTTTTTTTTTTTTTTTTTGGCTAGACTCCTCCACATTTGGCCGCATCGCATATTTCAATTGTGGTTTGAGATAAAATGTGACGGTTCGATTTACATATGTGTACATTGAGTTGCAATCAGGATTTGTTTTCGATATCCATCCATGTGTAGGGCAAACCCCCCGTTATTTCGAACAATGCAAGACGTTGTATTGAATGCATGGAATCGAACTTTTTCCACGAGGCCATGTCATGTCATGTTGGAAAATGGTTCAACATGCCCTGTTCAAAAGGCCGAAGCACATCTATGATGCTTCTCTTATATCCCATTGCTGAAGTTACATTCATACCAAGAAATGAGGAACAAAATAGCGATCCGCCAGCTCAAGACGCCAATGGATCGATCTTCGTCCCATCCTTTCAAACAGTAGCGGACAAAGCAATGTTGAAGCTAGTCCAAGCGGGAAATGAATGCAACTTCACTCCGTATAGAATCGGTCAAAACCCGCATCTTAAAGCCATGACCGTTCCCACTTCCGTATGGTCTCGGTTATGGCGGTGCAAACTGTCATATCAACTCACTCCTGTCAGGCACACCTGGTCAAATACTACCTTATCTCTGTATGTGCTTGGGTAGTGCTGGCTGGGGAATATGACTTGAGTCAAAGAGTAAAGGAAAACAGGGCCGAAGCTTGAGATCTAAGGTTAGCACTACATGTGAACCCCTGCTGCTTCGACAAAGAGAGGGAGGGTCCGGATCTATTTCAAGCTGGTGTTGTGATCAACATGCAATGGCTTGACGCTACTTATAAGCAGGTATCTCGCCCAGGCATTGCAATTCCATTTCACTTCGCAGTGGGTGTGTGTTTTCTTAGTTGTCACTTCAACACTCCACTCATTTCACCTGGTCATCTACAACAATGCACCTCCATTTCCTCCTCCTCAGCACCCTAGGGGCGGCAATGGCCGTTTCCGCAACAGCAGATAGCAGTGGCAGCCACGAAATTCCATCCGCCGTTGTTCCCGAATGCCCAAGGAAAGGTAAGGTCGTATTCAACAAGTCGGTCCCGGAGGGAACGGAATTCCCATCGACTCAAGTCGACCTGTGTTACAGAACCAAAAGATCCGAGATTTCTCCCATGCTCCATCTGACATTCACGGCCTTCGACGAAAAGTACTTCTATTTCAATTCCAGTCAGGGAACCAACGACGACATCTGGAAGTACTCGGTGATGGAGGCGTTTATACAACTCGGCGATGAGCCACCCCAAACATACCTCGAATTTGAAGTAAATCCGAACAACGTCACCTACCAGTCGTTTATTTACAATCCTTCACGCGTGCGTGCAGAAAATGCGCCTATGGATCACGCTTTCATCTCTGATCCCTTCGGGGATGGGATGTTGGCGAAAACAACTCTCAATCGCCAAGACAAGACTTGGAAGTCGGAAGTTCAGATCCCGCTTGCGCTGTTTAACGCGCCCGAGGATCTTCGTGGTACACGCTGGAGAATGAATTTCTTCCGCACCATCACCAACCCGCAGACGTTCCCTGATCAGAAACTGGGGGCTTGGAGCCCGCCTAATGAGCCGAACTTTCATATGACACCTTTTTTTGGTCATGTGGCTTTTGTTTAGACGGGAGCAGTGGGATTTCCATTCACGCTCTTCTCAATATTCAACCGGAGGTATGCCGTACGCGTTGTTTTCATACTTGGCTTTCGATTCTCATGCAGGTACCTGCGATTCGTCTTGATGTATTTATATGGCCCACTTTGCTTAGATTGTTGCCAATCAGAGAAACTTGAACAGCCATCTGCTCGATCCAAGAAATCGGCTTTACGTAACATATCGTATTCCTTTCCACAAAACGTTCAACCATTTCTTGGTAGAGCAATTTCGATCGCGAAAAGACCCATGCGCCTGAACCACAGTCGCGCATCAAAGGGTATCACGCATCTTACCTATCTTCAAATGAACAAAATGCAAGGCACTTTGCATAAGCGTATCGTGGGAACAAAGGGATCTTAAGGGCCTATTTGCACTTACCTTTAATAAACAAAACAAAAGCCTAACAAAACAACAGAGGCTTTGAATTTGCTCAGTGAAAAAGAAATAGTCTGTGAGTTTTCTTTTTTTCTTTATCTTGCCTCTTTTCGGTAGGTCACTAAATTGCACCCGGCAAATGTGACCTTGTTTGTTAGCATTGGCAATCTCGTAAGTTCGAGTCTGATGCCTATTTTCCGCTTTGATCCTGTTGGTCCTTTTCTTACTCTGCTTCAAGAATCTCGCGCGGTGTTCTGCCATGACTGCGAATGTGAATTGTTTAGATAGATCCGTGCTTGAAGGATTTTGGCGAACGTGAGGGGTCAGCCATCAAAAGTATTGGGATGACAGACAATATTGCCGTTCCCATAGCAAGCCCCGTAGAAGACCTCACAAGGCAAGGTTGACATGAGTCCGGATCTGCGTGGGTTTCATTCGATCTATCACCCACCCGCGTTGGTATTGGGGGAACTCACCAGACTTCTATGGGTTATTGATCTTTTGAAGACAAAAAGGCGTTCAGAAAGAGTTGAATCGAACCTGAGCATTCCCCACAATTTGATAACCCAGCATCCCCATGTTGGATCCGCAAGGAGAGAAAACGGGTAACATCTCGCAAAGCCCAACTTCTTTTCGCATATCAGCGTAATGGCTAAGATTCTTCTCCAAACTTCTCCCATCTCATATCAACAGTTCTCTCTTCCCCTCATGCAGTCGGATAAAATAGCAGATAGTCCCGGAAATGGAAATGATACTAACCCGAAGGCGACTCAACAACAAAAAGTCTCGCCTAATTGTATCATTCTGAGGCCTGGTTAAAAAAGCCACCCATTCCCTTAGATTCTGAAGGTTCTTTCAAGATCGTTTTGCAACAGCGCGGAGGCATCAATGTCCCGCTAAAAGATGGCCCGCTTACGCAAAGGATTTCCAATTTTGCTCATGGTGCTGAAAGCTGTCATGCAGTTATGATCATACTTGTGTTGAATTCAAGGTGAGACTTTGCTCAACCTTCGGGGCTGATAGAAATAACAACTTCGGGGCATGGTTTGATGCTATAAACACTATTTACCCCACTTCTAACAGACTGTTTGAATTGTTATATATTAACTCCATGGTAATGGTGCTTGAAAGGTGGGCTGATGGCTCGCTATTGCATCTGGGAAGGTTCGATAGCCAACAGCTTGGATGCTCATCATTTGGGAACACATGTCAGAGGATTTCTTCCACTCGCATGGTTGGTTGGATGGATTGGGATGGTGTTATTGCCACCAACTCAGCAGAAATGTGAATGAAACACATTTGAGAGAAAACCCGATTACCTGGTCTGAGAAGGGCATAAAAGAGGCAGAAGTGGATTGTTTGAAGTCTGAAGAAAGTTTGCTGCTTCCGGCCTGACAAAGTTGGTGTGAGGCTAAAATCTCACAGCATTTTCCTTTTTACAATCTCAATCCTCCTTGATCATAGCGGTGCATCATTCGAGGAACCTGTGCTTGACAGTGCAATATTCTGGATACCGAATGTCTGCGCTCTGATTGTAATATTTCAGCAACCTTCCCGTAGTTATTGGTCCATATACTGGATGAATAACCAGTGGAATGCTTTGCCACATCACTCTTCCGAATGTGTGGGCTGCAGTGGCTTTATCGATATTGATACTAATATCAATATCAATATCATGGAATATGAACGCGGATACATCAGTTTGATAGGACTTGTAAATGGAACAAATGGTAGCCGATACCTGATAGTGGGCAGATACACAATGTATATGTCCACCAGCGGAATTATCCCGAGCTACCCCAGGTAAATCATATCAAAATGGGGTTTTTTTTTTTAATTCACGTGTGTTCTAAAGTTAATTCATATCTTTTGTTTCTGCACTGAAGTATGCAAGAAAGCTGAGGCAGTGCCTTGTGGCAACATCGATTCTGCCTCCCGCAGTACGCCTTGGTTGGGATGAGCCTTTCAAAAGCTGGATATGAACCACAAACCGATACGAGTTCTTACGGCCATTGCGTCTGAGCCCTGGTGTCGATGATTTGAGTTGCGATTTCGCTTGCAATAGCGAGGCTCAGTTCCGACCCTTGCTCATGATTCCGCCGAGCTTCTCACCAGGCAGCTATATATTTGACATGGGGGAAGAAAATGAGAAGAATATCGCCGTAGCTCACAACAGAGCTCTTTTGCAAATATCCAAAAGCTGCTTTTTTTCTTTTTTGCAGAGTCGGAAACAAATTCTTGCTGCGTCATCATATAGGGTCCCCTGAATGTTCTTTTCATTCGTGATCGCTGGTGTCAAAACTTCGCTCTGCGAACTTGAAATCACCAACATCGTCCTGCTATGGAAAGTCGCGTCGTCAAAAAACAGCTAATTTTCCGCTTTAATGGCCCGAATAGACCGCCTCGGCAATCTAAGGTGGAAAATGGCAAGTCAAAGGACACTGTCTATCATCCCCGCCGGCCCCATCGCAAGTCTCGAGCTGGCTGTTTGAATTGCAAGAAACGGCGGATCAAGGTATGTCCAATAGTTTTGGTCGTTTTGGACGTGGAAACATACTGATTTTCGCTTCAAGTGTGATGAGACAAAACCCGAGTGCCAAAAGTGCATGACGTACGGCGTAGGCTGCGATTACTCGACAACAATGGTTCAGCGACGTCAACCGATATTGCACGCGGGATCTCGTCAAATTGCACCCAGCCCACATCTTCTGCCTTCATCGATACAATTCTCGATGTCTGTGGCCGATTTAGCTGATAAGATCGAACGGGTCCTACAACTTGATGAGTCCACTGATAGGGCTTTCCTCCAGGTGATGAGTTCAATAAGCCATAGAACTGTGGAATTTTTCCATCACTTCATAACTATGGCCGCCCATGCGTCTTCGTCGTCTGATGCTCATAGACGAGTCATGAGTGGTAAAATGATTCAACTTGCTTTCCAGGTACAGATTACTTTACAATCGATTTCCTTCTTTGCCCATTCCCCTTGCAAACTACTAAATGTGTTTGCCCCTAGAACCCAAGCCTCATGCATGCCGTTTTTGGCGTTGCAGTAACACACCTCCGCCGTCTTCTGCCCTATGACAAATCCTATGCTATTGCCGCAGGGGTCCATTGGGAGCGTGCATTAAGACTTTACCGTAGGGAAATTTCAAAGCCAATTGACGAGCACAATATGGACCCTCTAATGTCGACTTGCATGTTATTGGGTACCATCATTTTCAGCCCGGAGGAGTGTAAACCAGATAGTTCTTGGGTGTTTTCATCGGATCCTACGCGGCTCTCGTGGCTGTTGGGCCAGTCCGGGCTTCGATATATCCTCGAGACCATCACCTTCCAGCAACTACGGCAAAGCATTTGGTTCGAAGCTTTCATGGAATCTGATGATGAGGATCACACATTCAACAATAACTCTCCGGGCCGGGAGGGACTGCACCCGGAGCTTGCAGAGCTGTGTGAGATCAACGAAACGACCACCGAAGAATCCAATCCATATCACTGGCCACTCCGAATGCTCAGCCCCATGCTGCCTCTCAAAGCGGACAGAAACAACTTTGCGAAACTCATCCCCTTCATTGGGAGACTCTATCCCGCATACACCAAGCTCCTACAGGAGAAGGATCCCAGGGCGCTCCTCATACTAAGTTATTGGCTTGGGAAACTGTGCGAGGAGAAGCAATGGTGGACATACACCAAAGTTTCTTCCGAGTGCTTCGCAATTTGCATGTACCTTGAACATAAGGAGGACCCTCGAATTTTGAAATTGCTTCAGTATCCCGCGGAGAAATGTGGTTATGTCTTGAACTATGTCCTCAAAGATATAATTGCGCAAGAAAACGAGGGCCTCGTTTATTTCCCCTGAAACAGTGACTGGAAAATGCAGGGAGCAGCACAACCTGGAAATGTCATTACGTGCTGCGAAATCGATATTGTAAACATGCACTACAGATGTCACAGAACCTCAAATAATTGATCTTGATACTCTTGAACGAGAAATTCGGAGAGCACTTCTAATTCTAGCTCCGGAATTCGATTAGCTTCGTGGCATCGGAATGAGTAGGATTTTAGAAGGGCGATTTTAGGTCACTACTATCATGAAAGAGCGCTTCCCTAGGTTTTTCTTAATTTCCTATTCCTATTTCCCTCCTTTCGAATCCTCGCTACTTTTTCAATATATGATATTTCCAATTAGTGCATAAGGCTCCAATCATTCCTCAACCATAAACAGAAGATAATCGCAATATGTTACCGGCTCGAAGCAACTCTATGAGATAACTGAAGAACCTTTGATATTTGGAATTTTGTATGCCACATCTTGAATGATTTAACTATCCACCAAAACAACTTCCAGTTTATAGATGCGTTTATTTCTTCCGCCATCGTGAAGTGAATGGGTGTTTCTGAATTACCCAAGCCTTGTGGAGCTTATTACTGCTATTCATAGAAATAATTTCCCTGCCCTGAGCCCGCCTAGGTTCAATATATAAAAGCCGGGTTTATCTATTTACATTAGCTTTCCCATAACCCTTTTCGTATACTACGTACACATACTTTCTCAAGACCTCCATTTTCTTGAACTTTCTCCCATCTGTAATCACTTCATCCCTTTAACCTCAGGCAATGCACCCCGAGCCTTCAACTCACAAAACCACAGCTCCTCCTCCGCAAACATCCAGAGCCCCTCCTTACCAAAGCAGAAATTTGCTGTAGTACTCCCAACGACGATCTTCCCCACCAAATGTCCCTTGGGGTCCCACACGTGCACACCATCCCCACACCCAGAGTATACAAACCCCTTCTCATCACACTTAATCCCATCCGGTACGCCATTATCACAATAGGCAAACAGCCGCCGATTTGCCAAATGAGTTGCCCCATCCACTACATCATAAACATAGATAGAAGCCGGTGACGTCCCGCAGAACGAGAAATTATGTCCATCCCCTATATGGCCATGACTCTGTATCGCACCTGTATCCGTGATGTACATGAGGGTGTAGTCTGGATTGAAACAAAGGCCATTGCACATACTGAAGCCATCGGCGACAACCCAGCATTGGCATGTTGAGGGCCGGAAGCAGTACACTTGTTTGGGCAGCTCGGGAACGGGGCGGAATGCCTGCTCGAACCCATATGTCGGATCCGTGAACCATATGTCTCCCGTCCCATGGTGAACGACGACGTCGTTGATCGAAGAGAATTCACGGCCGTGGAAGTTATTTATCAGAGTGTCTGCGGTGCCGTAGACGGGGTCGACCAGGGTGAGGGCAGAGGGCTTGCCGTTGCCACCACCAGTATCCATGTTGCCCTGGGCGCAGTAGAGGATTTTGCCCTGGTAATTACAGGCGCCATTGGGCTGGCTGACGATGTCAAAGCCTGGCTTATCGGTGAGCTTCTCAATCTGCCAGGTGTCGGCTGTTATGGCATAGAGGTCGATTCTGGGGTCGCTGGTCTGGTAGTTTGAGGTGAAGTAGATACTGTTTGTGCCTGGGATGTATACTCCGGCTTCATGGGCGAATTTATCCTTCGTGTCTTTGCGGGACGAGACGAGGGATAACCGGGCATTGAGACCGAGCACATCGTTAATGAATTTGTCCGAGTAAACAACAAATGAGGGAGCGGAGCTGAAGGACCGGGCATAAGAGCTGTCGGTTGCCGCCCGTTTAGCGTCAAAATATGCAATCTTGGTGGTGGAGGCGAGGGCTGGAGGGTGCATCGCGGCCAGTATTACGGTTTGGTTCTTCGAAAAATATACTGAGCAATAACGCTGTGTCTTCAGCGATGATTACGGATTTCTAATGGGGGTTGTTAGATGAGTCCAAGCGTTGGGAAGTTGCCAACATGAAGAAACGGTTGCCCCGCGCTCACAGAGTTCCTGTCGTGGAACAATGGATCCAAAATGTCAAGCTGAATTTTGAGTTGCCGACACGAAATCCTGACAATATTTGTGGAAGAAGGCTGATATCAGTTTTCCGTTTGGTGGTCTTCCCGCAATAGTTTGGAGGCTACGTAGAGATATGGAATCCGGCGTGATCCGGCTATGAATAGAACGGATTGAACCAAACTTCATCTCTTCATTCATTCCAATTACCTATACATAGATATAACGTAGAGCAAGCAAATAAAGGAGATCAATAGAGATCCCTAGTTTGAAATCCGAGAAAAGGAGAAGTACAGTATATTGCACCTGGAAGGATAGACGCAGAATGATAAAATAGTAAAGACAAGTGATGAATGGATATGGGAATTCAAACCAGTAGGAAAGTGATACCGCACTGAACGCACCATAAAGGACACCGATGCATGTTTCTTAAAAACATATAGTTAGGGAAACAAACAAATAGACCAGCTGAAAAGAGGCCATGGAAAGGGGGCGACAAGAAAATACGAAACGGAATATCAGCTGATGAGAGAAAATTAAACGTTCTGAGTATATATAGTGATTCGTGTGCTGGAGATAGTGGCAGAGTGGTCCTTTTCAGATCCCGAGAGCTGAGAATCGTTTTTGAGTCACAGTGGATAGAAGCTGCAACATATCAACTAGTCCCCGCTGATGTTGGTGCCGTGGAAATTTTGGTGCACACAGAACGCTTACTCTTCATCTTCATCCTCATCCGCGCGATCCTTCATCTCCGTATCTTTATCCCCACTACTAGCACGGTCCATGGCCTCGTCACCACTTTTCTCCTCAAAAAGATCATCCTCGTCATTTGGCTCCTCATCCAGCGAGGCAGGGTGAGCTTTCTTCCCTGCACTCTCCCCTTCACTTTCCCCTTCTTCATCCTCATCATCCTCAATGCGAAGATTCAACTTTGTCCGCCGCCGTCGCACAACAGCATCAGCATCCTTGTCCTCATCCACAGAAACCCTTCCAGCAGCAGTATCACGCATATCATCATCCTCGTCACGATCCGAAACGGGTGAACCAGCATCACGACTAGCCCCATTCGCTCCCCTAGTCCCAGCTCCTGCGCCTTCTTCGTCTTCCTCACTCTCAGACTCAACCACAATCTCACTACTTTTATACTTACTAGATTTAGTAGTGGACCGTCTCTCCAGCCGTCTCCGTTTCCGCGGCGCGGGGTGATCTTCTGCGTCAGATTCCAGCTCACTCTCTGGGCCCGTACTCCGATCCTTAGACTTCCTCCCTGCCGCACCACTATCGTCCCCAGCATCCTTTTTCTTCCGCTTACTTGCCGCCGCCTTCTTCTTTCTTTTCACCTTATCCCCGGTCTCGGAGTCAGTGGTATACTCTGCTTCTTCCCTAGCCCGCTCTTCCTCTGCACGTATCGCAGCAAGGCGCTGCGCTTCCTCAATTAGCCGCTGCCGGTCCTCAGCAATCTGTCTCTTCCGTTCCAACTCAGCCTCCTCCACCTTCCGCTTCTCCTCTTCGCGCCTCCTCAATTCAGTCTCCCGCGCCTCCCGCGCCTGCTGTAACTTCGTGGCGTTCTTCTCCTCGTATTCCCCCTGGCTCTGTAGCGTCCGCTCCAGCTTTCTGCGGATGGTATTTTTGCCCATGTTCGCGCGCTGCTCCAAAGAGCCGCGGGGGTAAGGTGGATGCTTGGCTTTCGCAATTTGGCTGAAGGTGTTGATCGCCTCATCAAGCCCGTCGGAAGCGATTTGGACGTCTTGGAGCGACTTTTGGGTTTCCGGGAGAGAGACTACCAGTTGCGCTATCTGGTTTTGGACGAAAGCGACGTTAAATTCAAGGTGGATTTGTTCGGGGGCAATGGCGCGAGCGCGTTGGGTACAGTCCAGGGCGGTATTCATAGCCACCAGGTTCATTTCTTGCATTCCTTTCAAGAGCCAGACACGGCCGAGGCAGGCTAGAATTTGGGTGTCGCGTTGTCTATCCTTGGAGAGAGCGGCTTCGTACTAGAGTTAGGTTAGTAAACATCGAACATGGCAAATTGTTCTTTTCCTTTTCTATTCTTAGGTTAAACCACTTACGTTCTCAATGGACTTAGAAAATTGTCTAAGCTCAGCATACACATGTCCAAGATTAAGGTAGACGCTCGCGTCGCGCAGCGTGTCTCGAATGCGTGAGAAGATCTGTACCGCAGTCGTGTAATCCTTTCTATCATCAACCAATGCAATAGCAATCCCCTGCGCCGCATAGGCATTCTTTGGATCAAGTTGTAGCGCCTTATCAAAGAACTCCACAGCCTTCTCGTACATCTTTCTTCGTTTCTCTCTATCCTGCTCCGTATCGCGCCTCATGTCTCGAGCGGCAAGGAGGTAGATATTGCCCATTCCCGTAAGCGAGTACCTGTCATGTTTATCATATCCCTGAAGTGTATGTTTGTAGTGACGTTGTTCGTGGTCTTCGGCGATATTTGCTACCCTTCTCTTCGATTTGCTTAGGTACCAGCCAAACAGAGCACGGACTTCAAGATTTGTAGACTCTAGTTCATATAATTTGGCCATTTTCTTAGGTCCTTCGTCTGTTGGGCTTTGGCGGAGAGCGATATATGTCAATCGGGCATTGGCTTCGGTGTAATCACTATGCCTTTCCAGAAGACCTTCATATACCTTTTTGGCTTCCTCGGGCATGGACGCGGCCTCATAAGTTCTGGCGAGATTATAACTGATTGTGGTAACAAGAGCATCGGTGTCGGCCGAATCATCTCTGTCACGAGATTTCACGCAAGCATTGAGGGCTGTCTGGAACATATTCCGTGCAAGTTCTATCTTCTCAGAATGATACAAGAAGCAGCCCATATTGTTCAGCAGCTGAGGTGCCAAATGTTCCCGGAGGAGGTTCGTTGTTGTCTCCTCATCCTCAATATCCTCGGGCCGCTCGGTATCCGGTATCTGAGCCAGCTGCATCTGCTCGACATGCTGCAGACACTGCATGCTCTTCTCCGGCGAACCACTCTCGTACAGTCGTGCAAGATAAAGTAAAACAGACTCATCAGGCGAAAGTTTTTTCTTCTCATCTTTCCACGACGCACGCACGGACTCGAGGAGGCTCGTGGCTTTCTTCACTTCAGCGGACTTGTCCTCTTTGAGCGGGCTAGACTGGGCTGCAAACACTTCCTCAGCAAAGAGAGCGCCAAGCAGGGTCATCGACTCTGGATTCTTCGTCTGCTGAATAATCTTTTCCAGACGAAATTTGGCCCCATCATAGTCACCGGTCCTCACTTGCATTTGCACAGCGCCGAATTTCGCCGGCAGGTACCCTCTATCCCCACCACCTCGGGCCTGGTCTGACCGGCTGTAATACTCGTTGGCTCTTGCAGAGTTGCCCTCAAAGTGTTCCTTTCGCGCGAGTAAATACCATCCATCACTAGCAATCGCGTTAACATCAGTGAGTTCAATCGCCTTGCGGGCTAGCGCTTCGACAGTTGGGAAATGTTTTCGGAGTAAGAAATAGCCGCCAAACATGGAACAGGTCATGGGATATTCCTTGTCCACTTTGAATGCTTTCTGCGTGTACTGCGTCATGGCTATTTTGTACAACGAGCCGAAAGCCGGGTCGTTGGTTGCGTGCCGAGAGCTGTCATAGAGATAGTAAGCTCCCAGAAGGATATTGGCAACTTTGGATTCCGGATTCTGCACCGTCGAGCAGATTTATTAGCGAAGCGACTTCCCCATGGCTTATAATCAATAAAAATGAAGCTAGAGGACAGGAATAACCAACCAGAGCTAAAGCACGAGTCCAAGCAGCTTTCGCTTGCTCCTTGAAGTCTAGTTGCCAGAGACAGCAACCAATTCCAATCCGGGGATCAGGATCTCTCATATTCGGCATTTTTATCAGAACCTCCTGATAACCCTCCAGTGCCTCCGCATATCTACCTAACATATACTGTGCCCTCGCCCTCCCGAGAATGGCCATAACATTCCGGTTACCGAACGATTTCGCCGACTCATCGAAACATTTCAAGGCCTGGCGCAAGGTCTCTACCCGTTCCGAAGTATCGACCGTCCCGGGTCTAAGAGCCTTGGCGGGGGGCTGTAAGGAAGCGCGCAAGATCGATAGAACGCCCCGTGCGAGGAAAAGGGAAGGGTATGCGGGATTTAATCGCGACGCCTCGTTTAGAGTCGAGGTAGCCGCCTGGAGATAGTAATCTTTAGTCTTCGCTTCGGACACCAGCTGGCCTCCCGGCGCGACGCGGGGGGCCTCTCTGCTCTTTCGCATATATAGCCAACATATCCATCCTAGGAGGCCGAGCTTCTCCTTCGTCACGCCCTGCGCGAGGGACGAGAGACCGCGATTGAGGATGTCGATGGCATGATCGATCTGGTTTTGTTTCGCGTATGCAAGCGCAATGATAACCCAGAAGTTCTTCGCGGCTTTTTCGTTGTCGAGGAGTGTGCAGAGCTCGGTGGGATCGTCAGGAAGCTCTTCGAGACTGATTTCGACCTCACTATCGAATGTGGAGGCGGGGATGTCGATGGCAGAGGGGATATCGGAGAAACGGTAGTGTGTTAGGATGCCCTGCTCCGTGAGCGAGCCGTTGGTATATCCATTTTGGACAGTTGCCATGGTTGAAGACGTTCGGTTCGGAGACTAAAGGTAAAGAGAGGGACTGATGCAGAGGGAACAAATGAGAGCCGGTTTCGGCAAGGTCTAAATCATTATCAATGACGAAGGGCTCTTAGAAAGAGTTGCACTACAGGAAAATGCAATGGTATCAGAAGACTACCCTGCATGCCACAAATGAAAGGAGTATGTGCAGCGGTGCATGAGTTGAATGCGGAGTGCTTCCTTCATTGTCCATCGATGCTGACTTTTGTCCGCCGTCAAAAGTTGGAGCTGTGGCTGGTGACCGCCCAGCCACATACACGTGACCTCAAGGTTGGTTCCAAGGTTTAAAACCAGGAGTTGGCACAATGCATGCACGAAGGAGTGCCCATTGATATAAATAAATAATAATGTGAAAGTTTCCTAAACGATCCTTGTACTGGCCTATCCAAATAAGTAAAAAAAGGAAAATTAAGGACCCGAACGAAACACCCCAACAAAGCAGGTTCTTTCCAAAAAGAATACTAATAGTTCCGTCCAACAAGGGTATACCCCACCAGCCCATCACGTCATGATAAAACAAAAGTAAATCAAATAGTAGCGGAAAACGAGACAGTTACATTAAGACCCAATTCTCCAAAATCTAGAAAATAAGCAGAAGAAAGCGCCAAGACCAGCAAGAGCCGCAAAAATCTGCAGCGACTCGCCCCACCATGACAGCTTAACGGCAGACTCAAAATAGCTTGGGTTACCAGGTATGACATCCTGGTTTTGCTTGTGCGCATCACCGTTTGAAGAGGATACCCACTCGCAGGGAGGGAACCGGCCCGTTTCGTAAAACCGCTCGAGCAAGTCGTCCTTCTCGATCCAACGCTTGTGCACCCATGCGTCGAACTCTTTTTGGTCATCCAGGGGGATTTCGGAAACGGCAAAGCGTCTCCAATAAAAGTTCACGACCTTGGGAGGGCGGCCTTGTAGATACGTCGAGCGAATGGTGAAGTAGGCGTCTGGATAGCTGCCCTTTCTATAATGTACGTATTGTTGTTAGCTCCTTTCCTCTTGTTTTCAATATATATATCTATTGAAATGGGTCTTACGGTGGCCCCTCATAGCCAACTGTACAATCGTACACCCAATCAACAGTCCCCTTGAGCTGTTGCAAACAGAAAAACAAGCCCGTTGAACGTGGTAGAATCTGATGACGCAACGGCGGGATCCCTTGCTTCGCACCATATCCGTCGCTGATCCGTTTCGTGTTCCGTGACAGGTTCGTCCCTTCGGGAAAAATCAGGAGCCACATCGGGTCCAGAAGCAGTGAGCCGGGTCTGGGACCACCATGGGCGGTTTTCAGTTTCTCGAGACGATGCTGCAGCCGAGGCTTATCCGCAATCCACTTCCTCGCCATGAAAATGAAGCCGTAGAACATCATTCCCTGGCCGATCAGGGGGATATATTTCAGTGACTCTTTGAGTATGATGTAGATATGCCCATGCATCTGGGAGGTGTATGAGAACCACCACAGGTACAGCCAATCGGTGTAGACCTGATGGTTAGCAATCAGGACCATCCGTTCGGGAAAGTTTGTTTTCAACTTCCCGTCCTTTGTTATGAAGAACTGGCCTTGTACACTCTTGTCTCCACTAACCCTGATTGGTGTTGGGCAGAACCACTCCGTCAAAGCAGTTATGGCGATGCCAAAAGAGCGCTTCGTCATGGCCATGTAGGCGTTGAAGTACTGGCGGTTGATGAAGTAGAGTGGAGCGCCCGCGAGCTGGGTAGCGACGATGCAGACGCAGCAGCAGTTGAACCAGGCTAGAAGAGCTAGGCTGCGGAGGATTTGAATCGTGAGGCCATAGTTTGCTGCTGGACGTTGATGGGCATGGCCCAGCACCTCTTTAGAAACACCATCCATGCTGTCTGTGGGAGCTTTGGGAAGTCGTCCTTGGCGTTATATGAACCAGATAAAGATACGTCGTGAAGCGGACAGAGATCAGTAAACGATAGTTGGATCACGAGCTAATGATAAAGGCCAGGCAAGGATCGGGAGTCGGGCCTTGGAAACAAGGTTTGTCAGGACAAGATGTCGGTGAGAGCTCCTAGTTATTTAGTTATGCTGGTAGTCTAATGTAGGCTGGGGGATGACCAATTTACTCGATCTTGACGCTTAGATAAAACAAGGTCACCACATAGAGCGCTCAGATGCAGAGGAGCAGTGAACAAGACACAGTGTAGTATGAGATTGCATACACATGGTTTGAAGAATATTTAAGAATAACAATAGAGAATATAATTGAAAGCGTGCTAGATGCTGGGGCCTGGATGTATTCGGATGTGTAGCCTTGGTTAGCTTCATGGAGCTTGTCAGGGCCGCCGCCGCACGTGATTATATAACTAACGGTTAACTAACTAACTAACTAACTAACTAATTATAGTTAGTTAATACAGTCTTGGCTGTCAAATTATGTCAGCAGTTTTTGTCCATCCAGGTTCTAGTTAACTTTAGTAACTATACAACTCTTTGTGCTGGATGCCAGATTTGCAATTACACAGACGGGAGGTTAGATGAATCCAGCTATCGCCAAACTCGAAGAGTGCAACCTTGCAGAAATTGAGACTCCTCATTGAGGAAATGTTAAAACGAAGGTGTTCATGCAAGGTCAACCTGCAAAAGGGTAACTGATGCTTTTATTGTGGACACCAATCAACATCACCATCCCATTCTCTTATCACCACCATGTGGAAATATATCTATGATGATCAATCTCATTACAGAATAGATTTTTATCATCAATGTCTACCACACATTTTCTGTGGTCATCAGCTGAAATATACTCATGGTGACTGTCAACACAAGAACATTATGATTCAGAGTGAACCTAAGCAGACAACTGCCAGTAATCATGCTTTAGAGATTGTCATTCTTGACTGAGAGAAGTCTGATTGATATCCTAGTTGCTGGGAGTACTGTATAGCTGTCTGTGCAGTAGATTGAGATGATGAGTGGGGCGTATGGATTGTGAAATTTCTAGATCCATTTATATCTGAAGTTTCCTGGCTGCAAATGCTATGCTCAGAGGTTGGCTCCCTGAGAGCAAGATAGGTTTCAGAACCACGCCTGTTGTGTCCCCAGCATGGTCAGCACAGACGGCCCGTAGCCCATTTAGGCTATCTCGCGTTCATCTACAAATCCAATCACGCCCACATTCTCTTCCTGGTCAGAACGCTTTCATTACTCTATTATCCATCTATATGTTTGCAGTCTCCACCTCTACCATGTCAAGAGCATATACTCATAGAAATTCCAATTACAGGAACTTTCCCCTTCATTATTTCTACTACTTTTGGTGCAAAGTGTCATAAATTAATCACATTAGGAGGCCCCAAATCTCCACTTCTTTAAGAATATGGGTTTAGTGGGTGGCGGCAGCCTGTAAGACCACAAGTGGCCTTACATTTTTATATCGAACAGTTTTGCACGGCCTAGGCACTGTTACTATGTGAGTTGCAATTCCTTGTCTTTTTTCAGACTCTTCTAATATATTTTCGTAAAGCATACCTCCAAAGCTTCCCACCGAGTGCTTCCAGGGTACAATGAAATGATCCAGGATACAGCATATAATCTTGAGGTCCGCTTACAACGAATCGATAAGGAAATGATGCATCCTATTGTTGAAAACACATATACCTCAGTCATACATAAGTGTAGCCCAGGGCTTTACTACGTTCACTTTGTGATCCGTTTTCCAATGTTATTTCATATGCGGCAAGGGCCAAGTGTATGGCAAGGGTGATATGCCGCATCTTATTCGTGAATACCAATAGTAATTAATGAACAATATTTCCAATTTTATGACTAGCAACCATGTCGATCTTAACATAAATCTTCATCATGTCTCGAAACAGAAACCATGCGCGGTCATTGCCAATGCTATCCAAGGAGGCTAGCCCACCAGCTGCCACACAAACGCCAGAACGGCCACCAAACAAGTAAAGGTAAGAAGCAAATTTTTTAAAACCGTCTCTTTATGTCTTTGGAGCGCATTTTCAACTTTCTTCTGAAACCCCGCCGAGTCGTTTCTTCTGGGAAACGGTTGGCCGTGCGGAACCTCCTTTCCTAAGAATTTGCACAACGGTTCCCAACCGTCTTCAACTTTCCACTCCAGCAACCGCTCCGGTGGAACAAGGCCTCGGATCATCGCAGAATGCTCTCGATTTATCCACTTCCCGCAGTTGCCCAATCCCGAATGCAAGGAAGAGTCAGAGCACCTGAAGAGTCGCATCAAAAGAAACCGCTGATACACATGCCAACTCCACCACAACTTCCTGCTGAACCAAGAAAACAACCATAAAACCCAGCTGTCGTCTACCTCGTGACAGAGATTCTTGATGGCGCTTGCATGCCATTTATCCAGGTCGCCTCGAACGTTAAGAATGACTTTGGCGTCGGGATAGGCAGCAATTATTTCTGCGGCGAAACATGATGCTGCAGCGTCTGTGACAGCCACGCTATGGCCGAGCAGTGCGTCAAATTCAGCTGCTGTGATGGTGCAGTCTCCGTCACCGTGTGGGTTGTGCCACTTTTTGCGAGCGAGCCTGACCCAGGCTTGAATGTTCAAGGGTTCTTCGAAGAGGATATCCCAGCCCTATCGAGGTCGGCCGCAAAATGTGCACGCAGTGACGTTAGTATTTCCGGAACATGAGCGTCAAGAGAAGCGCAAAGAGCTATGCACAGAGGTGATAACCTCCGGCCCAGCTGAGAAGACAGGGATATAACAGGTTTGATAGGGTCGCACATGGTATGTATAATCGTATCCGAGCATTAATAGGGCATGCTGCAACGATTCAGTCCCACTACGAGGATACCCAACGCACAGAACTTCCATAGGCTTAGTTCGAACACGCGGAGGGGGTTCGGGAAACGAATAGAACCATTCGCAGAAGCGCCAGAACAGGCTATTCATACCCATGGTGGTGGGGCTGGAAAAGGCGGCAGGTGTGTATTTTTACGTATTTATTTATGTGCTTGATGGCCCACTGATATACCTCAGAATATAAGATTGAACTGGGTCGCTGATTCCCTGGCCTTCTCCAGAACCCTTTTATATGCAAATTCTATCCCCTCACGACTGGGCATCACAAAGGATCTCCGCCTTCAAAGCTGAAAAGAGCTCTGAGTAAGGGACGGACTAGTTCCCAAAGCTGAACAACCCTTCGCCCAATTGTTGGCTCCGGTGCCGAGACCCTTTCCCCATAAGCTGATCGTTGATGTGTTTCACCACTTTCTTGTTCATGCCACATCCTTGTTAACTCGCCGGATGATATTCGACTCCATGTTGTCGTCTCGATATCCTATTCCCTCGTCGAATTAGTTTGGAATGATCGGCATAAGAGAGAGCAAGGGACTGTTATAATTCCAATCTACCCTGGGCACTCCGCTACCATTACCCATGCTGGCTGAGGGGCAAAAACGCCGGCCCTGAAGGGCACCACTGGCCGCGAGATTATTCGGTAATTTGTTTTATGTCTGGCAACCCAGTCTTTTAGCGCTCTTGTGGAGGCTGAGATAAGCTCCGCCACGCCGAGTGAAGGCTAGGAAAAAGTATGATAGCGATCGCAATAAGATAGCTTTTGTATCTAGATCAAAGCTACCTCGGGCTCTGAGGAATTACAGAGCCTTTTATACTGTAGGTCTGCTGCTGTCTAATATTGCTATTTATAGATATACTTTCGGATAGAGAGTAGTTTATAATATAATCAACAATTTTTTATTATATATATATATATATATATATATTGGTTGTGAATGAAGAGTGTGATGAAGAAGCTATTTGATAGATGGTGTTACTGGTGGTAACTGAACTCCGTTGCCCCAGTAGCCCACTGCGAGGATATATCGTAGTTAATAATAGTTATTCCGCAGAGTGTGGTTTTTCGAAGCGATCCATTCTCCCCTTTCACTTTCACTCATACCCTAGCCCAAAATTGTTTGCCTAAACTAGAAATCTTAAGTGCGCCTGGAGATGGAGTTATGCAGCGTTGAGCTTGTACCCGCTGCGTTGGAGGGTCCCAGTCTTTTCGCTGCTCGCTGAACGCCATTATTCATTCGGGTCACAAAAAATGGCACATCAAAGTAACCTCTAGATGAATGCCCGGCTGGCCAAAAAAGAAGAAAATTCGAGAGACGTCTGGAGTTTGAAGTTTTCACTTCACACATCGATTTCGGCTTCCTTCCAACCCTCCTCGACAATACTATCATAGAGATAGAGTTGATACCCGTGACAAAACTGAGGCTCCAAAATCCTTGTTCAGAAATACCTCCCTTAAAGACGGGTTCAAGTATTATTTTGACCTCGGGAAACAGTTTCGCTGAAATGGCCAGCGAATTAAGTTTCACTGTTCACGAGGATCCTTTGAGAGTGACATACCCTTATATTGAGGATCTATCAGTGCCAACAAGATGGCTGATGGATATCCAGACAAAATGTGAAATTCAAAACGTGGTACCCTGGGTTTCTGGAGTTCAGCTTAAAAATGGCGAGAGCTGGTACGACTACAAAGAGATCGATAGGCCTTTCTCCTCCCCAAGAGATAGCGCGGTTCTTCAGTGAGAAAAACAAAATCTTAAGTTGTTTCGCGGTACATCAAGCGTTGTGCAGCTAGTTGCTGTTATTATCTCAAAAAACCCTTATTCGACGACAGATCAGGATTATAGCCCACCTGTTATGCGAGGCATTCTGTTGGATTACCCTTCGGAAGGGACATTGGAGCAGGCTCTGAAGGCGACAGATGGAAGCAATCACCCGTGGCGCAGATGGGCGCTACAGATTGCTGATGCCCTTTACCGGCTTCGTCCCAGCAATAATACACATATGGATCTGAAGCCTTCGAACGTTGTGATTGTTAAAGGAATGCCGTTCTAATTGATATAAGTGGTATCGGAGGGGTCACGCATGAATGGCTGGCGCCAGAGATACGGGAAATATTGGATCCTCTCTCTTCACCTTTTGAAATGCGCTAGAGAAATGATATCTGGGCGTACGGTCAATTGCTATCGGCTATGGCAGAGCTTAATAGCAACAGTTGAGAGAAGCAGCTAATGAAGGGGGTTGCAGTGGCTGTAGCAAAAAGCCCTGGATTGTCATTGGGTCTATCTTGCATCATTGAAAAACTCAGCCCTACGGCCAAGGCACTAGCCAAGTAAACGGTGTCTTTGCGGCCTCTCCCAGCTCATAGATAGATATGAAGATATGAATGGCTGAAGGTACTGATACAGCAAATATAGAACAGTGGCAGAATCAGCAGCACAGCAGATACAAAAAACTTTTGCTGTATCATCAATGAGGCAGTTGATCGTCCAGCACCCATATCTGCAGGCGGTTTTTCATCACGGAAGGAACTGTGTGAGGGTTTAGTTATGGGTGGAATCCCAAAACTTTCTCTTGGCAGAATCCTTGATAATTTAAGCTCTCAATAACATGCAGGCCAGTTTGTTGGGAACTACAATGGGAGGAAAACAGAGAATGTGTTAAGCATTGTCCATTACACATGCAACGATCCAAATGCTTTCAGTTGGATATGCTAGTCCGATTTGGAGCACTAAAAGCGCGATGCCGTGCTGAAGCTTTAGGTGATATATTTTGACAGAGCAGATAGATATATTCAGGAGTGGCGAGGGGGCCCGCATATGGTTAGGTTCTTGAAACATGGTCCTTTGAATAATCCATAGAAAATCTATTCAAAACAATTGGTCGTTCTTTGTTTTGCCTAAATTCGTGTCTCTGTAAGAACAATTCTGATATATAAAGGGAACCTAGAAATGCCGGAATTGTAGGAGAAGCATTTCGGAATCACCCTTGGTGTGCTATTTTCGAGGCTGGGGAGTCACAACGAATGAGGTTGCGAAATAGTCCGATATAGGCAGAAACTTTCCAGCTGATTCACAGTGCTATCTGGCTCCACCCTCCAATGAGAGGAGCTTCATCAGAAGTTGGTGATTATCTCACTCCAAAGTGCGTCCTGAGAGATGCCCAAACTATGTTTTGTCATGTCCTCCACCTGGCTACACGGGTCAACTCCAAGCGGTCAGAGTGGAGGTCTTGTTAGGAAAGAAGGAAACCAGATTGATTTCATCTGTTCCGGTACTGAAGTGGGGGCAGATTTTCCAAAGTTGACAATCACTATCCATCGGGAATCAAATCCAGGTCTGCCTAAAACGAGCACATTCCTCGGGAATAGCTCCCTATGCTCAAGATTATATACGTAGAGCAGGGACTCAGCGTCGATCACTTCTTTCATAATGGTCAGGCGTTCTGCCTGTAGGCTATGTGCTGGATCAAGGTCCTGTACGGAGACCCTGGGAACCATTTCAATTAGAGTTAGTCGAAGGAAACGAGAAGCTGTTCGGCTGTGACACAATTCAAGAGAGAATGAACCACGAACTTGGGTATTACTGTTCCTTGAAACTCAGACAGAATTCTGGATGCTGCGGTCCCATGCAAGTAATCACGATCGACACAGAAAAATGGGTAAGCATCGTCTTGCTTATGACCAAAATAGAGAGGATCATAGACTTTGGCGAGTAGGTTTATGTGTGTTGGGGATCCATTTGATGAGTGGGTTTCAGCAGGATATGAGTTAAGCATTCCTCTGATCCCCAGCTCTAACAGCCTCAACTATCTTCAGGCCAACCCTGGTCTATTCATTTACACCTGGCAAAGGAGGATGGCGAAGACATCGATTGAGTGGGTGTATTCACAGTCTCTCGTCAACCGCATCGCCGATAAGGGCACAACTACCAAACCGTGGGCTCAAGAGAATGTGAGAAAAGACGGTGACATATGCCCCTGCCACATAGAGTAGAAGTGGCTTGGGGAGGTAGAGTCTAGTACAAATGCTCTCATTCAGAGGGCACGCCATGTTCGTTGTTTCTAGAGCATGGTGGCAGAGCAGTTGAAGAAATATCAAATTTGGCTTTACTTGGCCCCTGCAAACGTTCTGTGGTGCTGACTAAGTGGCTCCTCCTTCTGACTCCGGACCGAACTGGAACTGGCGAAACAGCTCCGCGACTTCAACTTGTTCATTCAGAAAGAAATGGACGAGAAAAAGTATCTGTATACGGGATAAGGATAACTACTTGTATTCCTTGTCTCCTCCTACCTACAGGTATAATATCCTGCATTAGTCTCACGGTGGGTCCTCCGCATAGAGTATGATCCCCTTGACTTCCCCGCTCGTTCCGTCGCTAACAAAGTTCCAATTGTCCCATGGATCCTAAACAGACGCTCGATCTTGCTCCTGACTTCTTACATCTTTTACCCAAGAACATGGTACCTCCGCATCGGACATCTCGAAGCAGCTGAGTTCCAACATATTTGTTAAAACCTTTCCTTTCCTTGGCTGTTTCCACCTTGCTAGGAGGGAGAGTGTGAACAAGGGTCAAGAGAAAAACGGAACTGAGAGGGGAAACTGCTTGGCTTCCAGGGGACTATGGCCTCACTTAGTTGTAAGTTAAGCCCCTCAAAATTCAAGCATTACAGAAACCTATATATATCCAGCCACTTTACTCACACTTTTGTCTATGGCTCTCTAGATCCTTGAGTTACCATCCGCTGTTTCACAAAATCAATCTTCCCTCAACTCGCTGGAGTTTAAAATACAATGGAACCAGTCGTTAGAGGAACGAGTCTCAGACGTGTTCCTGTTCCTGTTGCTTTTCCTGCGTGGGGACGAAAATCTGTAGCCAGAAATCGGGTTTGGCGCGCGTTCTCTGCAGCTGCGCCTCTCCGCAAAATCGAAGATATTACCCGCTTACCGGATTCCGTATTCCCACGGTATGAAGGTGTGCGTCAATTTATCGATTCTTTTCTCTTTTCTATCTTCTTTTTCCAGTGGTTCAGTCTAGTCAGTCAGCACGTTGTGCGCATACTTACATGTGGGCGTTTCGTAAATAGCATCGCGGGGGAGTGACCTCCTAGCTCTCCGGTGGCCAAGGCCACCGCAGAATATCCTCCTCGTTAGAAAGAAGGGGGCGCCACAGGTGACACAGTCTCTTATTGAATTCGCGAAGTACGTTTTGATATGTACCTCGCATACATTCTGCAATCTACTAGTTTACTAACACTTCCTCCACTTTCCATCAGTCACTTAAAGTCTACCTATTCCCCCATTTCTATCATATTAGAGCGCGAAACCGCAGCGGAGGTGCACGATGTGCTGTCATTTCCTGTATATACCAACCTCGACCTGGACAAACTACCGCCCAAAAAAATCGACCTCACAGTTACGCTAGGCGGTGACGGAACCATCCTTCGTGCATCCTCCTTTTTCGCAACATCCAAACTAGTTCCTCCAATCCTTGCCTTCAGTATGGGAACATTGGGTTTCCTCGGAGAATGGAAGTTTTCCGAATACAAAGGCGCTTTCAGGGAAGTATACATGTCGGGAGCTGGACCGGGGGACCGCGCATCTCTATTGGTGCGCCATGGACAAAGAATGGCTGCAGAAAATGGCCCATCAGTGTCCTCCACGACACTGCCCTCACCTGCAGACGGCTGGACTTCGGTCCGCGGGAAGTCCATGGGGGCATCGAGATCCGCAAAGATCCTTGTCCGTAGCCGTCTACGGGTGGGAGTATACACGCCAGACGGCCGCCCGGTCCACCGCGACGGCGCAACCATGGCCTCCCCCTCCGATGACGACGGCGGCGTGCACGCCATGAACGAAGTGGTCATCCACCGTGGCAAACAACCGCACCTTGCCATCGTCGAAGTCTACGTGGGCGGGCGCTTCCTCACCGAGGCTGTCGCGGACGGAATGATCATCTCTACTCCCACGGGTAGCACGGCATATAGTCTCAGCAGCGGCGGGAGCATCATCCACCCGCTCGTCCCTTCGCTGCTAGTCACACCCATCTGCCCGCGTAGTCTTAGCTTCCGGCCACTAGTCATCCCATCCAGCACGCCAGTGACGCTGAGGCTCAGCGAGAAGAACCGCGGGCGCGAGGTTGAGGTTAGTATTGACGGAGTGATGATGGCGCAGGGATTGAGGGTTGGGATGGAAGTGAGGGTGTGGGGAGAAGAGATTGAGAAGGAGAATGGGGAGTGGAAGGGGGGCATTCCGTGTGTGATGAGGAAAACGTTGGGAGATGGGAATGGCGGAAATGGCGGCGGCGATGCGGCCGATGGGTGGGTCGGGGGGTTGAATGGGTTGTTGAAGTTTAATTATCCCTTTGGGTCAGAGGCATGAGTTGAAGTAGATTCTCCTTTCGTATCCATCTATCTGCGCGGTTGTTTTCTTTGATTCCCCTCATGCGATGTGGTATGTATTTTGCCATTCCAGCGAAACCATGATGCGAAATTTGTCACACTGGCTTTTTGCTTTCTTGAAACCTGAGAGCGCATAAAGTGAAGATCGCCTAATGAAGCCCTTTTGTTTTCATTTATTCTCCCTTACTGAACTGTTCAGTTTTAGAACAAGACCTCCCTCTAGTGGCGCTTGCTGCATGTATACTTACATTTCCCGGATCACTTACCTTTCCTTCCTCTCAGTCCCCTCTACATGAATTCACTTCATCCCAACATGTTTCTTTGTATATATGTATATACAAGCTCATGTACACAACCCCTGCAAAATAGCATTTATATGTGAAACAAATTCAACTCTTAAAACTATTTCAACCAAAAATGCCTCGGCCATCCAGCCAGGGTGATGGGTTTATTTATAGCTTGATACCGTTTCAGATGGACGATGGGGATGGTTGATATCCGTGCAGGCGGGGACATCCTCCTTTTTCTTTTTTTTTGGGGAAGGGGAACCAAGAATTGTTTAAATGCTATTACTAATGTATGGCTATTTCTTTGATTTTCTCCTCTTCTTCTATTCATTGTTTGTGTTACTGTGTTGGAACTAAAGGTTAGATAGAGCGTGGACTCTCTTATCCATACGGAGTACAGGAGGGAATGAAAGACGAAGCAAATCGGCCTCAGGATTGATAGTTCGCCACTGGCCTTTTCTTTTCCCTTTTCCTTTTTTCCTTTTCCTTTCCCCCTCTTCCTGCAAGCGATTTATTTGTATGCTATTGTCAATGTCACTACATCCCGTAGCGCCTGGTTGTCGAGGCTGAGTCTGGTCAAGCTTTGTCACACCCATTTTGTTCGGATCCTCCCTGAGACGGCATTTCGGTGGACACTTGGACAGAGCAGTGAGATAAAAAGAGATGGGAAAACCTTGCCCTGACAGTGTGAGAACTTGATAACGGGAGACAGAATAAACAAAGTTCTGGTTTTTGTTCGGGTCGCATGCTTAGAGTTTGCAGCAGACCAGGAACAGGTATGTTTGGAAATTTATATGTTTGTAAATATAAACGATTTTGCTCGTATTTCTTTTCCCCCACAAGAAAATGGATGAATAGATAAATTGATAAATAAATGGACGGTAAAATATTTCACAGATTAGTTTCGTTATTATTGTCAGAAAACTAGTTATTTAGTTTAAAAAAAGGGGACAAGGGAAGGCTTGGAGCCGCGGTGTCGGGGATGGAGAAAATACATTATTTACATGCGAGTTACCCATGGTCGCCGCAGAAATAATAGGCGGGATGAAGTACCACTCCATACTTACAATGAGACCGAATAAAAACAACAAAGACCAATTTATAGACCACATAGATAGCCTCGTAACTGCGGGGGAAATAGAAAGAAAGATGATGATTTGATCCCTCGCCAAATCTATCCGCAGCGAGTGTTTGACCGTAGTTTTTAGTTCTCTACGCAGTAAAATAATTCTTGTGTGGTTGCAGTAGTTAGCCTCTTTACCCGTTTCACCTCTTCCAACCACCTGCACAGACACTCTCTCCCTTCGCTTCCCCTCAGCCTGACCAGCAGATAAAGGCTGTCAAGGAGATATCTCAGCTTGGTGTGTCTTCTCGAGGGCTTGGGTCATTTGCCCTTTTCCTCTTTCTCCTCTCCGTTCGCTATTTCCATTCCCTTGTCCCAGTTAACTACATAGCAGTAAGTGTACTTCCCCCCCCTCTTTAGCGTTCCGCCCGTAACCCACACGAGCATTCAACATCTTTCGCTCGACTTTACTGTGTAACTTATACTTCCTGCGGCTATCTCGGTGCGATATCTTCTGCTGTGATATTTAGATACATCTTTGTCTCTTTTTTATGGTGATGTGTTCGTATGCTGACCCTCAACTCTGCCTTTCAGCAAACCATAGCTAGTGTCCCCGGGTCCCCATAAACAAACCCATTCACTGTATCTACCATCAATACTACCGGCGTGGATTCCCTTATGTGTGCTCCTCTTGCCTGATCTAGAAATGGCGTCGTCTCAATCCAAGTAAGTACCCCCTATCTGCTGTCGCGAGTGGCTGGTCGGGTTGTTTTGGAGAATCATCCCACGAGTGAATCACCCCAGCAATGACCCCTCGATTCGACACAATAATCTACAATCAGAAAATAGAGAACACGGCAGGCGTGCCTTCACTCTACCAGCAATTGGTCAAATAACACCGTTTTCACTGCTAACAATAGGCCAGTGTGTATGGCCGGGACCAGTTCATGAATCCAGGGCCTGCCCCGCGCCCACCCGTCGACCGTCCCCGCGTTAACACAGGCGGATCTACCACTTCTTCTGTTGCTACGAGTTTTAGCCAGATGTCTCTAAACTCCCCTTCGACTCCAACGCCTACCCTCTCCGTCTTCCCGAATTCCAGCCAGCTTTCGTTGAGCCAAACTAAATCAAACCTGAGCAGCATGGGCGGTGTCAGCGTCATCAAAGAAGGTTATGTGCGCTGCAAGGAGGACAAGTTTCTGGCCAGCTGGAGCCAGCGCTATCTCATCCTTCGCGAATTTCGACTGGACTTTCTGAAGAACGAAACTGGAAAGGTGGTGTTATCGATCCAACTGAGCCATGTCATTAGGGTTTCACGATCAGAAGATTGTAAAATGGCCTTCGAGATTATCCGGATAGCAAATCCCAAGGATGCAAATATTCGCAATCCTTCTATTAATCGAGAACTAGCTACTAAATCCATAACGTGCGAGGTCAAGAACGACGATGAAATCTACGAATGGATCGAAAAAATTCATGAGCGATGTCCTGCAATGGGAGGCGTATCGAACCCAACTAACTTCAGTCATCGTGTTCATGTAGGCTTTGACCCGCGGACAGGTGCATTTACGGGACTTCCGGCAGAGTGGGAGAAACTCTTATCTACATCAGCAATCACCAAGGAGGACTACAAGAATAACCCACAGGCCGTGATCGAAGCTTTGGAATTCTATTCCGACATTAAAATGCGTGAACAGAACCCGGATTATTACGATGGCCTGCATGGTGGTGTTAAAAGCTCCAATATGATGTCAATGGGCAATTCGATTGCTGGCCCGAGGGCCAACCAACCATCAGGACTGCAACGCCTCGATAATCAGAGCCAACAAAGCGCCACAGATCGCTCTCAGAGTTCTTCACCTGCCCAATCTCAACGCAAGGCCTCAGATCCAGAGCGCCCATACAACCAACAGTACACGTCAGACCGGTCGAAGGAAATGCCTGACACAGAGCAGCGACGCCGTATGGACGAAGAGGCCCGCCGCATTCGAGAGGTTCAGCGTCAGCGTGAAGAAGAGCAAAATCGTCGCGATCATGAGGCCTATAATGCTTCGCTACCCAAGAATCGCGTGCCAACTGCCCAGCAGGAGCTTGGAGGCTATTCAGATCCAGATCGATATAACCCTTCGAGAGCACCACCTAAGGTTCCTGGTGCTGACCGCAGTCGACAACAAACACCAGGTTCATTGAGACAGATTACTGCTCAGCGTCCGGCTCCTTCACCGCCTACAGCTCAACAGAATGGAACACAGCCATCTTCACAAAGGTCAGGGGATGAAGCTGCCCAACACGGTTCTCTACGTTCTGTTCCACGTCAAGATGGACCCCGTCCACAACAGTCTTCGAGCGCTACTCGCTACAATGGTGGGGATGCGCGTGGCCAAACGCCAATAAAACGCCCGACACAAAACAATGGCGCTAGCCCTCAAGGCCCTGCTCCGAGTCGTCTCCCGGCTCCTGTACAGCCAGTTAAACCTCTTAACATAGCTAATAAGCAAACAGCTGCTAGCACGAAGAAGGCTGCAACTCCCGATGCGGTCCGTCAGGCTGAAGCTGCCCTGACGAAGAAACCCGCGGAGTCTCGGCATAAGGATGTGCGGATGTCGACCATGACAGAAAGTGAAGTGATGGAGAGACTCAAGCAGATCGTTTCGAGAACCAACCCTAAAGAGTCATATCATAAATATCGCAAAATTGGACAGGGAGCGTCTGGGTCTGTATATGTGGCCCGCGTCAATGATAAGGCACCATCTTACGTCGCCCAAGAGGTCTACCAGAAAAATGGTTCTCGCAGCCAGGTTGCCATCAAGCAAATGGATCTGAGGAGCCAACCTCGTAAAGAGCTTATCGTGAACGAGATCATCGTGATGAAGGGTAGTTCACACCCCAACATTGTCAACTACCTTGAGTCTTTCCTGCAGGAGCAGGATAACGAGTTATGGGTTGTCATGGAGTTTATGGAAGGTGGAGCTCTTACGGATGTCATTGATAACAATCCGGTGATACAAGAGGACCAGATTGCTACTATTTGCTACGAGGTCAGTTGCAAAACCCATTTGTCGGAGTTAATGTTCTAACATTTTTCTCTCTCCTTAGACTTGCAAAGGCCTAGCGCATCTCCATAGTCAGTCGATTATACATCGTGACATAAAGAGCGACAACGTGCTGTTAGATCGTTCTGGGAATGTGAAAATCAGTATGTATTTCTCCATATCGACACGCGATATACAAAATTTCAACCGAAGCTAACCACTACCCTTCCTTTCTCCCTTTCCAGCTGACTTCGGCTTCTGCGCCAAACTTACCGAATCGAAAAGCAAGAGAGCTACCATGGTGGGCACCCCCTACTGGATGGCGCCTGAAGTTGTGAAGCAGAAGGAATACGGCCCCCGGGTTGACATTTGGTCACTGGGCATCATGGCTATCGAGATGATCGAATCCGAGCCGCCATATCTCAACGAAGAGCCACTCAAAGCGCTATACCTCATTGCCACAAACGGAACCCCACGCCTGAAGAAACCCGACAAACTTAGCAAGGAGTTGAAATCTTTCCTCAGTGTGTGTCTCTGCGTCGATGTACAGAGCCGTGCAACCTCCGATGAACTCTTGTCTCATGAATTCCTTCGATCTGGTTGTAACCTGGCTAGTCTTTCTGAGCTACTTCGGTTCAAGAAAAATCCGGGCCAGTAAGCAAAACAAGTGGCCGGGAAAGGGAGTGTTTTCTGTCTTTTCTTTATTTTCTCTTTTTTTTGTTTTTTTTTTTACTGTTTTCCTTTCCTTGTTTTTTTATTCCTTAGACTCATCGAAGAAAGGAAGCACTTGCACAATGGGATCACAGCCTCCTCACTTTCTCTGTCTATTTTTCATAAACGACATTCTACGACAAGGACAACCTATGAAAACACAGGCACCAAACGTCACTAACGTACTATCGATCACACGAGATCGAAAAATAACTCGCGCCTCATTCGGAAAATATTTTTCCATAAAATCTACAAACGCACAAAGCACGATCTGACACGAACTTTCTAGCAGGGATTTCTATATTCTTTTTCTTTCTCTTTTGTTTTCTTTCTCTTCCTTTTAAATGGAGCATGTGGGCGGAATCTCATTTCTACATTGCCAGATGAATGAAATTCAGAAATAATGGATTTTCGGATGGAGATTTTGAACCCTGCATAGCAACTTTTTTCTTCACTTTTCTTTTCTTTTATTTATTTTTTTTCCCCATCGCTTTCTTTTGCAGATTTATCCTGTCTGTTCTGTTTGTGTTCACTTTTTACTTCTTTTTCTCCTTGCCTAATCCTGAATCTTTAACCATCCTCCTTTTTCCCCAGTGTTTGATTGTCCGTAAAGGTAATTGACGGTTGGTTTCGTATGGAGTGATCTTTTTTCCTTCCGCACTTTATCATCCACATTTCCTTTCCAATTCGCTACATCACTCTTATCCCCTAGCCAGCCCTCCCATCCCGTTCATTATTTCCCCCTACCGAACCCGACCTCACCCATTAACTATCAGAAAATGAAAAAAAAAGCTCTTAATAGAGAAATAGAGAAGTCGTCCACCCCTTAACTTTTTCCGCAATCCCACTTCCTCCCTTTTTCATATAGTACAAGATACCATTTATTTGCGTATTATATGACCTCCCCTCTCTTTTTCTTCACTCTCTCTTCCTCCGCGGCTTCTCTAACTCAAATCAAATTTCCTACCTAGCTAGCAGAAGCTTGATGCGAGAAATTTTTTTATTTTCGTTGCCTCTACCCACCTTTTCAAACGTTGTGTGTTTGGGTTAACTAATTCTATTTGCTAAGCCATTATTCCATATTCCATTTTTTCAATTCTTTCTCTCTCTCCCCCTTCGGTTTTCTGTGTATGCTCTTGTTTTATGTAGCTAGGTGTGTCTAATTTAATTTTACTAATGCGTCTACTATGTATGTTGTTCGCCGGTCTATTCCCGTTCTACATCATGATCATTTCTATTCTTTTTTTTCCTTTTACTTTAGTTTTCTTTTATTTCTCGTTGTTGTTTCATCGTCATCTGGGCTGAGTTCTTGATGGTAAAATGCACCCACTTACTTCTCTTTTCTTTTGACTTGTAGTAACTAAGTTAAAAACTAACGAAACCAACACGTATTATCGGGGTCCGTTTTCACTTTGAAACATTTTGAAACATCACGCTTCAATCTCTTTCCTCTATGAGCTCTTGACGATATGCCGTAACCCTTTACCTAGTTCCGTAACTTCATGTTTTTATAAACTCTGACATGTTTTATGCAGATTTAGAGTTGAGAAAGCTCGTGGGCGTTTCTACGGGCTAACAGAGGCCTAAAAAAAATAAAAATAAAAATTAATGCAAAGATTTTTAAAATTATTTAAGAAGTGAATGGATAACTAAATAACTAAACGGCAATATGGTCACAGACGACTGAGAGCAGGGAAGAAAGAGAACAGACGGGAGAAGAGAGATAGGTAGACATAATGAAATTTAATTATGAGGATATTTATAGAGTATTTCCAATATTACTAGTAGTTATATGTCATTTTTGTAGCCGAAAAGTATGTAGGGTTTTTGGCTTGAGTCAACGCACGTTTTTGCCAATATATAGAAAGGAAAGGAAAGAAGATGAGTATTTACTTCGTAATTAACAGCCATTCAATATCAACAAATTAGTTCATAGATTCATAACCGGAAGGGGGAAAAGAAAAAAAGAGAAAAAATCAGAAATAACATCAAAGAAAATGAAAAACAACAATGCTCGCGCCCCCTCAATCCATCATCCCCCCAACCGCCCCCGCCATGACCCCCGCAACCTGCCCAAAAAACAAACCTCTCAAGATAGTCTCTCCTTCCTCCTTAGCCCAATGGCCCGCAGCGCTAAGTTTCGCTTTCCACGCTTCACGCTCATGTTCGTGCAAGTCTGCCCATTTGCGTGGATGCTGTGCTTTTTCTGCTCCTGCGTTGTTGACCTTGTCACTGTCGCCGTCGCCATACGTATGTGGGAGAGTTGTAACAGCGACCAGCGATGGGTCATCTGGGTGTTCGTGGATAACGATCTTCATATGGTCCAGTGCAGATTCGTCGGGCGTTTCAGGGAGTGGGGTGGCCTCAGGCACCGCTCGTGAAAGCGACGAAAGCAAATCGCGGAGGTTCTGCGTCGGGGTTATTTGCATGACCGGTGTGGTTATTGTGCTTGTCACCGTTGTCGTCGTTGCGGAGATCGATAGCGGATCTGTCGGCGACCGCCATTTCTGGTATTGCGACGACAAACCGTTCTCAAATAGATACGGACGAGCAATCATTGATCGGATCTTGGGGCTAAGCCAGTCATGGGCACCCAGCGCTGGTGGTACACCGCCTCGTATCTCCGTGAATACTTGTAGGAAGAATGCGCCCAGCGCCACGACAATCAGTGCCATAAAGCCGCTTAAGAGAGTCTGGAGAAGCTCCGAGGGCCCTGGTTGGACAAGCACGTAGCGCGGGTGGCGGGATTTGGGAGGGGACGCAGTGACAGGGAGAGAGTGCACGACCACGGTGTTACCGACACTTATGGAGGCGAGTTTGACGTCCTGAGGTCGTACGTCTGCAGAAACTGGTTGGGCGGGCGCGGTGAAAGTTGAGAAGGCAAGGCGCGTCATGGAGAAAGGGTGCACATTACGTAGGGTGGCGTATGGACGGAATTTGCTAAAGGCGGGTTTACCTTTGCGTTTGCATTCTAGCGTGAGGATCTGGATTGAGTTGTCATTGCTGGATACTGCGACTATGAATTGTCTGGTGCCCATGGCCGATTCGGAGAGCGGGCACACATCCAGGCCTAGGCCAATTTTCATCCCGTGCGGAAGCCTAGTTCGTCGGACAACGGTGCCTTCAGGAGCGAGACCGAGGGAGATTATTGCTAGTTCGCAGCCAGCTCGGTCTGGAAGGTTGAGTAGGATGAGAAAGGATGTTGGGGAGAGGAATCTCAGAGCTCGGATTTTGCCTCTCTTTTTGCTCCTCGCGAAATAATCTGGGAATGGCAGGGTATAGACTACTTTTGTTTTCGGAGTCTCGTTCGATCTCGTCGAAGCAGAAACTTTCAATGTATAGATAGATATACCGTCTGTAAACGCCACCTTGAATTTCCCATTGTCGCCCTCACTGGCTGGTAGCATGTCCACATCTTCAACCTCATCTCTACCCTCCAGCCAAATCCTACCTACAATGTCAGATTCCTTTGGAGCTGGTGAAGTCGCATTGAACACGACCATTTCCCCCTGAGGAGCCAAACCAGTAGCTACCACACCAATACGGGGAGCCTCCTCTCCTTTCCACGGCGAAAGTCGCAGTAATCTTTGGTACGTTTCCCGTTTGTCCTTAGGTTTATACTTCGGTTTAAACAGCGACGCCTGTGACAAAGGAGTTATCATCGGTTGGGTAGGCTGCGTGACATGTTTCTTCCCTCCCTTTTTTGATTTTGCCGGTGACGTAGGGGAGCTGGCTGGTACTTGGCCGGGAGGATAATCCAGCTGAAAAGACCTGAGATGCTCATTATTGTCCCGTTGCTGCTCAGCAACGGAGCTGTTGATGCCGGCTAGAGCTATAATTGACTTGTCATTTGACTTCGATACCGCTAGGGAGGTCACTGAGTCTTCATCTCGAGATAGTTCAATATTGGCTATTTCGGATATCTCGTTGCGTTGGGAAGTATTTAGCAAGGCCTACATATACGTACAGTCAAGGTCAGCGCGAGATAGTGTTAGCCTGCCAGATGTTCTGTTCGAGTGGGAACACTGTTGAACGTGGGTTTGGGTTACTTGCGATTTTATTTCCGACGCCGCTACGCCCCTCCCCTCCGCCGCCGCCTACAAGAAGAAAGCCATTATTCCGAGGGTCAAAATCGACGCCGAACAGCGGACATGATAGGGTGATTTTGGCGGAGGAGATATCTGGGGCCATGTTCGAGAACTCGAAGTCCAGCTAGATTATTGTATATTGACGGTAGGCACAAAGCGAGATCAGAAACTAAAACTGAGAACGAGAAATTGGACCATAATATAATCAAACTTATGTATACAATCAGTTCAGGTAGTGTACATGAATAGCCTCCAGTTGTTTTCCTTTCGTCGTTTCTTGATATTTTTTTTGAGTTTGGTTGACGTCGTCAGATCACGGGAGAAGGTCATCACGTGCCGATGAGTGACAGGGGCGAGATTGCGACGAAAAGAAAATCAACAGAAACAAAGAATTGCAGTTCATGTTGAAGGATATTTTGATTGTCTCTAGTCGAGCAGTATGGTCCATGTATAATATAGCCTCTACGAATGTGAGGCATCTATACGAGTGTCAATTCTAACTGTACTGTATCGTGTTTCCTTACTCCACATCCTGCGAAACAAACTCAGGTAGCCTTTTTTTGATATCCTCCCAGACTTCCTCACCATCTACCAATGACTTGACAGCTTCGCAGATCTCCTCCTCGCTGGCACGAACCTGTTTCGTGGTATCACGTTCTCGCAGTGTGAAGGTGTTGTCTTTCACCGACTGGAAGTCTACAGTAATGCCAAAGGGCGTTCCAAGCTCGTCATTGCGGGCATATCGCTTGCCGATACTTGCGGACGAATCATCGACCTTGTTGGACACTCCAAGGCGGCGGAGTTTAAGCGTGAGACGGTGTATGAGAGGCTGGAATGACGGGTGATTTGAGAGTGGGACCAGGAGGACCTTTGTTGGGGCGACGATTGGTGGGAAGGAGAGCACCTATTAATTTACAAATATTAGGTATAGCTCGAGTTATTTCTTGAATGTAGGGAAAAGTAGGGAAAACTTACACCACGAGCCTCGTCATCTGGTCTTGACCAATAGACGTGCTCCATCAGGCATGCAAGAATTCTGCCAATTCCGAAAGATGGTTCAATAACATTAGGAGTGTACTCCCGGATATTCTCAACTCGCGTTCGCTTCTCAATGTTGATAATGTCCTTGCCCAGCTCGACCTTGCCAGAGCCAACACCTTCCACGTCTATTTCGATCTTGCCATTTTGTTTAAGGTCGAGCGACAGTTTCTCCCGGAGATCTTGAGTCAGAGCGTTCACGGCAGCCTCGACAATCTTGCCATCCTTTTTGAAGCGAGGGCCAAACTTCTTTTTATCCAAGTCTATCTGCCATTCTTCAATCCGAAGTGGTTCAGCGCGAGTCTCCCGTACGAAGAGGGGGGCACCGGTCCTGTTTTTATGTACAGTTAAATCATAGGCACTTCGGTCGGCGCAGCCAACGCACTCAATCCAACCATAGGAAGTAAATAACTCTGCATCCCAGCAGTCTTGAGCGTAGTGAGCCATTTCATTCATCATATGTTGGCGCATCCGGATTTTGGACTCATCGATTCCAATTTTTAAAAGGAAGAGCTGGATGCGAGCCAGGAAGTAGCCCAGGGTCTCATTGTCGACAATCTTGTCGGCGACAGCTTTGCCAATGGTCATTTTCTCCACCTTGGTGCTGCCAGAAAGTTGGACCTCCCGGTTCAGGAATGACAGCTCCAAATCCTGCACTTCATGGAAACGGGGATGCTTCTTTCCGCCCTCTGGATCTACGAAATGTTCAATCTCAGCCATCAAAAACTCTCGTACTCGTAGAAGTCCAGACCGGGGAGAAATCTCATTCCGGAATGACTTTCCAATCGAAGCAGAGGCAAACGGCATTGACTGCTGGTTGAAATCCAAAAGCTTTTGGAACGTAAGGAATTGACCCTGCGCGGTTTCGGGTCTGAGGTACCCAGTCACACCACCACTTGGGCCAATTGAAGTCTGGAACATTAGGTTGAATGAGACCGGGGGAAGAACATCTCCACCAGTAACTGGATTCTTGATATCGTATCTGGTAATCAGCTGCCCAAGCTCCTCACCGTTGTAGTTATCAATTTTGGCCAGAATTTCCTCGTATTCTGTGACCAGAGCGTCATCAAGCTTAACAGCCTTGGTCTCCTTTGGCTTTCTCTTCCGTTTGGCGTCCTTCTCTTCATCAACCTCCACCTTTTGGCCGCGCGCCTCTTTATCGCCTTTCAGCCGTGACTCAAGCACCTCCTCTACCAAATGGTCAGCCCGAAAGATTTCACCGGTCTTGGGGTCCTTGCACATCCAATCCGCGAATTTGTCCACGTGCCCACTGGTTTTAAGCACTTCATGCGGAGTCAACATTGTACAGTCGACCTCCAACATATCTTCTTCCAGAACGAAGTGTTTTCGCCAAAGGTCAACGACATTGGCCTGGAGGGCGCAACCGGGGGGTCCATAGTCATAAAGGCCAGATACCCCGCCATAGATTTCAAAGGAGGGGGTATAGAACAGGCGTCGGCGAAGGAGGGAATCTAAAGTAGGGCGGTCGAGGGGCTGCCCAGTTTTAGTAGTACTGGTAGCCATTTTGGCTTTATTCGGGTTGGCTGCAACGTGGAATCGCAGTGGTGTTGGGGTGCAGCAGAACTGTCGAGTTTGGATGGTGAGGGGTCGTGAAACTCGTGAAAATGGTCGAAGAAGGGATTGACGCATACACGATTGCGTTTTTAGAAAACTAGGAAAAAGCAAAAGAGGAAAAAGCGAAAGGCTACCAGAAGCAGCGAATGGAAGGGAGGGACAATAAATAGGAGAGACGTAGAAGAAGGACAACAATGCTCTGATACTTTTGATAAAGGAGTTGTCAAAAGTTGATTGAGCTTCCAGTCATGCGTTTGGTCGGCCAAACATTTATCCGATGAAATTATCGCGGAACAAAAGAAATATTTCACGAGCTCCGCCTTTCGAAGCACCATTGCAAACCTACTATCTGGGAGCAATTGGGATAGTCGGGTTCAGCTTGAGATACACAGAAATGCCCTCGAAAAGATCGAAGCTCCTCCCATCCGGAGGAATGGAATATAAACCCGCCAACAAGGAGAAAAGAAAAATACTACACATCAAACGCAAGAAGGCCAAAGATTCACAGTCCCGCGCAGAACGATTCGCAAGGAAGAAAGAGGAGGCCAAGAACCCAAAGCTCAAAGCTGAGCGGCTACGACGGAATATACCCCTTACGCTCGAGAGGAAACGAATATGGGATGATGTTGGTAGCGATGTTGAAGACGGGCTCGGAGCAAGCTTCGATGTGGAGCGGGTTAAACGACTAAAGCTAGAAGAGGAGTCACGGCAAGCGAAGGTCGATGAAATTAATGCTGCAAATGGCTCTGGAGAGCAGGCTGGCGAAGGTAAAGGTGCTGATGGAGATGATGAGGTGGACAGCATGATCGCTTCTGATAGCGACGAAGACGACACGGATGAGCAAGCCCAGGACCTCAAATCTACCCACAAGCGGAAATCAAACCTTCCATCCGCAACAGAGCGCGCAACAAGCCCTACTCAATCCAGCAGAAGCACGAACCTCGATCTCGCACCCGACGCCCTCGCCGCAAAATTCCCCTCCCTATTCACCAAAGGACCACCTCCGACCCCAAAAATCTTGATCACTACCTCCATCAACTCTACCTTGCATGCGCAAGCCCATCTCCTGACCGATTTATTCCCTAACAGCGTATATATTCGCCGCTCCGCCCATAAACATTCCCATAAATATTCCGTGAGAGAAATATCCAAATTTGCTTCGAACCGAAAATTCACAGCCGTTGTGGTTGTGGAAGAAGACCAAAAGCGCGTGTCAGGGATAACGATTGTTCACCTCCCCGTAGGTCCAACATTCCACTTCAGCGTCAGCAACTGGATAGAGGGCAAAAAACTACCTGGACATGGCAATTCGACAGGCCACTGGCCCGAGTTGATCCTGAATAATTTCCGAACCCCGCTTGGAATGCTTGCCGCACATCTGTTCCAGTCGCTCTTCCCGCCACAACCTGAGTTAGAAGGCCGGCAAGTGGTGACTCTACATAACCAGCGTGATTATATATTCGTAAGACGGCACAGATACGTGTTTCGCGAGAAACGTGAGACGGAGAAAAGTGTAGTGGGACCCGATGGGAAGGAGATGAAGGGAGTGGAGGGAGTGAGAACTGGCTTGCAAGAGCTCGGGCCGCGGTTTACGCTCAAGCTGAGGAGGATTGATAAAGGAATACAACGGGCCAGCGGACAGGAATGGGAGTGGAAGGGTGGGATGGAGAAACAGCGGACCAAATTCCAGCTATAATTTATCCCACCTACATACGTACCGTTTTGTCCTCCTTTTTCCCATCTCCTCACCTTGTCCCCGCTCCCGCTGTTCTCCAAATTCTTCGTCTTCGGGCGCCTATTATATGAATTTTTTTTATTATTAAAAAGCCCATCTATGGATTCCGACGATTCTAATAAATATAAACATAGAGACATATCCCCAGCTTTCTACTTTTCGCTTTGCCTTCTTTTCTATTTCACATTTGGAGCCTCAAATTCCCCTATCTCTTTCAGCTCTTGGTTACACATTCCTGTACCAGAAATTAAGTGGATTTGGTTCATACCGCCTCTTTTATGTACCGCCAGAGTACAAATTTTGATGTTTGTCTTTTACACTGGCAATATATCCAGCTAAAATCGCCTGCAATCTCATTGTCTTTGATTGATCCTGACAGCAAAAGACAGGATATATTCGCCGTTTTTAAGGTTCGGCCACTTTCCTCGAATGCATTGAGACCCCTTGGCCAGAGAAATTTGGGCACACATCCCGTGCTTAGGCTTCCAAAAACATTGAGATAGAATGGATATAACCAGGGGAGGTCTCGCTCTCCTGGATATCGTGATCGCGAAGGAAGGAGTGGTCGGTCATCAGCCATTAAAAATTCCGTAGTTCCCGTGGGCTGCTCGAGTAATGAATTGGTTCTGTGGCGGCGGATGAATATCGGGAAGCCGGAGAGATGACAGGTCGATGTGCGCCAGAATCCAGAGCTTTCAAGTTGTCCGGCAAGTGGTTCATATCAAAATACAATCAGCCGGCGGAATAACGCTGTGTATATAGTTTCAATTCTGATAGCTGATTCAGGAACACACAAGATAAGATGTCTAAGATTTGGGGAGAATGGCCAAAAGATGATTATTGGTAGAGCGAAACTCTCGTTCGCATGGCACATCAACTGCGGTCCAAAGCACTTCGTAACTCCAGCCAAACAATCCTTCTGTGTATCGCAAATCTCGCACCTGAGCGATCTTCCCTGACATGCGCCTAACTGAACCCGAACATCCCTGATATTCCCTGTGAGATGGAGTGTTTTGGGAGGCATTTGGGGAAATTTTTCTCCTACGTCATTGGCACCGCGTTGTTTTCCCCGCTTCAGCACTTTTGCCCGAAGTGTAACATCGTAATCCGGACAATGATGTAGAACGCATCCGAGACTTCGGGTGCTGTGTGGACCCAAGATTGTAGCTGGGATACAACCCTAGCATTGCTTGGGTTGCACATGGGCCAATGTTTTGGTTGGAGATAGAGTGGGTTGGTGGTCTTTGGGCCGGCTAAAACATGGGCGGACATGATATTTGCGGGGCCGAACTGCTGTACAGTACTATAAAAGGAAACATAAAACACCCTTTGCTACTTGCATAGATCCCCTTCTTAACTGCTATATATTCTAGTATGTAGAAGATGGCATCACCGCAAGATCCCACCCCCTATCTCACAGCCCTCCAACGCGACGGCTTCGTCGTTATCCCGAATTTTCTCCCACCCTCCCAGCTCCAAGCACTACGCACCGCCGCTTCACACGCCTGCGACCTCGGCCGCACCGGCAAATGGCCACACATCCGCACAGTCCCAAAGCAATTCCCACCATGGCCCTCCACACCCCCGCCCGCTGAGGAGGGCGGAATCTGGGGCGTGCAGCACCTCATGCACCCCGAAATGCCCGGCCGCGACGAGTTCGCCAAGCTCTACTTCTCCCCGCGTGTGCTCGAGGTTGTAGAGGAGCTGGTCGGCGTGAAGAAGTCGGAGACGAGAGAGCAGGAACCGCTGACCATGGAGCTCCTCAATCTGCTCGTGGCGCCCACATACGTCCCATTCGCGCTGCGCTGGCACCGCGACGACATCCCCACCCCGCCCACGCTCAGCGCGGAAGACGAACTGGCGGCCCTGAAGCTGAAGTCCCCGCCGGACCGCCCGCAGTCGCACGCTCAGTACAATATCCCGCTCTATGACGATGCGTCACTAATTGTTGTGCCGGGGTCGCATCGGCGGGCACGCACGCAGGCCGAGCGCGAGGCGGACCCCTATGAAGATAATCTTCCTGGCCAAATGGTCGTGAAGCTGCGTGCGGGTGATGCGGTTTTCTACGATAGCAATATTTGGCATAGAGGCGTGTATGGTGCGATGGATCCGGAGGCAAAGGGCGAGGATGGCATGCCAAAAGGGTTGAGGTTGACGGTGCATGGAAGCGTGGGGTTAGCTGTTGATAACAGTGATGCTGCTGGAGGGGAAACGGATAAGGCGCCGAAGACGAATGTCAGAGCCATGACTGTGTTACAGCATGGGGTTGGGTTTTGGGTTAATAGGGAGGATGCAGATTTCAATGGGTTGGAAAGGGAGGTGAAGGAGAGGGCAGAGAGAATGCGAAAGAGGCTTATTGAAATGGGAAGTGGGGAGGGCCTTGGGTATGCTCTTGAGGGCTAGTGGAGGATGAACAGAGCTGAGTTGTTTTGGCTATGATCATGATGTGTGGAATGCGAGTAATGCTTTGACCGGGCGATACTCGGCATTTTTTTGCTTGTTCTCTGAAAGGACGATTCGATGATGATTCCAATGACCATGGTCCAGTCCAATGGATGAAGGATTGTGTAAAATTTGCCCGTATGTTTGAAGGTAGTCCTAAATTAGAAATGTATCGTGGTGCATTCAAACGAGATATAATATAACAATTTCTTTTATATCAAAAGCGGGAAAAGGGGTATACCAGTTCTTGGATATATAATTAGCCACGTATATTCCAGATACGGAACAGCAGAAAAGGCTGTAAAATTGTAAACCTCCCTCCCTATTGTCTTGGGCCCTGAGCAGGGCTGAAGCCAGGCCATGTATAGAAACGAAATACAAAAAGTGAAGAAGAAAGAAGTGCGCCCCCAATGTTCGAGAACAGATATGCGCAGGCGAAATGTAGGATGAAAGAAAATCGTGGTGTTTTAATCATGAATCATTCTCATTAGTCAAGCCCCGAATCAGGACCTGGTCTTCTCCCTGTGACCACTCTTACAAGCCCCATCGCACCCTCCACTGCACCCATCACAATCTCCATCTTCACCTTGTGACATAAATCCCTCACATCCTCCGGCGTCCATCCGCCGTATTTTGTCAGCGATCGCATACTCGCTGCCTCCAGTCCTTCCAACAACACGATCAACACCATTTTCCCTAGCGTACTCCCCTTCGCATCGCTCTCGCACCACGTCCCAATCGGCACTCGAATATCATATGTCCTCACTTGCACAAACCCTGCAGCCGTCAGTGCGGCCATACGCAAATGTGACAGGTCGCGCGGGTACCCCGCCACATCAGCCGCGGAGCGGATGGCGGATATATATATGCTCATATACGAGTTGGCGGGGGCGTTGCGCGCGTTCAGTAATCCTGAGGTGTAATCCACATCGGCGATCTCGATGCGGCCATCTGGTTCCAGGTTCTTAAAGGCCTGGCTGTACAGAGCTGGCCAGTCGGCTATCGCGCCGGAGAGGCCGCGAATGTGGATGAAGTCGAAGGGATGGTGGTAGTTCCATTCGCCGCATTCAGCGTCATCAATTTGGAAGAAGACGTTGGGCGGCGCGATAGAGATGGGATCTGAGTCGAAGACAGAGATGTCAATGGCGAGGATCTCGGTGTCGGGGTACATTTCACCCATACTAAGGGCCCAATCGCCGGTCCCTGTCCCGATATCTAGGATGCGGGAGACTGTTGGGGGTAAGTTGGTTTTTGTGAGTTGGCCATCGTAGATTATTAAGTAGATTTGGTGCTCGATTGATAGACGGGTTTGCTCGGCTTCATCATTCGGCATGAAATAGGTTTCATTACAGTAGCGTCGTTCATTTTCGAGTATATCTTCGATTATGTGTTCAGAAAGAGATTTGGAGGATCTAGATGCTTGTTTGGTGTGTAAGTGAGAATGCGTTGAGGCATTTTGTTTTTGTAGATGTGTAAAACCGGGGCGAGATGAGGACGTAAAATAGAACGAATATGTTCGTTAAAAGAAATATAGGAAGGTAAGACGAACGATAATGAATGTGAGTGACTCGGATCCGACTCTATTGATATGGTATTCGGTGTGTCACTTAGGGACTCCGGCTGAATGTAGTCTTGTGCCGTCGGCTCAGGCGCCGTCAAATGTGTCTCTGTGTTTCCCACTTCTGCATCCATATTGGGACGGGCATCCTCCAGGTCGGGTTTAATTTTCAAATGTGAACTTTCCTCAGCCATGCGCCCAAGAAACTGTGGAATGGGGAAGAACCCTCCGGAGTTATGTGGATGTATGGCGGATATCAAATAGGCGGAGCATCTATAACTTTTGAAGCCACCGATTAATATTGTTACTGCACTCAGCTTGACTGACTTGTCTGTCTTTTTCAAATGGAAACGGTAACGGTATTGGACAAAAATCATGGGATAAGAGCATAGGAGAAGGGATATAAAGAGACAAGGGCCAATGCAATTGTACTGGTTATTCCTTCCGCATGCCCTTGCGCACAAAAACTTGCATTTAAAGCGAGCGCAACCTGTGCCTCGAAACTTCGAGGACGCATACAATGCATATAGAATAAAAGTGGCTTTGAGGAAGATAGAGCATATCCATTTCCTCATTCATGCATGTAGTAATGATAATCAAAGCGCAGCGCAAGTCAAATAACGGCAAAAGTGAAACAAACCGTAACAATGGGAAAGGAGTTAAAACATACCTCTATAAATTTGAGGAAGCCGTTCTTATGATGTACTCTTCCTCGGTAGGGTTCTCACAACTCGTCCTTCTCTCTTGGTTGGAGATACTCCAGCAACAGGGTTCAGGGACTTCAGATGAAAGAAAACAAGCCGCCCAGAAAATATATGTTTAACGAACGAGGGGAAGGGTCCCCCTTATCTAATAGTCGATGTTCTTAGTTAGTTAATGTAATTAGGTTGTTATTTTTAGGCTTGCGACGGAAAACGGTCGAGCAAGCGGGAGGCCCTGGACCGATTTCTTGGGACGGTAACGAGCGTTTCCAAAAGGAGCTCAGGGTGATTCACCTGTACTATTTACACCGAAAGGAGCTTCTTTTCCAAGTCTCTTCGCGCCACTGCGTTGCGCTGTGCCGTTGAGTCGACTCCTTTGTGTAGCTTCTCCCTGCTGCCACGCTGTTGATATGTGATGGCCTGTGGAAGCCTTGATGTTTGTCTCGTTCACTGTAAACCAGAGAAGCCAAGTCGATTATTAGCGTTTACCCTCCGCCCAAACCTCTAAGCTTGGACACTTGCACTGACAGTGGTTTGTTTGGCTTCGATCAGAGAATCATAACTAGCTAGAATTGGGGGAACTGAAGAGGAAAAAAAGAGCATGATAATTCCGCCTCCGAAAACTTGGGGCGAGACTTCGTGTTAAATGATTTCCCCTCTCAGAATCGTGTTCTCATATTTGTTTTTTTGTGTTTCTTATTCCATTTTTTCTTTTGTTTGGCTTATTTTTTGCTTTCTTTCCGTTTCTCCACACCCCAAAACATGGCCTGTCCGCGTCCACTGGCTGGATGCGCTCAAGTGGGGAGTGGAATTCTTGACCATTCCAATATCATCCCTGTCCTGGGAGTCAGTCAGTGCATGGAGAAACTCAAGTCAAGCCGATGGAAAAAGCAAGTAGCATTCAGACGCCGGATAAGCGTTTATCGGCGCTGCATGAAACATTTTTAACCTGACGACTTCCTTGTATCATGGCTTGAATAATCGAGGAGAAAAAGTACGTCAATAGAAAAGGAATAAAGCTTTTCGGGTTGACCATGGAAAAATTACCGTTTGAACCCTCATTCCGCACTCCACGAGCTCATTCCATGGACCTGGTTCACTATTTCCGCCCAATGTGCGTCAGACCCAATTTCGTCTGCAAATCTCACCAGGCCATCAAGTTGATATCTGCTTCCAGGCTTGAAATTATCATTGGCTCAACAATAAACAACTTGTCCCTCAAGGGCATGGATAAGCAAAAACAAGACCATTGCAGGCAGCACATCCACACGTCAGTCATTGTCCTCCTCACGCCCTTCTTTGCCCCCTTGCCCGTTCTCGCCCTGTACTTTTTTTTTTTTTCTGTAGGCGACCATGGAACCCACTGAATGGAAGGTTTGGAGACTGTGTGCATGCAGGAACCTGTTCTAGGCTGCTCGTGTCGTGGCATTCAATTTCATCTTGGACTGGCCTAAGAATGCAGCTTAGGGTGGCAAACATGCCTAAGGCCCTCTAAGAACTCACTAAATTCGTCTCCCTGCAGCGCGGAAACGGGAGCTGGAAGGGAAGAGTTTGGGAATAGTTCGCGCTTTGACAAATCCACCAGCTCAGACCCCGGCAGTATTTTATAATTTTGGTGCTTAGATGTAAACTTGTACCGAGGTTTTGGCGTTTTTACTTTGGAGTTGTGTATCATCCCCGCCTGTCACATCCGTCGTTTTGTCTTTGCCTAGTCACGAAACATCCGACTGCCGTTTCAACTCTTGGAAGAGGGGCAAGCCTGTTGAGTTGACCATCCTGTGTCACCATACGGATCTGTACTGCGTCAAAAGTCAAGGTCGAGGTCACTTCCAGGCACATTAAGACCTTGGTCTTGTGGGGCATAACGACCCAAAGAAGCGCTGCGCAGACGGGCCATTTTTGCACCGCTTCCGGAGACGGACGGGAGGATCGGATCGTGAGGTTTCCAAGGTTCAAATTAGATTTCAGACCAATTACCTGAAGCGAAGAAACAGCTTGTAGATCACACCCCAGCTGCTTGGACAATGCTCGACTGCGTCGACTGGGACTGGGTCCGCAAGGATCACTCCGTGCCCCTTGATTCGGCGAATGGAGAGTGGCCATAGACGAGGATCTTCGAGGGAGCTGGGAATCTGGATGTCAGCAGCGGAAGAGCCCGGCAGTGGTGCTGCCCGTGCCCTAACCCTGAGCCCTAACTGCCTATCCAGTCATCCGGAGCCTGTATACTTCCGCCTCCAACAAATACAGCAATGGAAAAACCAGCCAGATGGGACCTTGTCTACATATGAGCTAGGTCAACCGGGACAGGAGAATACGACCCAATTCTCTGTCTCCATCCGTATTTTTGGTATCCTTCACACGACTAGTGTTCTGTCGCCAGCCAGCAACCAGACCGAATGTGGACTGGTTCCCTCCTCCTAGCTCCTTCGCTGGGTCTCCATGGGCTGGGACTCCATGGGTTGGGACTGCTTCTCTCACCATTTTCTCGCCGCAGGTGCGTGGCACAGGGTGCTTGTTTGAGAAACGGGCCTGGATCGATTCAATCCAATAGCTTTCCAAGGCTCTGGCTTATGATTTCCTGCTACCAAAATTTTCTGACCCGTCTTCGGGTGGGAATATGCATTATCATCAGTCCCCCGCCAAATATCTTCCCGTGCTTCCCGCCTCGTTCCCAGACTGTCGGGATACTCTGCCACGTCAAACAACGCTACCAATGTGTTGACCCTTTCTTTTTTTTTTTAAAAGAAAAAGAAAAAATCCTTGTCTGGTCTGGCCAGCTTGGGCTGGGCGTAGCTGTTCCAGCTGTGCTATCCAGAAATACTCTTTGTGTTTGACGAGGAAAATTTGTGATCGTTCCCCTCAGGATTGATTGTTATAAGTATATCAATATTGCTTTGCCTTCCTTTCACAGGAAACTTACGGACCAGCCCCAATTCCTACGGTAGCTGACAAAAAATGTCCCCGTCCCGGACCATTCTGTCGGTTCCATGTTGCAGGCGGGATTGGAATTTGCGAATAGGACGTCAGCATCGAAAATGGTCGAAATTCCTCGAAGGGAGATTATTACCTGTTTTGTCTGCCACCAATCCCTGGTTGTGGGGTGGTTGTTGGGGATTGGCGCTTGGGGCGACAGAGCATGGCATGATGCATGGGTGCTACGATAACGAGAACCACTGGCTCCAGTGGCTTGAGGTGCTTTAACCCCCATGGGATTCGGTGAGTTCCAGGTCCGTGAACTGGCAATTCATCCAGATTTCCTTCCATGGTTTCAGATGGGATTTATTAGCTGCAATGCAACATGATGACGAGAGACAGAGTGAGAAAGGAGAAAAGAAAAATGACAAACCGTTCCCGTCACTTGACAATTCAATTTACCTTTTTTTTAAATTATTTATTTTGAAGCTACTCAGCACCACCACTTTCTATGACTCAAAACCTACAGAATAGTCCAGCGGCGTTCTCTGGCTTTCAATCCGACCCAGAGCTGTGGGACCAGAAAAAGAAAAGAATGCATTATGAACGAAAAACGCCGGGAAGGGGTCAAGCGTTTTCTATTTTGAGAGCTACTATGTAGCTCAATTCATTCTTACGCTCTTCCTGGGAACTTTCCCACGCTCTTGCTCATTTTTCTTTCATTTCAAACTCATGCATCATTTTTGCATGATACATTGGGCCAGCCAGCCAAATATTCCGTATGGTCTTTGGATGTTTGGGTCAGAGATTTCATATTATGTGATATGTCTGCATGTAAATAATGCGCTCTGACTTCTGGAGATCCTATTCATGCAGCTCTCCGCTTTCCTCGTTGGGACGGGAAAGTTCCACGGTATTGGGAAGGGTCTTAAAACGGACATTGACCATATATCAAACATCGATTGCTTCTCGGCGTCGGGCGGAATGGAGTTAGGAACCCATTGGATATCAAAATCGATAACTCCGTTCTTAGATCCGAGGTACTTTACATTTCCAGCCGAACGCCTTCTCTTCATTTGGGCTGCTTATAGGCAGCTTCGTTGCCTGGACATTCCGGTCTCCGTAAAACATTCGGCAGCATACGAATATTATTCCGCATATTTTCCGAGCCACAGAGGGAATCTATCTGCCTTTTGTGTCGCTTATTCGGCGCAGTATTCGCCCCCTTTATGATCTTTATCAGATTGATGCCAATTCCACCTTAAAAATGACCGGGCGGCTGGAAAGGAATACATATGCACACCGACATACAAAGATATCCACCTGCAATAATAGCGCAGCAGGAGTCAATTTACTAGCTCCCAAGAGATGTATGTGCACACTGCGCGTCCCTCCACTTCAACCAAACAACGGGTAATGTCAAAAATCCTTGGGATATCGATCATCTGTGACATTGTTGATCCATAGCCACACAAGGCCAACTGTAATATATTCACCCAACACACTCACGACAGCAGAGAACAAAAAGAAGTAAGGAGATGCCATTCTCCGTCTAAGTTTGAATACCCGATGGTGCTGCATGCGAGCTGCGACCAAGAGATACTGTACTGGCACTGTTTTGTAGAGCTGTTGAGTTGTTAGTTAGGTGTCTGTTTCCAATGCTAAGGCCCCAATGCCCTTTCGACTTAATTCGTTTTCTAGGACAAGTTATGAGGCGATTGGACATACATGTGGATGGACTGCAATATTGGTATACATCCATTAGATAAACTTTTAAAAACAAAGTATTGACATGTTGCTATTACCTCTAAGCCGTTGGGTTTCCTTTGGTGTAGTATAAAGAAAATCTCCCCATTTTTACATTCTTACAGCCTTGGGCATTTGGCTCTGCGGACAGAGCAGCCATCATCCAAATCGTCGCCATTCTGATATAGAGCTGATAGCCTAAGCATGCTGTCCTGAAGACCTAACTATACCCACAATTCCTCTTTGCGATCTAAATATCTCTCTGCCATGCTTTGACAGGAGCTCCTGAAAACCGTATTACATAATCATACTCCTGGCCTCCGCATCGGAACTCCGCAAAACCTCTTGAAATAAAAAGATTTCAGGAGATAAATACAAGGAACGGACTCGAGCCAACAACGGAGCACAGTCATTTTGCGTGTACAGAATATCTTTTCTTCTCCTCCTCTTCGCCAGCCCCATTTTGGGCAAAGGGCGGCGCCGTATCCATCGCTGCCCCACCGGCCCACCAAACAGATGTTGACCCGTTCGCCGCTCTTCGTGGCTTCGATCGGTAACCCTCCGCCCCGATGGCACAAGACCCTCCACTCAGCCGGTCACATCCTCCTACGCGCGCTGGCCGAACACCTAGATGCTCCCTTGCAGCCGATGGCTCCGTACTCTCTGCCTGCCAACCCACCCCCAAGAGACTATCCCGGCCCATTCACCTCCCCCACCCAGCTCCCCAGCACGCATACTCCATTGTTCCTTTGGCAGTCGCCGACATTGATGAACATATCCGGCCCGACACTAGTAAGGGCGTATGAAAAATGGTGTGTGGAAAAGGGGGTGGTGGTTGGCGGTGTCGTCGGTGTATCAAGAACAAACGCCGCAGCAGCAGCCGCGGGCACGGGCACGGGCACGGGCACGAGTACGAGTATACTCTGCGACGATAAAAGCCAAAGCCAAAGCCAAAGCCAAAGCCAAGGCAAAAGCAAAAGCCAAGAAGCCGAAACAAAACGTGCAAAGGACTCCCACAAGCCCATCCCGCTAAACCTCATCCTCCTCCACGACGACCTCGAGCTGTCACCAGGGAAACTCTCTGTGCGCCGCGGCGGCGCATCCCTCTCTGCGCGCGGCCACAATGGTATTAAAAGCGTGGTGAATAGTCTTGTGAAAGCCGGTATGCTGTCGCCGGCGCGCGGGGCGGGGAAGAAAAAGGGCGGTAGCAGCGGCGGCGTTGTTGTTGGCAATGTAGGGGCTCTCGACCCAACCCGTTTCCAGCTCACTCGGATTGGGGTGGGCATTGGGCGGCCTGCAAGTCGCGAGCCGGAGGAAGTGGCAGAGTATGTGCTGGGGCGCATGCCGGATCGGCAGATGGAGGTGACGGCAGGGTTGGTGGAGGAGTTAGTGAGGATTTTGGAGAAGGAGGCTGAGATGATGGATGGGGTATGAGGGTTCGACGGAGATGCGATGGCGAAGGCTGCATGGTATGTGCTGTACGATAATGACAGGTTTATAATTTCTGCATAGTTTTGGTTGGCTCCTATATTTGCTTTTGGTTTCATTCCTGTTTTTCTGGAGGGGATACCATTTTGTTTCTTTTATTGCCCAGATACTCCTGTTCTTTTTAGACCTACACTTTCTGTATACCTCGGTGTTGTTGCGCATTCATGAAAGCACCTAAAGGCGTTATTGGCAATGGATAAATTGGGGACATCAAGAAAATAAAATGTTTATCGAGCTACTAGTATATATTTCAGATGACTGCTGTGCAAATCGTGAAACTGAATATCTCGCCCAAAATGTATGTTTCGAAATGAAAACATCTGGTCCTCGATCTGCTGAAGAAGTTCATCGCCGCACACAAAGATAGCAGATAATCGGACTACAGGAAGAAAAAGTTGAAGACAGGAAGCCAAAGCTAACTATCTAGCGAAGAAGCCGTCAGAAATACTGTCGCAAAGACACATCCGACGGTAGATAGCTCGCCGTTTTCACCAGCACCCAAGCGCACCCGCTCAGGGGAAAAAAACACAAACTAAATTTTCCAGCAGCAAGTAGTAACATGTCGTGCATATATGAGTAAATATACATGACTGTTTGTATATTCGTCTGTATATATAGGCGTGTGTGTATTTACGCAACTAGCTGACCGAGAAAAGAGGTATCTAAAGCGGAGAAAGCAAGAGGGCAGAGAAACGGAGAGATGAAAAACGTATATGATATGAAAATAGAGAAAGAAGAAAATAGAGAAAGAAGAAGAGGAGAAAGAAGAAGAGGAGAAAGAAGAAGAGGAGAAAGAAGAAGAGGAGAAAGAAGAAGAGGAAAAACAAACAGGGAGTGTGTGCGATGTAGAGAAAGAGAAAGATGAAATATTCCCGCACGCTAAAGATCATTCCAACACACGATATGAATCCATACACTTGATACACCATTTTATTTCTTCCCAAACTGCGTGCTCTCCCTCCTAACCCTCCCAAGGAGTGATCGCAAACCATTTCGCGACCGTTGGGTTGCGGATGTAGTCACTGGCGCTGCGGTAGCGTTGGTCGCGCTTGTTACAGCGACAGCAGTTCCCATCGCTCTGTGGGACGGCGAGCGCGTGCTAGATGACAGTGACGGGGCTGCTTCTGCTTGGGCGGATAGTTGTTCTGAGCTTTGTATCACTGGTTCTGAAGGCGAGGTGGCGGTAGTGGGGGCGGTCACTCCGAACCCTACACTCCCATCCGCAACTGGGTTTTGTATTTGAGACGACAAAGTTGTAGACCCAGCTGCAGCTGCCGCCATTGGGCCAACCTGGGTCAGATCCGATGGGCCCTTCTGATCCGTTATATCAAGTGTGGCTTGCCGAAGCAGCCCGCCAAGGCTAGATTCCTTCCCCTCAACCCGCCGGGTGAGATACACCTTTGGCGTCGGACGCTGACGCGCAAGGCTTTGTTTCCGAATCCGCTCCACCTCCTCCATATACGCGGTTTCATAGATGTTAATATCTGCGGCGCCGGGCGATTCACTTACAATGAGCACCTGACCCATTTCAGAGATTGGGAAGGCAGTGCTGTCATCATCGTCAAGACCACTGGCTACTTCGGACTTCACTAGTGCCTCTGTGGCTGCATGAGGTGCAGCTGCAAGGTTGAAATTGTTTGATGATCTCTCTTCGTCTTCTGATGTTAGTACTCCCGTGAATGATGATGGTCCGATGAAGAGGAACGAATGTTCTTCTTCCAGAGGATCGCGAGCATGGCCGCGTGTACCTTCGGAAAAGCTTTGTTTGCTTGGGGTGCTGGTGCGGGAGGTTTGAAGAAGCGGCGAAGACGGGGATTTGGTAGTTGAGCTGGCGCAGTGTTGGCATGATCCCCCAAACGTACATGCAAGCCGCGAGGCACTGCCGCCTTTTTGCATGGTGGGCTGAATGTAAATTCCCTGTTCGATGACATGTCGCCCAGAGTCTGTAGAACCAGACTTTGAATTGATGATCCTAGGACTAGAGAGAGCATTTGGGTCTGTTGTATTCACTGAGGAAACTTCAATGTCGGACGCTTCCATGGATAGCGGCGGTTGAACGAAGTGAGACTCGACATCTTGACCCAGAATACTTTGCATTGGGGCTGCGTTTTCTGGCTCGATGAGCCTTTTGAATTTCTGTACTGCTCTAACCTGTGGGGCTATGTTAGAACCCATTCAATTGCACACATAATATTTCATGCTAGAAACAACCTACCACTGCAAGCACATTGCCTATTTTGTTGGTAATGGCAGAGTTCACTTCTTCTTCGGTGGGGTCACCAATGAGATTGGCAGTGTTTTCCTCTGCAGAAAGGAGAGGGTCGGTACCGCCTTTTGTGACCCAGGGATGGTTCTTGGCCTTATCAGCAAGGGCATTTGCAATATGAATACCAAAAAGAAAGAAAGAAAGAAAGAAAGAAAGAAAGAAAGAGAGAAAAAGAGAGAACTGTCATACTCACTCTGAGCTCAGGCATCTTGATCCTTTTCGTAGGATCCTTTTGTAGAATATTTGTCATCAAATCTATGAAATCCTCATCTGTTTCATTTTCGTATTTAACCTCGTCATTCCTGATTGACTCGTAGAGCTCAAAAATGCTCTCTTTCTCGAATGGTATTCGCCCATAGCGGAGGCAGTACAGCGTCACTCCCATGGACCAGATGTCAGCTGCTGTGCCGGATATATCCCCATGTTTCGCAACACACAACTCTGGTGGCAGAAAGGCAGGAGATCCTGCCGACTTCGCGGTATACATGTCAGAATCTTTCTGAAACATCTCAGACACGCCAAAATCGACAACTTTTAGCACGTCATCGTTAGTCAGGAGGCAGTTGTCTGGTTTGATGTCTCGGTGAACGATATTCTGTGCGTGCAGGTACTCCACTCCCAGGATCAAGTCCCGAAACCAGCAACGACAGCTTTCGTTTTGATAAGGGTCTGAGCATTCTCCCAGGCCGACCTTCATGATGACACCCTTTTTACACATCTCCATGACCATATATAACGAGTCCTCTGTAGGGTCGTCGAGAACTTCATACAAAGCCACGAGGTTAGGGTGATTTAGCTTTTTCATGATTGCAATCTCCTCCTTAATAAAATATAGGGGGTTGCTGTTCGCTTCGTCTTCGTGGCCTGACGGGTGGCGGTGAAGCGGAGAATTCAACCCCATACCGGCGGGGATGGTGCCAGGGCGTCTGGCACCCCGAGGATTGCGCAAGATATGGGATTGAGCTCGCTTTCGCAATCGTGATTTAGAAAATTCTTTGACGGCCTTGAAAATCCCCAATCGTTACCATACGATTATCGATCACATAAAAGATGAAGAAGACACTCACGTATTCATGGCCATATTGATCGATTGCAAGATGGACGGCCCCGAACGAGCCCCTTCCAATTTCCTGTTTTATGAGGTACTGATTGATGCGATGTTCAGCCGTGCCATCATCATGGCTATTCGTGTATTCGGAACGAGCGTTAAGGGTTTCCTTGTCCAGTTGGCGTGCTGTCAGAACGAGCAACAAAAACAGTTGTCAGGGTTAAGGGCCAGCGACAGGGTTAGGGTGGCGCACTTTTACTCGACGAGGAGCAGTATGGCTTCTCGTATGGTGCCTTAGCGGACTGTCATAGGAGGCTGTGGTAGACCTTTATTTCAATGAAAAGCCGATATTAGCTCACAGTCGATACCAACAAAAAAAAGAAAATCAAATTAAGCTCAAATATCAGTAAGAGGTGAGCAGCATCAGCCGTAGACGCTGTGGTGATAGCTATATTGGTTCATATCTCATGCCACCATGGCTAGACTGGAGCTAGCTATGAAAAGGGTGCAGAAATGTCAACCAGCTTTCTGGACTCACACACAGCTTTGGGCATCGCAAGTATAGATGTATATAAATATGGATTGCAAAAGAAACATACCAGGTGCGTGATTCAGCAAGGGTCGTGAGGCAGTCGGTTGTGGTATCTCTGTCCACCGTCCTTTGGCGCTCAGAAGCAGCCGAGGCTCGGTCCATTTAACAGGGCGGCTGGGGAGTGTGGCAGAGGACAAGCTGGTTCAGCGGATGAGGTCCAACTGGATAATAAAAAATATCGCAGAGTCTTTCAATGTCTGTCTAAGCGTGCGTGGTGAGTGACCAGCTGTTCCCGTGTTTGGTTTGATCTCGCTCTTGATGATTGTGTCGAAGGGGCAACAGAGCTAAGCGTAGTTCAACAGGGCTGAATGTGGGGCACCGAGGGGCAGAGAGCCCCGATATTTCTCTGTTTTCTGCAGAACCAGGCTAAAAATCGAGTCACGGAAATGGGAGCAGCAGCGAACCGCTCCTCATTGAAGCGAGAGGAGACGGACGTCTAAACAAATTAGAACAAAAATCAATCCGCCTGGTTTGGAGGGTTCGGGAGACCAGGAGCTCCACCAACAACAATTCGGATCGTCGAATCAATTGAGACTTGGAAGCATCGAGAACTGAATACGAGCCCGAGAAAACCGCAATCCACCGTTATTGGTGACCGAAGCAGCAGCAGGATTCCATGTGTATCCATACCATTGAGCGGCTTGTCTTCCTATCCCGTTGACTTTCAAGCGGGGTGGAAGGTTAGAGAGCACGCTAGCCGGCTTACTAAGTGTTTCTTGATGGCTTTCTTCCTTTGTCTCCTCTCACTCTACAGATTATGGGGGACAGGGAATTCTACTCTTGCAGCTTTACAATCTGTGTGTGCGCTGGTGGCCGAACGGTTGGTCCGACCATCTGGTAGCGCCTTGGTGTGGATCCAAAACCCCCAGGGATACATCTTGCAAGCCTCCGACTGACAAGCCATCTCTTGATGACTGTATCTATCCCAAGGCTTCTCACCCTTCCCCTTGGAGAAGCGGAGTGACGATCACGTTATATCGATGTGCGAACAGGCCATCGCTGGAATCCCGGAGTTCAGGGAGCGCATCTATATAATTTTGGATTTCATGATGCTAGTTGCTTTCCGAACAGCGCAACTCTGCAAAGGGAATCAGTCGCGGCAACAGCCCCAGTCCTTGCTATGAGATGCAGTTCAATTTAACGATAGCGACGAGGTGCCAAACGCAAACGACACGGACTTATCCACACGGCTACCATTTCGCTACACGCGAATATGACATTGGCTTCCCGGCCACCAGTGGTTTTGATATGGGCTCCAATCACAAGAGGAATCTAGTGTGTGGTTTGGGCGATGGGAATTTTCTTTTTAACGGAACAGAATTCTAGGCCTGGGTCGAGACTGCTGGAGATTGAAGGGCCAATGACGTTTACAATCATACTTGAGATGGCTATGGCGCTGCAATGGATTTTAACCATGGCTTCCCGGCCGGTGATCTCCACTGGATGCGTCAATTTCCCTCGATATTCCGCTAATGGAACAAACCCCAGAATCATCATATATCTGAATTCTCCGAACGGGATGATCTTTTGAAAATAGCCGTTCTACCGCCTGATGGCCGGTTTGGACCAACCAAACCCCTTCCATCGATACCTCACTATGACAAGATCGGCTTTATCTGTCGGGATCGGCAATGTTTGTGCTAGCCAGCTGTTACATATGAGCCTGAAGTACACTGTGTATGTCAGCACCTCGGCTCAAAACGTCACGGGCCACATACAAGTCTTGGCTATTGGAGCTGACAGATTGCGTCTGTTGAGTTTCAACCCCACGGAGCCCAGTATCAGTCCCATGTACTGTTTTCATTCCCGTGAAGGTGATAACAGGCGATGGCGACAATATCTCTCAGCCCTTTTTCTTTCACCATGTCCCTCCAGTTCGGAGCATGCTTAATGGGTTGGGCTTCCCAAGAATTTGGGACGGCCACCGACCGTCAAGAAAGCTGGTCCCGAAGTCGCTGCTTCTGCCCCATGCTGCGGACACGATAGCAAGGACCAACTTCATTTCCTTCGCTAACGTCGAAACAGTACACAGTTTGGAGTTCATTCACCTCGTTTTGAAGTGCTTTCTCATCAGATACTGTACTTGCACCATTCTTCAACGCAGGGCTGTTGTGGGAGGCGCTGGGTGGTGGATTATCAAATTATTGTAAGTGAAATATTGATGAAAAGAAAAAGATGGAACAGAAAATGTAGTCTGGAGTAAATGCCTGTGAGATGCCTACGGTAAACATGCACATCTTCAACACTATATCAGATATAAATACTATATTAAGTGGTATGGATATATTTTACAACTCCTAGCACGAATATACGCCGCGTAGTAGAATTTAAAAATGTATGTGGATAATATTCCGTGGCAATAATGGGTCTCTGCTGTGGATGTGGAAGGAGTCTCCTGCGGAATTTAGTTCCACGGAATATCCATATGACGCCCACATCCTCAGTCCTCAACCTCCTGGGGCACACACGATATGTCCAAATACCAGCAGAATTAAATACAAAAGAATCCCCCAACTACCAAGTACATATTAGCGTCCTGCGTCCCCCGATCCCCACAATCCACAGTCCATCTTGTGTTTGCCTTCTTTCCTAATATCTAGGCAATATCAAGCAATTGACATCTCCACCACGATCACGATCATGGTTGTGTATTCTTTCTACATCTTCGACCGCCACGGTTCGTTTTATATGCGCTTATCGTATACTCTGTTCAACAACTTGCCGTGCTAACACCTATGTCCTCTCTACCAAATGCAGCGGAGTGCATCTACAAGCGTCGCTGGCTCCCACGGCCGACCTCCACAACTTCAAGGTCCTCCCGACCCTCCTCAGAACCCACCTCCGCCAGCAATGGCATGCCCTCGTCCATACCCTCCCGCCAAAGCCTGACTGCAGAAGATGATGCTAAGCTGATATTCGGCACCGTATTCTCACTACGTAATATGGTGCGCAAGCTGGGAGGCGATGATGACAAGTATGCGGGGAAAAAAAAATAATGACTCCTGGGCATTTGGGCAATCGGAAATCATGCTGACCGGATCCATCTCCGTAGCTTCATCTGTTATCGAACAAGCCAATACAAGCTGCATTACTACGAAACACCCACGAATATCAAGTTTATCATGCTTACAGACGTCAAGTCTGGTAACATGCGACCAGCGCTACAGCAGATATATGTCAATTTATATGTGGAATACGGTTCGTGCACCCTTGACCATCACCTCTTCCGTTCTATAATATTATATATTTAGACAAAAATATATAATACACAACAGTCAGTAGTCACTGACTTAAAACATGTTACCATTTTCCAGTTGTCAAAAACCCTCTATCCCCCATCGAACATCCGGGTGGCATAGGCGTCAATAACGAGTTATTCGAGGAGTCCCTACAACAGTTCGTGGTATGTGTATTCCATTTCGACCACTACTTGTTTTGAGACAAGTAGACTAACGTTGCGCAATCCTTTAGACTCAGGTATTAGCATAAATCTCCAAAAACCTCCAGAATATCCCTATATACCGTGGCCGGGGATATATATTTCCGTTGTATTCACGCCCTGGTGGACATTTACCTACCAGTTTCCGCTTCGCGGGTTTAACTCTCTCCGCGTTCTTGGGTGGAGGGGCAAACGCTTTTGCGAAGCGAAAACTATCTACAGCTTTTCTCTAGGAAGCAAAGATTCTTTATAAAGCTTGGCGCATTTCGTGCCACGCTCCGTGCGGAGGGATAATTGACAGCACGCTATGACCGGATTCTGAGTCTCACAGTACACTCAACAGGGCTAGGGAACCGCCGCCACACTGTACACCTATCTCTATAGACTGTGAAATTGGGATGAGGCCCTTCATAGCAGCCCTACTAACACGCGGCCGTCACTCCATATGAGAACTTAGCCCCCAATTTCGCAAATTTCGCCCACCTGTGGCCAATGCGGAAGGGCGGCAAAGAGACAAAGTAATAGTGGAGATAAACCCTTCCAACTCTTCTTCTTGTAAGCTTAAGACACCCGATCTCACTTGCGTGAGTTAAATGCTATATTCACCCCCGACTGGATGTGTATGGACATTTGCCAATCACTTCACATCTCAAGCTCACCTTGATTTACTAAGGGGTTTTTCCCATCTTCTTCGCAACGCTGGTTTTTTACGTTTCGTTCACTCTTAAATGCATCCCTGATGTATGTACATTAGAGCCTAGATAGTAAACGGGTTACCTGCTTCTTAGCCCTTATAGCAAAGAATCCAAAAAGAAAGAAAAAAAATGAAGGGGTAAGAAACCGTAATCCGATATAAAAAGTTAACCACAATGAGGTGTTTTATGATTACCGTCTTAGAAAAACAGAGAGGCACAATTCATTCTACCACGGTTGTATTAAACATTCGCAACTATCTCCTCATTTTCCTTTTCTTTCTTCCCACAAACTAGGAAATCTAGAGGATTATTCATTACACCGCATTACACATAATACATTTACGTCTACGCTTGCGAGAGTTACTCCTACCTAGCCTCGAAATCATCCACGCTCTCCAGGAGCTCTGCATCGCTAGGTTCCCAAGGGTACTGTCGCTCCAACTGCCTAATCAACTGCACATGTCTCTCGCTCCGCGGCTCGATTCGAAAATCGAACTTGGTCGGATACGTCAGAATGCCCGGCCTCGGCCGGACATCGACCTCGATCTCCCTGCCATCTTCGCCCACCGCCTTGCGCATGCTGAAAGCAGCCAACAACTGCGCAATGGTCAGGTAGAGGCTAGCGTCCGCAAGGAACCGGCCAGGGCATACCCTGCGGCCATAACCGAAGGCGTCCGCCGTGGGATCGGGCTCGTTACGTGGCGCGAGGAAGCGGTCTGGATCAAACGCTTCCGGCTCGGCATAGACGTCCGGGTCGTGCAGGAACCACCAGACGGCCGGGAGGAGGAGTGAGCCCTGCGGGATATGCAGGCCGTTGTACACGATGTCCTCCGTGGCCGTGTGTGGGAAGCCCATGGGCGCAATGGGCCACCATCTCACGGCCTCTTTGACCAGGGCGTCAATGAATGGCAGCTGGCTGCGGTCGTCGAAGTTTGGGAGGCGGTCCGTGCCGACGACGCGATCGATCTCCTCCTGTGCTTTGCGCTGCACGTGGGGGAACTTGATCATGGCTAGTGTAAATATTGTAAGGGTGATTATCGTAGTATCCGCGGCAGCGCCGTATAAACTGGCCGCTGTCCAGATGATCGCCTGCTCATCTTCGTGCTCCAACTTAGCGTTCTCACCCCCCCTGAGTTGCTGGATCAGTTTTGATACATATGAAGGCTGGTGAGTGTGGACACCAGCCATTTGACGCCGGACAAATCGGTACGGGATGTAAGCAGAGTCCAGGATGGACTTTTTCCACCTACGCGCTGTCTTCTTGAACGTGGCGCCGGGAAAATTCTCTGGAAGATAGCGGAGGGCGGGAATAATATCAACGGCCCAAGCCATGGGCACAGCCGCGAGGGAAAACTCCGTCATCATTTTATCAATCAGGTCAACCAAGGGATCAGGCTTATGCGGCTCGATGGTGTAGCCGTATGCCATTTTCAAGACAGTAGCTGCAGCGGCACTGCCCTTGATTTTAGTATACGCAAATCCCTGCTCCCCACCCCTTTCCCCCTTCGCTCCCACAAAATCCAAAAATGATCCAAAAACATCGCTGAAACTTACGTCTTGAAATGCTCTAGCCATTTCCCGGGCTCATTCAGCGCCCGCACAAGCTGTCGGCTCACCTCGATCTCCTGGACACTGCGGAACTGCGCCGCGGACACCTTGGTACCAAGCTCCCGGTGCAGATACTTGCGATAGCGACGGAAAGTGGGCGTGTAGCTCTGACAGAGGACAATAGACTCGTAACCGCACAGCATGTTTGCCATGACCATCGTGGGCCGTCCTGACGTCTTGCTCGACGTCTGCTCCAGCAGTTCATGCGCCGTTTTCCTGTCATGGATGACGACGAGCGTCAAGCCCAGAACCGTCACGGAACTGATGCCACCATAGAGGTCCTTGTGCTTCAGCCAATGCTGGTATTCAGGCACGCCATCTGGTGGGAAATCTTTAAGGTTTCCCAGGATAGGATGCGGTTTGGGGCCCGGGGGGAGTTTGCCCTGGCGCTTCCTCTGGACCGACTGATTATATATCAAGTACCCGATGAGGGCTGTAAGACCCCACAAGATCAATGATGTAATCGCCATGCTGGCAGATTACCTGTCGGATTCAACGAGAGCAGAACAGCAAACGCAGGTGGTTTATGCTTGTCCACCGGCCTATCGTTATTCCAGCTTTATTGTGGGGCTTCCAGCATCCCCCATGTTTTGACTAGTCAAGTGTTATTCTGAGAGAAATTTTTGAGGGGTGAAGTGCGACAAGCTAAAACTAAGAAGCATTTCAAACAGGAGGCCAAAGACACTGAAATCCTCCTACAACAAAAAAATTAAAAAGAAAAGAAAAAGATTTAAAACAAAAAGGGGGGAATTAAACGAAAAAAAGGTATCCACAAGCGAAAACTGAAAGATAAAGAAAACACTGTCGGGTATTACCTGGAGCAACACTGACTGATAACACAGTGTGCTCCATCTGATCCAAGTATATATCTATCCCTCGCTGGTAGCAAACCCAAAAAGCAAATAGGGAGGGATTAACAAAAAAATAGAAAAAATATACTGATCAATAAATTCCCTCCAATTCAATATTAAATCCATTCCAAAAAAGCAAAGAAAAAAAATCAAAAACGATATGAAACAAAGGAAAAGAAACAGCCAAAATTCAGTTTCCATCCAAACATCCTCGCCTCCGCACCAACCAAACATTCAAACCCCTCCTCCCCACTACCCGCTTCAGCGTCGGCCACACTCCATCCTCGCCAAAATCCATATCATCTAGATTCAAATGGCGCGCATATGACCAAAGGAGGTGCAGTTGCAAGGAGTGCAGGCTTCCCCTATCCTTTTCCTCGTTCTCATTTGTCCTGTCTGCAACCGCATCCGCATCTGCAGCGGACGCAGAACCAGTACGGACAGCAACATATCTATCCAGAAACGTATTCGAGTTCGGCGCGATGAGGAGGGTTGGGTTGTCGTGTTGGATTGTGACTTTATTATTATAATTATTGTTACTGTTCACTGCGCTATCATCATTACCCGCATTGGGATCCAGCTGTTGGTGCTGGTGGTTACGCTTGGCAGCAGGCTTGCCGTGTTTTGGCCTGCGATCGCTCTCGCATTTCGGGACAGACCGTTCGAGTCTCTCCATCATCTCCGGGCCAGGAATACCCATCAGGTCAATGGTGGAGATGCTGGAGAAAGTAAGATGTGGGACGCTAGTATTGCTCAGATCACCTAGCATCCAAGAGGGTGGGGAATAGGTTTTCCACCAGAAAGCGGTGGCGGTGCCGCTGGGCATTCGCATTGGCATTGGGTCGTCTGGTTTAGAATTCATCCCCCCTGATCCCGGGGAGGAAGTCAGCGGCGCGGTTGAGTTGGCGAGGAGGGTGGGGAGGTTGAGTTGTGTTGGGATCACCCCGCCTTGGTGATAGATGCCCATGAGGATACCTAGAGCGGCGTTGAAGAGGACCCAGGATGCTAAGAAGAAGCGGGAGCGTGGGGGACGAAAACAGGTTAGGAGAAGGGCAACGCAGGGGATGAGGAAGCGGGGTTCTTGGTGGGGAAAAATGGAGAGGAGAACTGTTGCTGAAAGGGCTGAGATGGCGCGGAGGTTCCGGAGGGAGAAGAACGAGCGGACACTTGAGGATATGAAGGAGTAGAGTAAGAGGAGGTAGATGGGACCAAGGAGTTGGGGTAGGTTGACAAGGAAGTGATTGTAGCGCGGATGGAGGCCATGGTTAGCGAGGTTTGAAACGTCGGAGTTGTAGAACAGGTTGTTGAGGGGCGTAATGATTGGGTTGTGGAAAACATCGGAAAGGGATGTTACGGATGCGCTGTAGAAATTTGTGTCTATGAAGATCGCGATGAAGCAAGATATGAGGCCGAAAACAATGACTGTTAGAAGCGAAAGCGGTCTGCATGTGTAAGGTCAGTGCATCAGGCCGACAGGAACTGGTTGTACTGCACGGACAAAAAAAAAGGGCATTACATACTTGCGAAGGAAATGGGGGACCAATCGAAGGCCGGGTATCAAAACAAATGCTGGAAAAGTTATTCTATTAAAAACCCCCGCGACGAGCAGGAAGGATAAGACCACACATGCGAAGATAGAGGAATTTTGCTACGGGAGCAGGGTGTCAGCATTATTGATTGCAATGAATGAATTGAGTGCATTTATATATTTAGATATATATATATTTGTGTGCGTACCTTGTTTTCGAGAATGCGTTGTATCAAAACTAAGCTCCACACGACAAGCAACGTCTCCAACGAATTCGAGAAGGTATGTGTCTGGAAAGTCCAGGTAACATAGGAGGATGCCACCAGGACGACTGTCTGGCGACGGAGTCGTGAAGATGATGCCACCAGTTCATGGATCGCCCAGTCCTCCATAACAAAGCTCAGAACAAACATGCTCCCGCGCAGGACATAGTATATCAGTTCCGGCGGAGTATTTCCAGTCCCATCTTCCGCCCATAGCCACTTCAGGAGCGTCATGGGTACGCCGTAGAAAAGCCATAGCGGGAAAACGCTCCGAATAGGACGGTCTGAGGTAAATTCCCAGGTTGGCTTGGAAGGATAGTTGAAGATTTGGCCTGCAAGAGTTCGATTGTTAGCGGCCCATTGTAGACTTTGTCTGATATTGTAAATTCAATCAATGGACGCTGGCAGAAAAGGGGGAATTTGGTAGCGGAGACGACAGCAAGGGGCGGTTAAGACATTTTTATTTTGATCAACACAAGTTCTTGGCGCATTTGCAATCGCTTTGATGTCAAAATAAAACAAAGATGCCTTGCGTCAAATCCGAGAGATGCAGTGGGAGATTCATACCAGCAAAAATCTCCGGGCCCTGGAAGTTCTCATCTGGGTGGAGATAGCTGGGTGAGAAGGCAAAGTAGATGCGAACCACGAGGAGAAGCAGGTATGTTCGTCTGAACATGGCGCAGGACAAATCAGGGGATCAGATAGTGCGACCATAGGAAATGATAGAGCATTGTACAGTACATGTACCTGGGAGGGTGCCCGGGTCAGCAAGACGAGCGAAGTTGGTGATGCGTTGCTGCGAAAGGGTGGGTTGTGTTGGGTGAGATAGAAAAAGTTGATGATCAACCGAGAGCCTTGATCAGGATTCGGTGGCCGAAGGACGGCATGACCACGCCCAATCTTGGTTGGGGGATGCTGAACTGCTCATTAGCTGCTTATCCTAGATCCACATCGAATCAGGACAACTCCAGATCGAAGCCCACGGCCCAGATGGATGGCAGGAGATCAGGAGGAGAACCGGCGGGGGTTCAACCAAACTCTTTAACTAACAATAGCGGACCCAGGCCTGGGCTCTAGGTGCTGTTGGGCAATGGACCGGGCACCTCATTGTGCGAATACAAAAGCCCCGGGTTTCATATGTGGATACTGAAGGTGTGCCTGTACTACAGCACGGGATAGTACGGGATAGTATAGGACGGTATAGACACACATAGAACTTCTTACTACTGAATGCTTGCTGCGGCACACAGCCAATGCAGAGCAAAGTTACCTTCTCCAGCAACCGGATACATCTTTTGTCACGTGATGTCACTGGCACCGTGGATCCCGCCAAACCGTCTGCCTGGCTTGTGCTGTCAAAGATTATAGTCATAACTACGATCTTACCACCACTGTCGCCGCAACACTATCTGCTCTACCTCTCCCTGATTAGCTTCCTCGATAAACTCCGTCGCCTCTCTGACCCAAAGCCAACCTGATTATCAACCGCGATACGGTATGTCCCGCTTCCTCTGTTTGCGTGCCTCTCCTAGCAGCTCCCCTCTTCCTTGAGCATCTCCAGGCAAAACCAGCCAGCACTAAACTCCCTCTTGTGCACATATATAGAAGACCCGAATCCCCCATATCCCAGAGGATCCTCTTTGCTCTCCGCCCTAGAAACCTATAACGCCCGCTCGAAACTCCCATAAGCTACCAACATGTCGCCTCCTGCCAAAGATGAAACCAATGCCACGAGTACTGGCAAAAATGAAGTGCGGCTGATCCCCTCCGATGAACCCCAAGGCGGGCCCGGGATTTCAGTCGGTATGCTACAATTCCCCCTTCCCCCGATATCTACTTGAAACCCGAAAAGAAATGGTGCACAAGGCTAATATATTATATCTTCCACCGACTCTAGAACGTTCCATCATAGAACGCTCCATCCTAATCAAGAACATGCTTGAGGATGTCGGTGAGGGAAGCATGGAAGAAGAGATCCCAATTCCAAATGTATGGATATCCTCCCTGTTTGCAAAGCTTTACTCTGCTGCCCCACAGAAGCAACTAACACCCAACCCTTAGGTCAACAGAGCCGTCCTGGAAAAGGTTATTGCGTGGTGCACAAAGCATCAGGGCGACCCTCCAAGCACCGGCGACGAGGACAACGACTCCCGCAGGAAAACCACAGATATCGATGAATGGGATCAAAAATTCATGCAAGTCGACCAGGAGATGCTGTTCGAAATCATTCTGGTATTCCTTCCTCTCTGGCTTCCGAGCTACATCAAATATATTTCTTGACGGCAACGTGCTAAGCTTTCCCAGGCTGCCAACTACCTTGATATCAAGGCCCTCCTCGATATTGGTTGCAAGACCGTCGCAAATATGATCAAGGGCAAGTCTCCAGAAGATATCCGCAAGACCTTCAATATCCAAAATGACTTCACGCCAGAGGAAGAAGCTCAAATCCGCGCGGAGAACGAATGGGCTGAGGAGTATGTTTTCTTTTTTCTTTTTTTTCCTCCACACCTCACTTTATTTCTGTACATTCCTTTCCTATTTTTTGTCGTATACTAACAATTATCTACAGTCGTTGATTTTCATCCACTGTCATGCGACACTCGTAATACGAAACCATAACGAACTTTCCTTCATCCTCCCTCCGATGCTCTCTTGGTGTGTACAGCCACGTATGCAATGTAGTCGCAACCGTCTACATTTCACACAGTTATCCGACACGGTTAGGTTGAACCTGCGGAATTCGAGAAGGGAAATTGACACTACGGAAGTGGGGTCGGAAAAGGGGGTGGGTGAAATAATGAAATAGTTTTCAAATTTTCAATCAAAAAAATTCATATATACATCCTTTGCTGTTCCTTCCGTTCCTCCTTGTTTTGTCGCACCCCCATAATTTTTTGTCTTCGGATGCGGCACGATTCCATTTCGATTCGATATGATACATATCGGTAAGGCGTTTTCTCAGCTCATTGTGCTCTTGTTCTCTTTTTTTTTTTTCTCATTCTTTCCAAATATCTCGTCCCCATTACCATTACTATTTGCCGTTTTCATATCCTCTGCCCGTTTCGTTTTTATTTTTTGCTTTGTATGCCCCCAAGTCTTCAATTTCCCAGCTATTTTTTTTTTCTTCCACTTTACACTCAAACAAAAGGGGGGAAAGGAAACTCTTGTCAAATTTGCAAAATATGATGATACCATCAATTGAGGCATGTAGACCTATATCCACGGAAACAAAAAATAATATAAGATATTTTTGTTTTTTCATTCTTTTTGACTATGAAGTTCAGACAGCCAATATATTGTCAGTCAGTGCATTCATCAATCCAAGGTAGGTAATTTTGTCCCTTTCTTTTCTTTATGTTTTCTTTCCTCATTATGTTTCCGGTTACTCTATCCTCCTCCTTTCCCATAAACCAGGAAACAAAAGCAATAAATGCTGACCCCTTGCCAATTTCTCTTCTTTGACTGTTCCCCGCGTACAGGGGGGAGGGGTCTTCCTACCGCTTTTTTCCCCTTTTGAAGCCGGTTCGGGATAGTTTTTTTGTTCACTGTTCTTTGTATTATCGTTTTCCCCTCCTTACACCCTTTTACTACATGTAACCTAACCCGGACGTGGGAGATGACCACTAGGAATGCCTATCAAATATCGAATTAGTAAAACGAGAAAGATAAAAGATAAACATGGGGGGGAAACGGTGTTGGTTCAAAAAAAAAAAACCTGGATGATGAAAAAACAATGCTCTTTTTTTTCCCATTGTCAACCTCCCAACCGCGGTCTGACTGGTTCCCTAAATAAATAAGCCTTTTCCAGATTGTGTTACTGGTTGCATGGAGCGCAAGATGCGCTGGAGAAGAGAAAGAAGGAAGGTAGCAAGGTAGCAAGGTAGCAAGGTAGCACATGGATCTACCGAGGGTAATCTACAGCGGTTTCATCGAAAGCCAAGCTTGTGTTTTGTTTCCTAGCCCGCAACAATACGTAGTGCTCGCTTTCTCTTTGGAAATTCAGGGGAATGGAAGAAATGCAGGCCAGGCTAGAAAAAGCTGAGGAAGGATCGTTTGATTGGAAGATGTTTTGTTCTCTTTTACTTTTACTTTTACCTTCATAAGGTGGAGGGAGAATGGCGAACAAGGAAGAAAACAAGGAAGAGAATTGAAAAGAAAGAAAAGAAAAGAAACTTTCATTCGAGCTCGTCGTGGACATCAAAAGCAGAAGCAATCCTCCCCTTCCCTTCCCCTTTTGCATCCCCAAACATTGATCCCATTCTCCATAGTTCATCCAATAGAGATACCACGAAGCCTTGATGCGATCCCCTTGCTTCTGTTTCTGCTTCTGTTTCTGTCCAGATCCCATGGCAGTAACAGAAAGTAAAAAAAAGAAGAAGAAATAAATAAAATAAAATAAAAGGGAAAAAGCAAAAGATCGAGGTCCGAAACACCCAAATTTCTATTTTCACAGGTACACTCCCCCTGCTTCTCCCTCATTCATTCATTACTCTGATATTGTCGGAATCCCTATTCCGTGAAATCCATTTTATTCCCAGTTTTGAAATCACAGGGTATTATTATCTCCTTCTCGAGTCAAAGTTTTTTATAAAAGTTTCGGAGTCCGTGCGTAAGAATGTACCGAGATAGGGAAAATAAAAGAGTAAAAGGAATTAAGATCGGGATTGACGGAGGAGAGGGCCTTGCGGGTTCATTTTGAGGTGGGGAAGGATCGTTGATTCTGCGATTAATCTAGATGCCGAGACGAGTCTTGCGCCAATGCCTCCGCTTGGCGTTATATCTGTGTTGAGAGAAATGTGCCTGTCAGCCAAACGGTTCCAAATCATATATCATATATCTTGTGACACGATCCGGCCTTTTCGAGTCACTTTGTTTGGTTCAAGATATCCTCCTTTTTGCCAAGCATGTCTAGGACTATAACAACGCCATACAGTCGTTCGGGTATTATATCCCTTTCGAATCTTGCATTCCCTAACCCGTTTCCTCCTTTTCGTTTCCCGGAATCCCCCTGGCCGTACTTTCCCCCCTTCCCCACGATCAACCTCCAAAACCTTCTCCCCTCCCTCTGATCCAGGCTCCGCAGACGAAAAATAGAACGGGGAACGTTACCTGATGGTGTTTCCGGTCCGCAGACGAATCCATTGAGGAATGGGGCGGTTCTGCTTCTGGGCTTTGGCAAGCTTCTGCTTGGTACGGAACGATTTATGGCTCTATTATTCAGGCGATATCGAAGTCGGGGAAAAATTAGCCCTTGGCCCATGATTTTTATTCTTCTGGCATATATTGTTTCCCTGCAAACGGACGGTCTGTGAAGCACTTACCGGCATCCTGGCGGTCTAGGGTACTGCAAATGCTCGAGACTGTGATGGAGTTGACAGTTATTGATGTCGGAGGGGGGAGGCGCAACGGGACACTGACACAGCGAAGTTTTTGTGTGGGAAACTCGCTTACCGATCAGGTTTAGCGTGGTGGAAATAGGCAGCTTTGGGCCAAAGCGGTGGAATGCGGCATAATGATGTCAAAGTTGACATTTTGAGTTCGGCCAAAGTTTTCATCCCATTCATTGTCTTGCGGCGGGTTAAGTGTGCAACGGAACTGATGAAGTGGGCAGCTTGAAACACCTTTTGTCCCCCTCTGCTACATTGCACATCAAGCGCCCTTAACACGGGCTCACAACAGGGCTTGTTGACGAAGTACCAGATGATGCTGTTACATGATATCCTTGTCTCTCCCTACTCCACATCTACCTAGGTTCCTAGGTTCAAGAATATGGATTCATTAATAGTACCTTCTTCTCTTGCCTTTTCAATAGACATGTACATTGTCTATGCCTCTTCGAATTCCACACACACACACACACACACACACACACACACACACAATCTTAAAGAGATCGGGTTTATCTCACGCTGAAGAGCTTCGCCCAGGGCTGTTCTAGATACTAGTATCTACAACCTATGCCTGGGGCAGCTTTGTAATATAGTGTTAGCTGGCAGTACATCTCAGGTCCAGAGAAACGAGAAGAGGAGAATCAAGGCCTCAGAAGGAGGAAAACCCGGTGGCGCAGAATGAATGAATGAAAGAGAGAGAAAGGAAATAAGAGATGCAGAAACAAACGGAGCCAGAACACACCAACTTGTAAGAAAAAATACAGGAAAATCACAGCGGATGTCCAAATCCCCGGACAGGGCCCAGTTGGACATTTCTCAATTTCTCAAGTGCTACCCCACGATATTGGATGGGGGAATTTCGTTCATTTTATGCCTGCCACCTCAACATCCATTCTGGAGCGAACCATACATACTTCATTCCACAAAATAAATATCTCCCCCCGCCCACCCAGAGCAAAGGATTTATTTATAGGCGCTATATTTACAATAGAGCATGGACTCAAAGCACACCTTCACAAGTTGTAATTTGTGCAGATTGATCAAATTTTAACCCCGAAGGTTAATATATATATATATAGAGAGAGAGAGAGAGAGAGAGAGAGAGAGAATTTTTAAACAATCGGGCAAGGACAATAGGTAAAGCCTAATAACTAAACGATACAAGAGCAAGCTCAACACCAATTTTTGACCAGCCACGCAAATAAAGACCACCCACTGCTCCCTGGTTGCCCTACCGAGCCTGAGGAGATCAAGGCGAAACTCATCCTTCATACATCTATCTATCTATGATTTATTCAAACCGACTACTACAGATCATATATACAACTTCCACACCTGCTCTACACAACGACGGACTCTGTCCTGTCCATATATATATATATATGCCCCTCGTACATGTACATCTAGTAAGTTCTAAACCTAACTGAACCAATAACAATAATAAAAAATAAGGAAGGAAAGGAATCGAGAACGAAAACGTCTGAAGGGGAAAAAGTATTTACTTTTTTCCCTTGTTCTCGACGAGTTTCAGAATCAGAGTTACGTCTTTGCTTCTTTCTTTCATCAATGCGAGCGCGAACTCGAACTCGAACTCGAACTATTCTCTTAATTCGACTCATTTAAACTTCCGGCACGAAAGTTTTTTTTTTTTCCTTTTTGGAAAAGAGGAGAGAGATACGACGTATATATCGCGCCTAGGTTCAAATATATATGGGTTGCCTCTTCATGCGTTCACGAGGACAAAGTGATGGAGAGGATTGTTTGCTTGAGCTGGGAAGGGCTAGGCTGGTGGTGTTATTTTTGAGATATTTCTCTCTCTCTCTCTCTCTCGGAGGCAAGCAGCCAGGTAAGGCAACAGGCAACAGGCAAACAGGCAGGATGCTGCAGCTGTTCCTGCACGGGCGTTGCCCCCTCCTCTCCGCCTTTCCCCCGGAAGAGAGAAAAAGCAACAAGCCCGCAGAGGGCAGCAAGCAGTCGAAAACCTATTTACTATTTATTCTGTTCCTCAATTCTCTCCTTCATTTCTTCACATCTTCGTACAAACATGGACAGGCACAGGCATAATCGTTATGGCAATCCCGATGCCTCACCAGGCAAAATGCATTTTTAATGATGTCATTCGGCATTCGGCGGAGGAGGAGGAGGCGCCGAAGTGCGATCGATGTCAGCACCCGCCAAGCCGTGTACAGTTATGCAGTACGAAGTACGGAGTAACTATGGGTAGTGCTGAAACAGCCTGCTTAGAATGTGGCCTTTCGGTGTAGTTTAGTGGCCTATTCTGCTAGCAGTGGATGCTGCTGAAATTTTGAACTTAGCAAGCTGCTGTGTGAGCTCGCTTTTCTGAACAGTAACTAATTTTACAGTCACTACGGAGTAGTTAGTAACATGCAGTGAAGCCACGCAAAATGCCCTGAAACCATGAAACTACTATCCCTTGGCTCAGGACACTTTACAGGTTGTTCCTGAAATTGATATGCAGAATCATGAGAACATTGCTAGCCGCGGTACTATGAATACCAGTCCAGTTGATGACGCTGGAAATGCACAGACAAGCACCACCTGCGAGCTGCAAGCTGGTTCTCAACAATCTCACTACAAGCATGGGAACCAGGCCATCAAAAATCTGGAAAATGGAGTCCGTGAAGGGTTACTTGTGATTGAGCAGCTAAAGTGCATTTTAAGACAGCACTCACAAGATGACATGAGCCATGGATGGCTGAAACAAGTGAACCCGGTCAGAGAAAAAGTCAAATTGAATCCTAAGTTCATCACTTTGGCTAATTGGCAGTACAGGAGCAGGTAAATTATTGCTGATCAATGCTCTACTTGACAAGGAGCAACTCACCCTGACAAGAAGCATGTACGCATGCACGCATGCACAAGTGTCGTCATTGATATCTTAAATAATCATGACCTGGAAAAGTACCGCGCGGAGATTGAGTTTTTCACATTTAAGGAATGGAAGGCTGAGCTGGGTTTTGACCAGATGGAAGCGTATCATAATCATTGCGCCTTTGATATCTGTGAGAATCAAATATATAGGGCTCAGTTCATTGTAGTTGCTGTTTTGGAGGAAGTTCTGATATTCCTGCCTTGAGGTTTGCCGTCAAAAACCCTTGCCAGTATTGTTTCTCAGTTACTGGTGGACTCCCCTCCACCTCTCTGTTGTTTAAAATCATGTGCGGTGCTTTCCATGAACTGTTGATTAGCTCCTGTTTCTTGCATTCTGCCTCCCCCTTTCACGTTGTAGACAGCTGTCAAATCCCATCCAAAATGCACTATTTAATATTTCAACTTCTCACCACCCAAGCCAAGAGTACTCTTTAAATTATGTATATAGAATAGCACCTGATATTATTCTAAATCAGCAATATTGCAGATTGAATGAAATATGATTCTGAATCTGAATTCAAAATAAATTTTTTAGCAGATGCTTGAACTAAGTTTGTGTCTAATTTTTTTTTTTTTTTTTTTTTTTTTTTTTTTTTTTTGGATGAAAATACTTTATGGTTGAATATTGTGTAATCACAATTTCATTTGAGCAAATATCATAGATACTCTGGTAACAATCAATTCCATAAGAGGAAAAAAGTACAATCCATTGTGTACTAAGTACAGGATGACAGAGGACATGAGCCTGGCCACAGAAAGGCAGAGTAGCTACTGTCTAAAAGCTTCCCTGATTTTAAAAATTTGTTGAATGCTTAAGGTGCACCATGGGCGAAAGACGAGGAACTCTGGGAGCCATGTAGGTGGGTCTGCGCCGATGGAATACGCTAAAAAACAAACAATGAGAGCCAGAAACCAACAGAACCAAGCAGCACCAGGGTTTTTAACGGCGTCGGAAAACTGAATGCAGAGCGCGCTTAAGATGAGTAGCAGTTGATAGTAAGGCCATACGTGAAAACGCTATTTGGAGGCATTGTCAGTGGACTGCTCCAGAGTAGATAAATGGTTCCACAGTCATGGACAAGCTCTTACTGCGGCGTATTTGGATCTCCAATGGAGATCCGTATAAATAGCTTTCCCGACAATGTTGTCTCCGACGCAATCAATCAATTTTTCAAGGCTTCGCAGATAAAGCTCGTCACCGTGGATCGGCTCGAATTGATCGATGGGTGTAATCGGCGTCTGTTGGTTATAATAGTGGAGCATATAACGTTGGAAAAACAGGAGGACATCATCCGGGGACGCTGTGGGAGGGGGGAATTCGGGTTTGGGAGTTGGGACGCCTGCGCGGACAAGGGAAAGCATGTTGGCAGTTCCCAAACAGTTGGGCTTTGAAGCTAAATGTCAGTGAAGTAAACATTTAGATTGAAGGATACTCCGCTCACGTTGGGTTTGGTCGTCTGTGTTATTGGTAGGCCGATGGGTTATGCAGCGATATCTAGTTTAGTGGCAAGGAGAATGGAGTGGGGGAGCTGGTCACTCAAACACCCAAAGCTGGAAGGAGCTCAGTTCCCACGCTCCAGTTTTCTCCGACGAAGACCTGGAGGACTTGGAGGTATACTCGTCGACGGAAGGAGCAACGCGGAATCCAGTACTGGGTCACTTTCCTTTGACGAATCCGTAGAGGTAGCATCTTGCCGGTGTAGCGAGCCAGTAAAGAAGTCATACAAGCGCATGGAATAATGGTACTATTAGTGCATTAGTAGAACCATTTTTGACATCAACTATTCGCCTTTGTAGGGCTCACATAGTGGTAAATTGATCTTCCCAGACGAGTGTGCATCGTCCATCCAATACCTTTATTGCCAACATACTCACAAAGTTCATCTTCAGTGGCAAGGTAAAGCATGGCACCAGTCCCATGAAATGAAAACTCTAGGGATTGGATCTCCTGAGAGTTTACATCAAGTCGGTAGGTTACTGCAAAGCACTCTCGAAAGTAGTTGAGTACTGCTTCATTCGAGTCATGAGGATGAGGACTTGGAGGCCACGGCCGATGAGGGGCAGAGCCAAATTGCAGTTTGTTTCGCGGCATCACAATGACTGACTCCGGATGTCTAGTTACCCCGATCCAAATGTAGATATGGTTCGATGCAGATCACACGCGAGAGTAAGGAAATGAGTTGGGTTGATTTACCCATCACCAAAAGAATTCCAACAAGGATAGAACATTCAAATCACGTGTGCACTACCAGGACATGACTAAGGTCAGGTGACATCAGTGAGATGTTCGGCTCACGTGTAACATGATAATTATTTGCAACATCTTTCACATTTTCAGAAGTCTGAATGAATCAAAGATGTGGCCATAATGATTCCATTCTAGTTCAAGAATCTGCCAAAAGAATCATTTTGAATCTAGATTCAGAATCATACTTCATCCAATCTACAATATTTCTGGGTTAAAATATCTCTTAACCTGCGTCTACTCTCTTGTTATTCAGTCCGCTACATTTAGCTTTTGAGTTGTGACTTGGGGGTGATCAAGTCCGCTTCTAGCACTCTTTTTTATGACTTTTCTTTGATGGACTAGGCTGCTCTGTCTTCTTTAAAAGCTTCTAGCACTTATTCAAAATAATTCACTGGTACTAACATCCAGTGGAACTCAATTTTCCTTTCCCTTCATTCCCTCTTAATGACCGTTCTTTTTCTTCCCTCATGAATCAACAAATAGATTCTGTTGGATCTAGTGCCGGTGGGATGGTTATGGGAATGAGGTATATTGTGCTTCCACTGATCATTGCCTCGCTTCTACTGACAATTCTCAAAAGTGAGAGAATTTTAGGGAGTCAACCTCTTGTGCGGAGCAAGGGTATTAAAGGCGCAGTTGTGGTTGGAGGAGAGTTCTTTATTTCACCCGAGGACCTAAACAAAGCTCTCAGACGCTGGGCCGCAGAGTTACCTCGGGAGATCTATGTTGATTTACTCAACGAGGCGGTTGCTCAAGTTAGTGGAATCATCGAACAACATGAAAACGCATGCGACAAGGTTCTCATAGATTTGCATGAGGTTGGCCGAGAGACACTTGGGCAAGAATTTTCCCGGATGAAAAGAGCACCAGAATACCGACATCTTTGGATAAAAGTTACAGACGCCCTTAAAAACGCCAAAAAAAAATGAGAAAGCGGTGCGAAACGCACGACAGGCTGTGATAAATGCTTGGGGTGAGAGTGGTATCCAGTTCCTTGACTTTAATGTTGCACAGGGGTGGACGAAAGCTGCGGGTAGGCTTGCCCGTGCCTGCCCAGATTACACGCGTGCCGCAAGCTATATCGTGCATGCGGTGGTAAATCGGCTCAGGAATGTTCGTTCTGGAAGATCATTGTATCTAGAGCCTGGGCTGAAAGACCTTCAAGACGCGATTTCCTTAACACGCAACGCTTCTCCACCACAGCCAATCGCAAGTGATGAACTCCGTTCAATGGGGTTGCGACTTAACGCAATGGACTTGGTAGAGCCCCTCGGCTCGGTCTCCCTCGAAATCACAGATGGAGATATTGCAACTGAGAATGTGAGTTTTGAATGGGCTCCAAATGCTGATATCCCGACGCTTCCCCAGGCAGTTATGGAAGAACTTAGTGACCACGATTCTTCTTCAATCTCTGGGGACATTCCCACCAACGTGCCTGCCGAAGGAGGGTTTCATCCCGTACTGGGTCGCGATCCAGCGAATTCGCCGAGACCAACCAATGATAGGGCAAGCCAAGAAGTGCTAACAGCATGCACTTCAAGTAACGCTACAGGCGGTGCTTCTACCAATATGAGTGACTCACAACCCAGAAAGAGACAGCATATAGATGGTCATTCAGTTCTAGGAAGTACGCAAGGTTTGATTGGAGATATTGAATCCAGGATTCAAAAACAGGCTGGAGCCGGTGCTACCCCTGGCTCTGCCACGTGTGATACTCCTGCAAGTCGTTCGAAGTTACTCCCAAACGCAAAGGCACAAAGAAATAAGCAAAGTACTCATGAAAAGGCAATTCATCCCAATAAAGCAGAGGTTGAAGCTGGATCGGGAGTTCAAAATCGGAATGTTGCAGGCACTACTTTTAGTTCGTCCACGAGTGGTACTCTTGCGAGCGGTCTTAAATTACGCTTTAAGTTCCACCCAGAAGGAAGGGAGCGACCAAAACTCCAAAATACTCCCAAGAAAGCAGTTCTCCAGAAAAACCCAGAGGTTGAAATTGGATCCAAGATCCACGATCAGAATGTTGGCCAAGATCCAGACAGCTCACCCAACAACAACCACCCTACAACAACTATAGTTCTCGAAGACATCCTTCGTCGTCTTGGGCATGAACCCCTTCAGAAGCTCCAGGCATTGCAAGCCGACGGCCATCTTGTGCTGGACAACGTGTTTGATTAGTGTGAAGCAGTGGATCAGGACCAACCGCTGCTTCAGCTAGCGGAATTGGAGGCGACGATATTCTTGCACCACTGTGGCGGCGACAAAGAGATGTTTCAGAGCTTGCAATATGGACTATTGCAGCAGTTGATTGAGACAGATCCAGTACTATGGATATTGAACGTTTGCCTGCAGAACGGCAAGCAAGAACTTGTTGCGTTTCCACAACCAATGTCCATCCAGTCCATCCATGATGAAAATAGTACAACTCATTCTTGCCCCGCTAGCGTGAAAAATCGATGCATTATAAGTCAAGATTCACACACGCCAAGTATTGTTCTGTTTTATGCAGGAGAAAAAGTTGCTGGTCAAAGTGTCATTTTTCAGCCAGCATTGCTACCCTTAACTGAGATATCCGGAACTACTTGTGTTGGTAGATTAACAACTTTAAATCAACTTCAGTCTCTACGAGCCAGTCATGAGCCCGTGAAGTTGAATTTAATAGAAGACAACGCAATGCATGTTGCACCATTCAAGATCGCGACATCACTGCGAGGCCTTAGTCCTAGAGCTGACGCAGTTCTTCTCCAAAGGCCATATACAGATCCTACTGTTGTGGCTGAAGTCAACCTTCTGCTTGGCAATGATCGAGATTTGGCATGGGAATTCATTTTACAGTGGCGAGCGTTGGCAATTGAGCACATAAAACTTCATTTCAACCTGTGGCGATGGACAGAAAAGTCAGTTTACGGAAGTCAGGCATACAATCCGGAAAAAGAGGCCATTGAAAGCAAGGGATAGCAAGGCGTTGGCAGTTGATCGGAGGTTTGGAGGTTTGGAGGTTTGGAGGTTTGGAGGTTTGGAGGTTTGGAGGTTTGGAGGTTTGGGGGTTTGGAGGTTTGGGGGTTTATGGGGTGGCAGACGTTTGGATAGCGCGATATTGCAGGGACAGGGTGAACATGTATTTAAAGGTTTGATCATTAAGGTAAAGGAAAATACCTTCTTCTAGTTCTGCATCTATGACTGGAGCCTTACCCGAACAGGCACGCTAAACCGGAAGGGGAATTCAGTGAGGTCGGGTTGTACGGGGTACATATCCCATGCATTGTAGGCAGCATGAATTAAATGCATGTAATTGCCGATGCGAGGACCCTGAACAAGCAAAGCATTCAAGAAGGCCGCTCGCAAAGAGTCTGAATATCCTTTCCTTTATATATATATATATATATATTTAATACATATAAAGTAAAAAATAAATAAATAAATAAATAAAAATAAGATAAAAATAAACTAAAGATAAAGATAAAATTTAGGATCCGAGCTCAGGGCTGGCCCACTTGCTTCTTTCTTGTTCGTCGTCTCTCTTCCTCTGTTCTGCTTTTCGGGACGGCCTCCGTGTAGGCGCGTTCGGGCTGGCCGGGTCAGCTTGCTTCCAACAAGGGCACAAAACATGTTATGCAGGTGGTGGTGGTAGTGGTGGTGCTGGGGGATGATGACCGTACTGGCGGTGTAACTGCGACGACTTGCTCACAGCCCATCTGCCAAGCTGACTGGCTGGAGTGTGACAAGTCAAACCAAAAAAAATCGCAATGACCTACTCCTCCTCCGTATGAAGGATTTGATGGAAGAAGGGGTCAGTTGTCATTCTGACTCAATGACTGACTCAAATCGCACCACGCCTGGGGCTGGATGTGGTGGTTTCCCGCTGGATGAGAGCATGATATGATTGGCGGCGGTGCTTTTCTTGTAACCTGGTTTTCCCTCTTTTTTTTTTTTTTTTTTTTTTTTTTTTTTTTTTTCCCCTTCTCTTTTCACAAAATGAAGAAGAGCTTCATTGCATGGATGTGCGTAAGTCGAGAGAGACAAGCTTTTTGATCTTCCATGACAAACCCCAAACGGGTTAACTACTGCTTTTCGTCCGCTTTCCTTTCTTGCTGATGACAAGAGGCAATATTAATGGCAACAAGGGTAAATTGATCTGCTTTTGTGAAAATTTTGTTTTATCTTGATGCTTTTTTTAAATTTTTTTTTTTTTTTTTTGTTTTTCTCCCCCGTGTCATAGCCTCGGGCTTTACTGTCTCCGGCAATCCGTGCACCCCCATGAGACGCATGGAAGGTCACCCAACGTCAAAACATATTTTTGGCGAAATTAACTGCAGGGTTATATTTTTCGACGTGAGGGGAGCAAAAAAAAGAAGAAAAAAAGAAAGAAAAAAAAATAGATGACTCACAAACCTTTTTTTTCATCGGTGCCTGGAAAGCGAGAAAAAGCTAGGTTTGGTTTTGAATAGCTTCCCTTGTCGGCGGAAGGAGCAGAAAGCCTGCCGATGTTGGGGAAAAAAATACGAATGGCCTGTTGACTGACTGACGAGTTGGACAGAACCCGATGTGACCCGGCGGAGCGTCCGCTTTTTTGATCCCCCCATGCATCGGATACGTTGTAATTTCGTTGCAGTCGGTGCATCGGTATCCCCCGATGGAGTGGACAGGGTGAGGGGGAATAAATTTAGTAGATTCCGAAAAAGCTTCGAGAGTACCGAGCTGCTGACCAGGGGAGTGCTGAGGTCGTGAAACCATCTCTCTCTTTCACATTGCCATGTCGGGAAGACGGGTTCAGTGAGACTCCGTGTAGCGAAGTCACCTCTGCGTATTCTGTTCCATCATCATCGTCATCATCATCGAGTGAATCTGACTGTTGACAACCTTGGAAGAAGCTCTTTCTTTGAGTTGATTATTGTGATGGATGAAATTGAATGAAACAACGATGCCCAATCATGTCAAGCCAACGGAGATAAAGCGCAGTATTATGCACCGAAGAACGACAAGACAAGCATTAGGAGATTAACACTAGCCTGTAGTTTAGCGAGCCAGCGAAGTCCCGATGCAGCAATGGCATCGTATTCGTGACGAACGACACACCGAGGCCGACGTTGGTGGAGTAGTTCAAGCGACAAGACGATCAATGCGATCAAGTGAAAGCTACGGAGCCAACCTGGCTGGGGACACAACCAGCGATCGACGCAGAATATCGCGAACTGACATCACTCCTTGGAGGAGGTATTCCTTACGTGTAGCAGGAAACGGCGTAAGAAGCATTTGAATTTGAAAATAAAATAAATATAGTTAGTTAGTTCTAGAAGAAATACATACATAGAAGGTACACAAGAGATACATGGAGTCCAAACACAAGCCACAAACGCAGTTCAGTCGTACAGATGCACAGCACAGATGTACTGGACAGATGCACACAGGATGCATACCTCTGCACATCCATCTGATATGTTCCGTCTACGGTCCTGTTCGTTGACTGCCGATGAGCAATTTCGTGTCAAATCAATCGCGGAGGCCAGAACAGGCAAACCACAGCCGCGCATGACATAAGCGGTAACCGCAACGAGGCTAGCGCCGCAGCCCTTCTGGGTGGCTTCTTGCGCCGCAATGCACGGCCTGGAACAAGCTTGGAACATTTTGATTATGCAGGACGGAGCAAGTGAAGTTGGGCTCCGGAGCCGTGCGGAATAATATTGCACAATTACAGGCCGCGTATGGCGCGATACGTCATAGCGGCCACGGCTGCCATGACTGCCATGACTGCCACGACCCATGGCCATGTGGAGCGCGTAATTTACGGCCTCGAGACGGTGGCTGCCGCTGGTGCAATCACCCGAGCAGGGTTATGCAAGATATGCACAACGCCAACAACCTCGGAAGTCTCGTGCGTGGTCCTCCTAGGTACCAGGTACCCTCGCGCGCCGGCGATTCAGCAACGAGCCACAGGTCACAGGTACCAGAGGAGCGCGGTGGGTCTTAGCCGAGGTGCCGTTTGCGCGGCCAATAGGGGGTCCCTTGGCGCAGGCTCGGCATCGGAAGACTGGAAGCCCGTCCCGTGGGTCCTCCCCCTTGGGCTTGGGGACAGACAATGCCCAGTCCAACAATACGACGATGAATGGGGGCGATGGGGGTGATGGGGAGGATGAGGAGGATGAGGATGATGGGGATGATGAATGGAGGTTGTCAATGTCCTGGTGATGTCCGCCAACCTCGGACAGGCGCAAAGTCAGAACGGGGCACGGGCTGCAAACAGCGTCGCCGGGGACCCAGCGATGCCAACGATGCCAGCGATGCCAGGAATGCCAGGAATGAATGCCAGGATACGATAACCAGGGTAGGGCGACGGGGGTCCCAGCAGGCAGCCGCAATAATGATTGGAGCTGCCCGAACCTTCGAGGGCCCCAGGGGACGGTGGAGAAAGCTTGGTTCCGACGATATTGGCTTTGCGGAGCCCAGGACTCCAGGAGACTCCAAGGAACTGAGGGCGGAAGGATCTGGGCCAAATGCTGTTCCAAATGTTTTCTTTTTTTTTTCTTTTTTTTTTTTTTTAAAGCTATCTTCCCTGTTGCTTTGTTTTTTTTCGCCTCCTGCTGGCAAGGGGGGAAGAGCTGGTGTTGGAGAGCACAGTCAGAGGTCGTATTTAGAGCATCATCCGCATCGGCAAATATTCTTTTTCTTTCTTTTTTTCTTTTTCTCTTTTTTTCCTTTTCCTTTTCTTCTTTCTTTTTGTTATATTTGCAATTCATTGAAACATGCTTTCCATGCGTTGCATGCCCTGTTGGTCCTCATTTTATAAATCTCTCCCCACCTCCCACCCCCACCAGGACGAGGAACAGCCACCATAAGCTTGACTTGCCTGTCTGGTGTCATACACAATAATCCGAAATTTATTCATTACAGCGATCGTTCCCGTGCGACTTGCTTCTTCTCTTTCTTGTTCTTCTTCTTCTTCTTCGTGCTGTTTCGTTTCGTGCGCGCTGTCCTCCTTCTCGCTGCGATCCCCATATGGCTTCTTGGCCCAGGACTCATCTCCGCACATTATAGACATAGCGCCAAAGAGCCTCCTGGGACAACCCCGGAGTTTCCTGTCTGTCGTTCGTTCCCTCTGTGGGTTCAGGTGTTGGCTAGAATCGACTTTTTCGTTCTTCCAGCTTGGCCCCCCTCCTCCACCCGTGGTTGAAACACTGGCAGCTAAACCCTCTCCTCCGATCTTGCCTGGAATTGCATCTATCAAACCTACTCCTGTCTGCCTGCCCATCTATCCGTCTGCCAGTCCGTGCAGGTGAAGCTGAGCGCAACAATGGACGGGGACCCAGAAAAACAGAGCGCTGCCGTGGAGAAGTCGGCGGCTCCTGATACTGGCCTCGAGAGCTTACCCGCAGTGACTTCAGGCGAGAAATCCAGTGATGCCAACAACGAGATATCGGGCTCGGGCTCTGGCTCCGGCTCCGGCTCGACCGTGAGCAATAACGATGACCCTACAAATCTCAAAAAGCTTGACTCGACAGTGGTTGTTCCCCCGTCGAAGGAGGGAGATCTCGACGCTGCTCTCGCCCACCTTCCAGAACAGGAACGGACCATCCTCAAGGAACAGCTCGATATCCCCGTTGTCAAGGTTAACTACATCACTCTGTTTCGCTATGCCACGAAGGCTGATCTTCTGGTGCTCTTCGTGGCCGCCTTTGGTGCGATTGCTGGTGGCGCTATACTTCCTCTATTCACGGTACGTTTTTTTGGATTTTCCATTTCTAACTAAGTCTTTCTTTTATTTCACTCTATTTTACTTTATTTGTTTTCCAACTCCTGTCGCTCCTCCCTGCTAGAGTCAGGTGAAAGTAAGGTCTGGGTCTGGTTGTGCTAATTCCACCAAACTCTGTTTGAGGTAGATTATCTTCGGCGCCATGGCTGGTACGTTCAAATCGATTGTCCTACACACTATCACCATAGAAGAGTTCGATTCTCAAGTTTCGAAGTTCGCTCTATACTTCGTCTACCTTGGGATCGGCATGTTCGTTCTTATCTATATCGGGACCGTTGGCTTCATCTATGTCGGCGAACAGATCTCACAGAAGATCAGAGAAAAGTATCTCGCCGCTATCCTGCGTCAGAACGTCGCGTTCTTCGACAAACTGGGTGCTGGCGAGATCACCACCCGCATCACCGCCGATACTAATCTGATCCAGGACGGCATATCGGAGAAAGTTGGCCTGACCATGACTGCCCTCGCGACGTTCGTCACCGCCTTCATCATTGGCTTCGTCAAGTTCTGGAAATTGACCCTTATTTGCTCATCGACCGTTGTCGCTCTCACCGTCCTGATGGGCTCGGCTTCCCGATTCATTATTGGATTTAGTAAGAAGTCGTTGCAGAGCTATGGTGAGGGTGGAACCGTGGCAGAGGAGGTCCTCAGTTCGATTCGGAACGCCACTGCTTTTGGAACTCAGGAGAAGCTTGCACGGCAATACAATACTCATCTCCTTGAGGCCCGGAAATGGGGAACTAAACTGCAGGTCGTGATCGGAACTATGGTTGGAGGCATGCTGGCCATCGTGTTCCTGAACTACGGCTTGGGTTTCTGGATGGGTTCGCGTTTCCTGGTCGACGGAGAGGCCAGCCTTCAAGACATCGTAACCATCTTGCTGGCCATTATCATTGGTTCCTTCAGCTTGGGTAATGTCACTCCACACGTCCAGGCTTTCACTTCGGCGATCAGTGCAGGCGCAAAGATCTTCGGTACCATTGACCGCGTATCCCCGATCGATCCCACCTCCGACGAAGGCATGAAAATCGAGAATGTCGAAGGCGTCGTCGAATTCCGAAATATCAAACATATCTATCCGTCCCGGCCAGAGGTTGTTGTCATGGAGGATGTCAGTTTGCTGGTTCCCGCTGGTAAGACAACCGCGCTCGTTGGTCCATCTGGCTCCGGTAAAAGTACGGTTGTCGGCTTGATGGAACGATTCTACAATCCCGTTAATGGTGCTGTTTTCCTGGACGGTCATGATTTGAAAACCCTCAACACGCGTTGGCTTAGACAGCAGATCTCCCTGGTTAGCCAGGAGCCAACGCTTTTTGGTACCACCATCTACATGAATATCAAGCAGGGCCTGATAGGTTCCAGTTTCGAGCAGGAATCGGAAGACAAAATCAGAGAACGCATCGAGAATGCTGCAAGGATGGCCAACGCTCACGATTTTATCTTGGGACTTCCAGAAGGCTATGAGACCAATGTTGGGGAACGAGGTTTCCTGCTCTCCGGTGGCCAGAAACAACGTATCGCAATTGCTCGCGCGGTGGTTAGTGATCCGAAGATTCTTCTGCTGGATGAGGCCACTTCTGCCTTGGATACGAAGTCAGAAGGAGTCGTCCAGGCTGCGTTGGATGCTGCGGCAGTAGGAAGAACCACAATCGTCATAGCCCATCGCCTGTCTACGATCAAAAATGCTCACAACATCGTTGTTATCGTGGGTGGACGAATTGTCGAGCAAGGCACTCATGACGAATTGGTCGACCGTGATGGCGCTTATCTCAGGCTCGTTGAGGCACAGCGAATTAATGAACAACGGGAAGCCATCGGCTTAGGAGAGGATGAGGAAGATGAGGAGGATGAGCTCATGAAATCCAAAGAGTATACGCTTAATCGTCAGGCTTCCGGCCCCTCTCAGAGCGTGGCTCCTGGCAGGTATCGCGGGGCGGGCGCAGATGATGTGGAACTGAAGCTGACCACCACCAACAAATCGATTTCGAGCTTAGCCCTTTCCAAGCGAACTCCAGAAGCCCAACAGAAATATGGCCTGTTTACCCTTATCCGATTCATCCTTTCCTTCAACAAACCAGAAACCCTGTTAATGTTCTCCGGATTCCTCGTTTCCATAATCTGTGGTGGCGGGCAGCCCACGATGGCAGTATTTTACGCCAAAGCGATCGCTACACTTTCCCTCCCCGAACAACTCTACGATAAACTGAAAAGCGATGCAAGTTTCTGGTCGCTCATGTTTCTCATGCTTGCACTCGTGACATTGCTTGCATACTCTGTTCAGGGAACTATTTTTGCTATTTGTTCTGAGCGGCTAATTCACCGCGCACGGCTCGAGGCTTTCCGCGCAATGCTTCGACAGGATATTGTCTTCTTCGATCATGAGGATAATAGCACCGGCGCTCTGACCTCATTCCTGTCCACCGAGACGAAGCATCTTTCTGGAGTCAGCGGAGTGACTCTTGGCACCATTCTCCTTGTCTCGACCACCCTCACGTCAGCATGCATCGTAGCGTTGGTCATCGGCTGGAAACTTGCTCTCGTCTGCATCACAACCATCCCTATTCTTCTCGGTTGTGGATACTACCGATTTTACATCCTGTCTGTTTTCCAGACTCGGTCCAAAAAGGCCTACCAGAAGTCGGCCAGCTACGCATGCGAAGCAACCTCGGCAATTCGAACAGTGGCGTCTTTAACTAGAGAGGCAGATGTTGGTTCGAGCTACCACAACCAATTAGCTACCCAAGCTAAGTCGAACGTGATTTCTGTTCTCAAATCATCCTTGCTGTATGCGGCGTCGCAGTCCATGATGATGTTCTGCATCGCGCTTGGGTTCTGGTACGGCAGCACTCTTCTTGGCAAGGCGGAGTACAGCATGTTTCAATTCTTTGTTGTTTTCATGGAGATTACGTTTGGCGCACAGTCTGCAGGAACCGTTTTCTCTTTCGCACCCGACATGGGCAAGGCCAAGTCTGCCGCCACGGAATTCAAGAGGCTCTTCGAGAGAAAGCCAGTTATCGACACTTGGTCGACGGATGGTGAGGTGTTGGAGACTGTTGAGGGCACCATCGAGTTCCGTGATGTGCATTTCAGATATCCCACCCGGCCCGAACAGCCTATCCTTCGCGGCCTAAACCTGACCGTGAAGCCCGGCCAGTATGTCGCGTTGGTGGGCGCTAGCGGCTGTGGCAAGAGTACCACAATCGCACTCCTCGAACGTTTTTACGACCCGCTAGCCGGCGGCGTGTATATGGATGGAAAGGAAATTACGAGGTTGAATGTCAACTCGTATCGAAGTTTCTTGTCCCTCGTCAGCCAGGAACCCACGCTCTATCAAGGATCGATCCGCGATAATATCCTTCTTGGCGTCGATGTTGACAACGTGCCCGAGGAACAAATCATCCAGGCTTGTAAATCTGCCAATATCTACGATTTCATCATATCTCTCCCGTAAGTGTTGTTGCTAGATCAAAATCACCCCCCACCCCACCTCCAAAGATTTTACCATTCTCCCTTAACTCCGACTCCCATGCTGACAATAAAAAAAAACACAGTGACGGCTTCTCCACCATCGTCGGCAGCAAAGGCAGCATGTTATCCGGCGGCCAAAAGCAGCGCATCGCCATCGCCCGCGCCCTCATCCGCGATCCCAAAGTCCTCCTCCTCGACGAAGCCACCTCAGCCCTCGACTCGGAGTCCGAGAAGGTCGTGCAGGCCGCGCTGGACGCAGCAGCGAAGGGCCGCACCACCATCGCCGTCGCCCACCGTCTCAGCACTATCCAGAAGGCCGATGTTATCTACGTCATCGACCAGGGACGCGTTGTGGAAAGCGGCACGCATAATGAGCTGTTGGGGAATAAGGGGCGGTATTTCGAGTTGGTTAATTTGCAGAGTTTGGGGAAGACCCATTAACCCTTTTTTGGAGGGGAATGAAGTGGGTAGGGTATTTTAGATGGGATGTGCGGGGAACGCTCTTGGAGCCCCGGCATCTTTTTTATTTTATTTTATTATTTTGCTTTCTTACGGTGCATAATTTTGCATGGTTCCCCTTTTCCTTGGGAGGAAGGTATTCCTTCCCTCCCCCTCGTATCAACCATTTTCAATTGAGTTACTTGTTTTTTTATCATCTTACCATTGACATTTCTGTGTTTTCTTTCTTTTCTCCCCTTTGTTTTACTGCTGAAACTTACGCCAGATATGTCCCTCCCAGTGGCCAGTGGCCAGTGGCCGGCCATTCATCATACATATATGACTACCCATTATAGGGAGAATTTGTGTTTTTCATTTATTTTATTTCATTTTATTTCATTTGTTACAACTACTATATACCCCTTCATACCATCCATACGTGCCTTCTCCACTCCCCGAGCACTTGTTTCGTCCTTGCATACCAGGCCAACAAAACCTCTCCACTATATTCTGTTTTCCTTGCTTGCTTGATTTAGCGATGTGTTTTATTATTATTACTATTTTTTTTTTTTTTTAATTTATTCCCTTGTGGTTTATGGTATTTGTTTTTTTTCTTTTCTTTTTTTTCTACTTTTTTTTTAATGATGGTGATGGTGGGCTTTTTTTTTTTTTTTTTAAATCTCCTTACCAGATACTCCTAATATGTTAAGCGAGCTAGCTAGCTGATTGATGTATATAGAAATGGGCCTGAAAAAAGCGTTTCGTATATAGATATATATATATATGTATATGTCTAACTATACGCTTCTGTTGTCTTTGTTATTTGCTATTGTTTTCTTTGATTTAATCTTGACGTTATGTAGCATTGCCGAATAGCAATCTTCACTGGTACTCTCACTCTTATGTATGTATGTAGAATTCTTCAGTCAGGAACTACTAATTTTGTTTCTGGTTCTGGGATTAGTAAGTAAGTATCCTGTTAGCTAGGAGATATGGACAGTTTAGTTCACTAGTTAACTAGTTAATGGGAATGCGTTGACTTCCATATTCCCCTCCCTCTCCCTGCTTTGTTTTCCCCCCTAGCTAGCTTTCCAGAGCCGAGTTGTTGTTAGATTCCTAGTTACTGTAGTTAAAAGAGGAGAGGCGTTGTTCGTTGGCGATAAGGAAGAAGAAAATGGAAGAAGCAGCTAAGTAACTAAAGTGGTACCTGGTGGTGTTTTGTTTCGAACGTTACGAGCTGAATGAATGAATGAATGAATACTCCAGAGAGCTATAGCTAATCCAGTCAGTAACTACTGTAAATTTGGCACGAGTCCAACCAAGGAATAACAAGGTTGAGAGATTGAGTTTGGATGGGGAAGCGAGATTTTAGGATTATTTCCCCCCCCCCCCCTTTCTGCTTGAACTGTACCTTGCTGGCTTTGCTGGCCTGTGCCATACTTAGGTTACTTTCGGAGTTTTGAATCATGGGATTCGGCATCGTAAGGGGGTGGTTGGTTGGTCAGGTTCCCGAGTGGTGGTGGTGGCGAATTGGTATGATATGTAAATTGATTAATTGGTGGGCTGGGGAAAGCCGGAAGAAGCCTTGAGTTTAAACACAAAACAGAAAAGGGTTCGCGGGCCTGTTGGTAATGAATATAACTAGGGGAATGAGAGGTGTGGGAATGCTACCGGAGGAGAAGTAAGAAGTATCTCTATCATCCAGAAGTCGAGTCAATGATGGATGATAAATGATGTCACAGGGGAAGGGGTTCTTTGCCAAGGTGCGGGTGGACCCGAGGCAGAATCTCCAAGGGCCCAAGGTGCTTGGGAAGGGTGGAGCCCGAACAGTCTAGGTGCTGGTTAAGGGTTTAGCTGTCCCAGGCTAGATAGAAGGCATACAATGGTTGGCCTTCCCCCAGGAATAAGGCTGGCATCGGCCAGTAAGATCCAAAGGGGAGCCGCGGAGGGTTCGATTCACTGTTATCCAGTCCTGGTGGGCGTGTTTCGTCTTCTCCCTTTCTAGCAAAAAAGCAGACACTGGCTGGATAAAAATGATGTCACAGCTTCCGCCAAGGGGATGTTGAGAACATGTTCCACGCGCTACAAGCGGCTGCTGAATTGTTCCATCCAGGGGCCCCGACTGTTAGTCCATTATCATTTTCCTATGTAAACAGCCTCCTGCGAAACTGCGAAACTGCCCTGGACTTCCCGTAACCGCCGCAGCTAGTCTCCAAACATCTCCTTCCAACAGGCATCTATACTGACTAGTATATATGCCAGCAAAGAGTGCTGATGAAACCCACTATCCCCTTGACTGGGGACGAGGCATATTTAGGATGCATTTTCTGCCAGCGATTTCACTTGACGATGCTTTACTGGCCCGTATTGTCAGGTTCGGGATAGTTGCTGGTGAAATCCAGGCGGTTACTTGAAGACAAGAACAACACAACCCCGGTTCAACTGCAGTTTCAGTCGAGTGGTGATCGAGAGGTATAGTCCCGAGTTACTGGAGAGATCAGAATCGAGTGAGTAGCAGCTCATCACCCCTGCAGGCTCCTTGCCATCAAGTCTCATGCGCACTGCGCACTGCGGACTGCGGACTGTGGACTGCGGACTGGGCTATTGGCTGAGGCTGAGGCTGAGGCGTTGGTATTCCCTGTCTACGTAGTGCGCATGTCTACATGGGTGGTTTCGCGTTATGGAGTCCTACAAACCAACATATGCGAGCATAAATAAGGATCTATAAATGGAGGAAAGCGAAGAAAATACCAGTATCCCTTCAGAGTTTGCCTTGGGGTGGTTAAGCGCCGCGGGTCTAATTTTAGCGTACCACCAACGAGGCTCTTCCCCAGCCTCGTCGCTATGTTGATATAAGGGCAGGGCAACCCTTCCCGTGAGGCACATTTCCCATCTTCGAAATGCATCTCAGGATTCCCGGGCCTGCATCGCTCGTTTTGCCTTTTGCTTTCCTTTCGTTCTCTGTAGATCCTATTTTCTTCTACCAGTATTCTTCGGTTTATGGCGCCATAGGACACGCAGTTCCCAATGTCTCATCCCCATACCACACCTGAATATCGGCTTGCCCGTTCAGACTCGAAAAACCCAGCAACGACATGCTGGGGCCTGAGGGCTGACGGGCAGAAGTGCCGTCGGACTGTGGCCTCAGCCAAATCATCCCCTTCTGCTCGGGCATCAAAAGGAGCGATTCCGGGCACCGGAGGAATTGGCAATGCCTCCACGGTTGTATTTTGCTGGCAGCACAAGGACCAGGAGGTTCATGTCCCCCAGGTCTTAACGGGATCGCCTAAGCACCCTGCTTCAAGTCTGAGAGCACGATCCAGTATTGAAACTTTGGTAGAGAGAGTTGGATTGCTGGATGTTGGCGATCAACCCCGCGCCGCTTCGGCGGGGAACGTGTTTGACACAGCTTCTGCACACGGAAAGCCTGCCAAAAACTCCCTTGGCTCGAGGCTGCCCCCAGACGGGCATGGCCTCCAGCGCCGTGGAACAAGAAGGCATTCAATGGATTCTCCAGGGGACCTGATGTTCCAAGTGAATAATGCATCCATAAGTCCCGCAGAGCCAAGACCCGGTTTATTCCAGTCTTCAACGAAATCAAGGAGAAAGCCCAACGTTGGAGGAAAACTTGTTCGTTTTATTATGGGAATGGGTAAAGATGAAGATATCGTCATTTCGAGAGTGCGACATCCTCGCACGCCTTCAGACTACAAATCACGAACTTCCAATCCATCTGCTCCACCGCCAGCTGTTCATACCCCGCCTCAATCCACAGATGCCATTCATGATGGGAGGCATTACCGCCCGTCCCGCGTATCTGATGGTCATGGATTTTCGCCCCTCGCAGTGCCTCAACCGGCAACTCCGGAGCGCCGACCTCGAACCAGCCCACAATATCTATCACCTTCACCAGGTATATTGCATCAGCCACAGCCAAAAACCAGTCCTTCCTCTACTCTGTCAGACACAGAAGCGCTTCTATCTTGGATACCCAAGTATCTCTCTCCGATTACCATATCCACCCTTCTAAAAGAGCTATGCGAACCAATATCCAACGCAGAAGAACCGGGATATATTTATATGTGCTGGGTAACATCACAAGCGCAAGCCACTTCCCCACCACCAGCGGAGATCGCTTCCTCACTCCTCCTCTCATCACCCAGCGGCGGCATTGGAAGAAGAAATACAGGCGAAATCATGCGTTCCGTTGGCGTTTCTCCAAACAAAGTACATGTCCCGCAACAGAACAGCGCCACAGACACCATCACCCTGAAGATCGGCCGCGCGGCCAACGTCCACCGCCGAATGAATCAGTGGAAGGAGCAGTGCGGGCACAACCTCACTCTTATGCGGTATTATCCGCATGTGGCTTCGTCGCCATCCGTGCATCCGGGGGCACCGATACCGCCTCGGAAGGTACCTCATGCGCATAAAGTAGAGCGGTTGGTGCATCTGGAGCTGGCGGATAGAAGGGTCAAGCTGCAGGAACCTTGCAGTCGCTGTGGGAGGAAGCATAAGGAATGGTTTGAGATTAAGGCCGATAGGGAACAGCTAAGGACGGTCGATGCATGCGTGAGGAGGTGGGTGGAGTGGAGTGAGCAGGTGAAGAGGAAAATGGGCTGATTTGTGGGTTGGTTATGACTGAGAGTGGAATTTTGGGTAATTATTACCCCCCCTCCCCCCCCTTTTTTTTTTGTTTACAAAAAAAAGAGAAGGAACAAAAATCAAGTGGCATTATTATTTCGTTATTTGCGTGCTTAGACAGATGCTGATACGAGGTTTTCCTAGAGGACATAAATCGGGTGGCCCGTCTGGCAGGATAGATTTTAAGTGGTTAATTTCCCTTTGAAAGCTGGGCCATTTGAGCTTGCTACGTGATGACCTACGAAAATTCTGCTTATTAGGCCAAAGAAGGCCTTACTACCTTTGAGTATAAAAAATTATGAAGTGTCCTTTTGAGGCATTATTGGACGGTCATGACCAATATTATTAATTTGACTACTCAACAGACGAGAACTGGAAGCTTGCGAGAAAAGGCAAAGCGTCAGGAAATGTGGCAAGCATATTGGTTCTACATGTACATGTACGACATGGCGAATGAACGGTGTGGGAAACTTAGAATTCTTAGAGAATTTTCAAGTGAATTCCTTACGCATTACTCCTAGCGAAACAGCCGTGGAAACTCCTTGGCCAAAGGGCGTCGCCAACCACTTCCTTACCCACCTTCCTATGGAAGCGGATTTATATAACGTGCGGACTCGAACGGGTTCAGAACTGTACGCCTAGCTTCCAACCCACGCATCGTTTATGGCAGAGCTGGCCGACACATACTGGAGTCAGTGATATGTTAGAGGAGGACGCAAATCCAAAAATGAGAGCGTATACGATGCAAAGCGCCTTGATGATGATTGCGGAGAAGGACGGTGGGCGGAGGAAGAATCTGTGGTCAGAATTGATGCTGGGAGCCACAAGATTACAGTCACTGCCGTGCAAAGCACAAGCGCGGCAATCATGCTTTTGAAGCGGCTTAGATTGTCGGCGATGTATCTAGGCACTGATCGTCCAATGCAGGACCCCGCATTCATTATCGCAACGAGCTGATATGATTTTTCCTGCGTCATGGCGCTGGCGGACAGGGCAAAGGAAGTAAGCCAGGTTATCGGAACGAAAAGAGCCCATTCCATGAAATACACCCCCAACGCAAGCGACGTGTACTCCTGGTCGCGAAAGATGTTTATTAGGCTGGGCAGAAGCGTCTGTCCAGGTTTCTGTGGGAACCAGGATAACCCGAGACCACGCAATAGAAGATCGCGATGAACCCAATGATTCTTGTTGCCCACGTAAACCCAAACCTATAGAACAGCTTCTGTAGAGCTAACGGGAAGACAATACCACCGAGCGAAACCCCCCGCCGCTGCAATGCCGGTGGCAGTTGCCCGCTATGGCAGGAAGAAGTGCCAGGGAAGATAGCATTCGTATAATGGGGCCGGGTCGCGGAGGGTTAAACTTGTTTTTCACATTTTGTTTTCGGAACGAATTTCTTCGGAGCTACCCATACCTCTGGGAGTTAGCGGTTCAGCCTATATATAGTCCTATATCATAACTATGTGCCATGGAAAACGTCTTTCCTTGGGAGGAGGACGAGGAGGGTGGGGGCAATCACGTAAATAGAATAGTGGTAGCTTATCAATCGCCTGCTCTGGCTTGAGCCGTTTCGAGACAGTAACCTCAGTTCTGCACATTCAGTCGGGATTCTTTCTGTCTTAGATTTTTCCTAGAGAAAATAGTTAATTCTTACGAGTTAGGATTTTATAGATATATTACATCAACCACGCAGTGTACTGTTTTAGCAACACCTAAGGAAGAGTCCATCTGGGCAAAAATATGCACGAACCTGGATAGTTATTTGTCTGGTTAGCCAGCATCCTGAGCATGACTGAGAGTCCCAACTTCAGTCCATGTTCTCTCGTATTTGAATGTGGGGAAAGGCAGCACTGGCAAAGTTATAATTACTAATAACCCCTGCAATGCGTCTTCGGCTGGTGGGGGAACTCCGTCCATATATGAGCATAGCTGCCACCAACTTGGACCGAACGTTCCATATCTTTCTCATACACGCCATACCAATCCATCCTGAAAGGGCAAAAAAAGGAACCGAAAAAAAATAAAAAAAATAAAAAATAACCCCAGCCAACGGACAGAAAATGGAAGGACGCTGCCAATGCGGTCTAATCCGCTTCACCACCCCTCTGGCCCGCCCTCTAAAAATCTACATCTGCCACTGCACCGAATGCCGGCACCAATCCGCCTCCGCCTACGGGGTAACGGCCATCTTCCCGAGTTTCGAAATCCCGGATCCAGAACCCACTGCCTCCCATGCCCCCGCCACTAACTACGACCCTGCAACTTCACCGGCCATCGGCACCCACACGCGCCAGACGCTTTCCGACAAAACTCTGGAATGTCTATTTTGCAAGCAGTGCGGGGTACGCTTGGTGCACCGCGTGCGCGGGGCGGATTATTTAAGCGTCAAGGCTGGGTGTCTCGAGGGGCTGGACAAGGAGATGATGGTGGGTGCCATACACATCTGGTGCAAGGAGGCGGTTGTAGAGATCCCGGAGGGCGTGGAACGGTGGGAGGAGGAGCCTGATCGGGAATCGTTGGACTGAGACCGCTCGCTGGTCGATTGTTTACGCATAAATGGCAGGGGGTGGCCGTTGAGAGATGGGTTGGTTGATTGATAGTTCTTCCATTTGTTTTTTGTGTTTCTGGTCGCATTCTGTTTTTATTTTGGTGTCAGGGCTTCTTTTCCGCAACGTCGTCCCGCTAAAATTAGCTCTGGCCAACCGTGGTTGAGGCTCAAGCCCCGCCCACTCTAACCTTATTCCCGGCCCAATTACGACACCGTTGACAGCTTCCTCTCGCAGCTGTCAGTCTCCAGCCGTTGGTGGGAGCAGCTCCGGAATGGCCTTCCATATCCCATCCTGTGCTATTTCTGGCCTCCATTAGCGTCGCATAGTAGATCTCCACAAGTATCGTATCTAGCCCCAAAAACCTCACACAGGAATATTCCGTGTCAACAAAAAAAAATCCCGCGATCCCCTCCTCGGTTGCGCGGTTGCGCGAAGAGCAACTACTTCTATCCTGGACACGATAGCTATATATCAACAGCTAAAAGAAGTCCCCCCAACCAGCCATGGAAACTATCCCAGAGTCTCCCACCAAAGACGATGCCGCCGTCCAAGCTACCAACGGCATCGAGGCCGCCAACATAACCACCTCCAAAATCACATTCCCCCTGAAAAATGCCTTCTCCAAACCCAAGCAGCCCACCTTCAGCACCACCGGTTTCAAATCGCGATTCAAAGCCCTCCTCACCACCATAGACACCCTGATATCCATGATCCATGCCTTCTTACACAAACATCACGCGGATCTCCTCTCAGCGTACCTCAAAGCCCTCATCGAAAACTTAGTATACTTCTTCTCCATCCACCCCCACCTCACAACCCTCGTCACATGCCTGCTCCTCTGCACATGCCTGCCGGTACTCATCTTCCTCGTCTTCGCGCTGTCGACGATGCTCTTCTTCGCCTTCCTGGCACTGCTGGGTGCCACGGCGCTGAGTATGCTGGTCATCACTGGTGCGCTGGTAATGCTTTGCCCCGTGTTGTTTGTGGGGATTGTGGTGGCGGGGATGATCTGGTCCGGGTGTTGGATGGTGTGGTATGCGGTGCTATGCGCGGCGCTGCTCTTCAAGTGGCTTCGCGAGAGTAGCTTGGAGACAAACGACAATGGCCGCGAGAATCGGGTCGGGCTGGCTAAGTGACATGGCGCATCGGGGGAGATGAGAGGGGGGGGGGAGTTACGGGGAATGGGGGATGGGGGATGGGGGAGCCCCTGACTGGTTGAGGGTTGAGAGTGCGATGGATTGTTGTTATCGTAATGTAAATTGTAAATTGTAAATTGTAAATAGATAACCCGATTTTTTTTTTTCGCGTTTCCTCGATTTAACGAATGCATGCATTACTACGGGAAATTGGCAAACATGGGAAATGACATATGTTTAAGCTTATAGCTGCCATTTGGAATTTCTAGAAATTATATTCCTTTTATGATGTATAACTATATATAAATATTGTCTGAATCCGAGCAACAAACTTCCTACTCGTTAGTACAAAAACGAACAAGCCAAATCAAATAGTTATTGAACAAGTAAGCCCTCAAAACGCAAGACAACATGATGTATTACCGTACGTGTATACTAATACTAATATCCAACCTATATAGAAAGTCATACCGGCAGAGGTAAGGCAAACAGAACGATGTAACTTGCATCTCCCAGGAAGGGCAAAAAAAAAAAAAAAAAAAAAAAAAAAAGCCCACAGGCACGGATCACAGAATACGAGAAGAATGACTCCGAAATTGCCAGCTCTGTCTCAATTGCGTTTAGTGAATGGATGCCCACAAAAACGAGGCGCGCGGGCTGGATAAAAACATAACATCAAGAGGCCATTGAGCGACGAAGTTCGTGAAAAAGTTAAAGTTCAAAGAAATGAACAACGGTCACTAAGTTCCTAAGACGGAAAACCCGCTCTGCTCTTTCTTGAGAAATACTAACCGGCATCAGAAGGGGTAGAAAGAACTCGAATAATCCATATCTTCGGCCGGGCAACGGGGCAAATACCATAATATACCTTTTCAAATACGGGGCGTGGTAGAAAGGCTCAAGGATGACAGCAAAGAATGAATGGGAAATCTTCATGCATAGTACTCGATACCTTCCTCTTCCCTCTCCGCCTGCCTGCTGCCGCCACAGCCAGGAGGGCCTTTGGCATGGAAGACAAGAGCCGGACGCGCAAGCTCTTTTCTTCAATCGAGTGTTTCCATCACGAGCTCTGGAAGTTGTAGTTCAAGCGATTTTCTATTACCGCTGGCTAAAGTGATGAGCGCCGTGATGAGCGCCGTGACAAACGCCGTGACAATGACTTGTCCGAAAATCTTCTGGCGCTCGATAAATTTGTCTTTTAGTCGGAGTCTTCCTGTAAGTCAGGAAGTTCACCGACACACTCATTATATTCAGTATGCAAGTTCTTGGCGAAGAGGCAGCGTTCAAGTTCCTCTTCCCGCTCGGCATGTTCGCGTGTTGAAATCCCGGCCGCAGTCAATCTAGCTTCTAATTCCAACTCAGTAGCCTCCAGCTGTTCTATCTTCTCCATCAACCTGAGCCTGTCGATTCTATTATCCTGAAGCTGCACCTCGAGGAGCTTGTATTGTTTTTGTAATTCCTCTTTATCTTGCGCCAGATCGTGATACTCCTGGAACTGTTTCAAGGAGCTCTCCTCCATGTCTTTGTTCTCCTCACGCAGGTGGTCAATCTCCTGGCAACGGGACTTGAGCTCTTCTCTCACTTTCGTAAGTTGGGATTCATAAGTTCCCATTGCCTGCCGCATCTCTTCGAGCTGAGCGTTTTGGTAATTTTTGACAGCGATTTCAAAGTTATTATTCCTCTCCAGTCGCAGTTGCTCAGCCTCCTTAAGTTTAGTAAAGAATCTATCACGCCAGGTATTGCTGAAAAGTTTCAAGTTAGCTATATCTTCGCGAGCACTTTCCAGCTGCTCCATGCACTTGTCTCTCTCGTCGACAACAGCTCTTAGTTTTGCATTCTCGCCTATTAATGCTGCGATCTGACTCGCATGCTCTTGCTGCGTCAGCACAAGAGGAGAGTCAACTGGACTAGCTGTGTTAGCTGCACAGAAGAGTACCATGCCTCCTCGTTCTATGTCGTCATCTTGGGTAGCGGGATTGTCGTAGCGGGGTTGGATTACAGGCCTGGTTGAAACCTCAACGGGAGAAGAGGGGTCATCTGTGATGGAAACCTCTTCCGCAATGTTAGAGGCTTCGTATACCTGAGTCAAAAATTCAGAGGATGAATCATTTGCATGTCTGAAAATGTCCGATGAAGTAAGCGGGTTTGAGTGGCAATGTGAAGCGCCAGGTGAGGAGGCTTCATACACCAATTCCGTAGCTGCCTTGCGATTCAAAGGCCTTTGGGTGCGCCAGCTCCGGGACGATAGGCGGGTTATTCGAGTTTTTATTTTGCCAGCCGTGGAACTAGTTCGGATATGGTCGGATGCTTGGAACGATGGTGAGGTTCGTTTGTATGATGGTAACTAAGTCTATGAGTGCATGCGTCAACATTTCTGGAGTAGGAGGACTCACCTTTAGTCTACTTGCTACTGCGGAAAGGGTTTGCAAAATGAACATAGCGAGGTAACTAGCCAACGACGAATATATGATGGACAGGGTAGGGTACTTTCCAAATTACAGATGGCGCTGATAAAGATAATGAAAAACTTCGAGGGTTTAAAGTACCTTTAGCAGCAGGCTAATAGGTTTGATGGGAATTAAAAACAACGTAATATAGAATGTCGTTTCAAAGCTTCGACCAAGATATAATATGGAAATGCGAGATACCTTATTATCACAAACGCATCCCGGGTTCCACGAATTCCAAAGTTGGAAGAAAATCATCGACACATTTTCCCAGTTATATACATGGGCCAGGAATGAGGAAACAGAAAAGAAAGACATGATCGAAGGGAAATGCCTTTATATTCATTAACATAACATACTCAGTTGAACAATGTGAGAACAGACAATTTGCGCAAGCAATAAACACGGTCCAAGCGCTCGTGAATACGGAGGCTCTGACAAGCAAACAGAGCTGGGAATCCCCCGGGCAGTTTCGCGGTACGCGCATGCACATAGTACTGGTCAGTGAGTGAGGTATTAACCGTTTCTCCTCGAACTGCTTGAGTTTGTACAAGCCGGATATGCGCTGAGCTGCGGTAGGCTCGTAGCAGGGCCATGAGGTAATCGAATCCACGAAAGCTATTGGCACAGGCAGGCGATCGACAAATACCGGGAGAGCATCCAAGCAGGGATGGAGAAGGGCAATAAACTTAAAAGATATAGGCAAAAGCCGTTGTTGGTCTTATTATACCCCGATTGCCTGCAGTAAAACACTTCAAGCTCATGCTTGTTCTCGAAAGGGTTTGATACATTGTAGAGGACGACTGTTAGTAGCCTGCCTTTGCGGGCAAATACTAGCAGGGGACATAGCCAACAGAAAGCAAATACGTGAAGCCAAGGCGAAGCTGAAGTTGTTGTCGAAGCTCTGTTGTTGTAGAGTTATTGTAGGAAGATCCAATCCACGGATGGAAACTACATGTGGGGAGCCGCAACACGTGACGCTGCTCCGACCACAGTGTCCTGAGTGCCTTAGCGCGGCCCGATCGGGACATCAGCGCACTCAAAGCCTCAACCCTGGAACTTCCTCCTCGTCCTCCTCGTCGTCGTCCACATCCTCGCTCTCCCAACAGCTCTGCTCCTGTCTCTCCTCCCTCTCTGCCTCTCTCTGCCTCTCTGCCCGTCATCCCCCTTCCTTTCTTTCTCTTCTTCCCGTCTCCTTCTTTCTTTTTTTTTCTTTTGTTGCTGTGTTTTCTGCTTTGGTTTCATAATCTGGCCTCCTGGTCCTCTTTTTCCCGCTCCTTTCATCCTCCTTACTCTTAATTCGAGGGTCAAACGAGCACAAAACCGTCACAATGAGTGGCCGTGAGTATCCCTGCCACCTATACCGGAATATGCCACGATTGCAGCTCATTCTGTGTCGGATTACTAATTAATACCAATCACAACAGTACGCTTCCTCGACCTGATCAAGCCCTTCACACCCCTCCTCCCGGAGGTGGCATCCCCCGAAACCAAGGTGCCCTTCAACCAGAAGTTGATGTGGACAGGCGTACGTTGTTTTATCCTGCCGTTCCACGCGATTGCATGGGTCTCTTCGCGTACTAATTCGATGGCGCATAGTTAACTCTGCTCATATTCTTGGTGATGAGCCAAATGCCGCTCTATGGCATTGTTTCATCAGATACCTCCGATCCGCTCTATTGGCTCCGCATGATGCTGGCCAGTAACCGTGGTACTCTGATGGAGTTGGGTATTACTCCCATTATCTCCTCCGGCATGGTTTTCCAAGTATGACTCTTTTTTTTTTTTAATTGAAAGACTGTCTGGTCCTCTCGTATCTTGACATTTTTGCTGACAACAACTTGCTTAGCTTCTTGCCGGAACCCACCTGATCGATGTTAACCTTGACCTCAAAACCGATCGCGAACTCTACCAGACCGCCCAGAAACTTTTCGCAATCATCCTGTCCTTTGGACAGGCATGTGTGTATGTCCTTACCGGTCTCTACGGCCAACCCAGTGACCTTGGTGCTGGTGTCTGTGTTCTATTGATCGTTCAGTTGGTTGTTGCTGGTCTTGTTGTCATCCTGCTGGATGAACTTCTTCAGAAGGGATATGGTCTTGGAAGCGGTATTTCACTTTTCATCGCAACCAACATTTGCGAGTCGATTATCTGGAAGGCGTTTTCCCCCACCACCATCAACACTGGACGTGGTCCGGAATTTGAAGGAGCCGTCATCGCCCTGTTCCACTTGCTGCTCACCTGGTCAGACAAGCAACGTGCCCTCCATGAAGCATTCTACCGCCAGAATCTGCCCAATATCATGAACCTCCTTGCGACTCTCCTTGTTTTCGCAACCGTCATATACCTCCAAGGTTTCCGCGTTGAGATCCCTGTAAAATCTTCCCGCCAGCGTGGCATGCGCGGTTCTTACCCCATTCGCCTCTTCTACACCTCAAACATGCCAATTATGCTTCAGTCCGCGCTTTGCTCCAACATTTTCCTGATCAGCCAGATGCTCTACTCTCGTTTCTCGGATAACCTTCTTGTCAAGCTCCTCGGCGTCTGGGAACCACGTGAGGGTGGATCGGCTCAACTCTATGCTTCCTCTGGAATTGCCTACTATATGTCTCCCCCGCTTAACTTCAAGGAGGCTCTCTTGGATCCCATCCACACCGCTGTATACATTAGTTTCATGCTGGTTGCTTGTGCTTTATTCTCCAAGACCTGGATTGAAGTTTCTGGCTCCGCTCCCCGCGATGTCGCCAAGCAGCTGAAGGACCAGGGACTTGTAATGGCCGGACATCGTGAGCAGAGCATGTACAAGGAACTCAAGCGTGTAATCCCTACTGCAGCTGCCTTCGGTGGTGCCTGTATTGGAGCCTTGTCTGTGGCTAGTGATTTGCTTGGAGCCCTTGGAAGCGGAACTGGTATCTTGTTGGCTGTCACGTAGGTCTTCTGAATTTTTTTCTTTTCTTTTCTTTTTTTTTTGTTTGCTACTCCCATCGCATTCCCGGTTTTCACTAATGCTTTTATAGTATCATCTACGGATATTTCGAAATAGCAGCTCGAGAAGGCGACTTCGGTGCTGGCCTGAAAGGCTTAGTGCCCGGAAACTAAACGAGTCTCGTTTTGTGACGATTCGGGGAGTTAATTTTCCCGCCCTGTCTTAATATATGCTCATTATCTTTATTTTTATTTTTTTTTTGTTTTCGCTTCAGTTGCATGGCTAGGATACATACTCTTTTCTTGTGACTTATCACATCTGTTAAACCTTTGAGCAGGGTATTCAGAAAAGCCTAGGTGATGGGGAGTCAGGCGATGTTTGGGATTCTTCCCCGGAATGTGTTTAGGTATATATACCTGAGCAGAAAAGAAAACCAGAATGCCGTATTTAAAAAAATATTTTTTCCTTTTCGCCGAACTTCTTGGATCCCCATTGTTTTTCTTCGCATATCTCTTATTTACATATTTGCCACGTCCATTTTCTTGAGGTAACATGGATGTACTGGCTCGGTGGGAGAAAAATCACAAAAATATTAGAGCGGCCTCATTTTTTGCAAAACGAGAGGAGGGAGAGAAAAAACTAGGAAAAAGGAAAACCAGGAAAACCCCCAAGTGTATATATACTTCGAAATGCCTGCTCTCTACCTATTTAACTGCGAGTATCATGATATTTCACAACCCGAGCGCTTTTCTCAAATCGTGACTTGTAAAGAGAATATGGCGCCATGTACTGTTTTTTTTAAACCAAAATATCCTCCTGCCTCACGGCCGTAAGTCAAAATCAAACCAAACCTATCCAGAAAGCAATTCAACAATAAACCACAAAATTTTTCCGAAACAATAAATATCTCTATATTTATCTATAAAGAGGGCTTTCCCCCGCAACCATCCCCTCCATCTCTTCGATTTCATGTCCTATAATCCCCATTGATAGTCACATACTCATGACTAAAATCGCAAAACCAATACAACCCCTCCTCCCCCCCAAGCCCCTTCTCCCCCTTCTGCCCGCCACCAAGATCAACCACAATCTCCAAATCCTCATCCTGCAAGATCCTCGCCGCCCGCTCCTCATCCACCGCCTCCGGCTCCCCATTAACAAGCAACTTCAATTCCGCACTACCATCAACCGGCCTAAAGCTCACGCTCGTCCGTTCAGGAACCACCGTCCCCTCCGCAATCCCCTGTGCATACCCGATCGCGCACAGGATGCGCCCCCAATTCGCATCCTTGCCGTACAGCGCCGTCTTGACCAGCGGCGACCGCGCGATCGTCGACGCAATCACCTTCGCGTCAGCGTGCGATGGCGAATTGCACACGCGCACCGTGATGAATTTCGTCGCACCTTCGCCGTCGCGCACGACTAGTTGCGCGAGCGATTGCGCGAAACTGGTCAGGATGGTTTGCATGGCGGCGTAATCTGGGGAGGATGTGGTGATGATTGCCTCGCCGCCTGCGGCGCCGTTGGCGAGGAGGGCGATGGTGTCGTTGGTGCTTGTGTCGCCATCTATGGAGATGGCGTTGAAGGAGCGGGAGACGGCATGGGTCAGGAGGGCTTTCAGGGCGGAGGGACTGATGGGGACATCGGTGCAGAGGATGCCGAGGAGGGTGGCCATGTTCGGGTGGATCATGCCGGCGCCTTTGGTCATGCCTGCTAAGCAGTACTGGCGGTTTGGGGAGGAGGGGAGGGTGAAGGTGCGTGACAGGAGCTTGGGGAAGGTGTCTGTTGTGCAGATTGCGCGGGCGGTGGCGAGCCAGGTTGAGTGCGTTGAAGCCAGATTCGAATGGGCGGTTGGAATGGCATCGAGGATTTTCTTGATTGGGAGGCTGGGAAGTTGATATGTAAGTTTCTTGCAATGCAGGCAATATAAATATCAGCTACAACAGCGTAAAGAGATTGGCCTTACCGTTGGCCAATAACTCCGGTACTCATGACGAGAGTGCTAGTATCCTGTGGCCCAGTTGACGGCGTGCCGTTGCACTCGTCAACTTTGGCGCTCATCATTTTGGCATCTTCTAGCCCCCCCTTCCCTGTGACGGCATTGGCACAGCCAGAGTTAATCACCACTCCCCGTATGCCCGTACCCTGCCTCTTTTCCAGTACCTGCTTGCTCACCTGAACAGGGGCTGCTTGAAATTTGTTTGTCGTAAAAACCGCAGCTGCTGAACATGGCGTTTCAGAACATATCAGGGCAACATCGGGAAACTGTGTGTTTGACTCCTTAACGCCGGCATGGGCGCCAGCAACCAAGAAGCCTTTAGGGTATGTCCCCGAACTAGGAATAAATTTTCGCTTGGATGCCGGTATGGACACATCATTTGGAATGGAGTAATATCTGGCCTGACCAAGGCTGCTTTTGGGCAAACGCACGAAGCCAGCCACGACACAGAAGGACTTCGGATTTCTCATGGTTCTGCTATTCGGCTTGATGCACAACCAGTGAGATTTGCACCTAAAACAGAGTATGCAACTGTTTTAGAAAATATATAAGTGATTCAATATGCTAAATGCTGCAATTCCCAAGAGGCCAAGCTCAATATTCACTTTGAAACTCGCCAGTTGTAACAATAACAGAACGTAGAACGCAAGCACAGGACGTGTGAGGGTTCCGGCAACCTGAGCCCTCAATGGACGCTCTGACGCTTGAAAACAACCGAAACACCGCAAGTCGATCCAATTGACTTACCGGCTCTTGAATTCCTTTCCTGCTATGACTCATATGTGTTGGAGTCGAACTTTTGCGACTTGCGATACTCGGAAACTTGCTGGCGTCGAAGGGCTCTGGTTGGTTGGATTGATCGAGTCAAGCCGTTGAGCTGGTCACGTGGTTTGACTGAAGCTTTCCGCTTTTGTTTCCAATCAATCAATCCTCAGCTTCTGACCTTCTTACCAGCTTAACGTGCTTACTTCTACTCTCTGTGGCCATGTGAATACCTGCTTGCCTTTTTCTTATTCCCATGGCCTCTGGCTACAATGAAACGCAAGCAACCAGGTTCTTCAAAAGGGGACAGCTCACTTGACTCCACACCGCGAAAGCGAAGGACCACCGATCCTAAATCGACCCTGAAAGACGAAGCCACTGCACACATACCAGAGACACCTTCGAGAAAACCTCCCTCCACGAGTAATGGATTCAAGGCCAAACTTACCCGTCATCTGAATACTCCAACCAAAGATTCCCCGACTTCAAAGGCGCAATCCGGACCGTTATTCGCAACACCCACAAAAGCTACTGGAAAAAAATCCGTGCATCCTTCTCCTTCCATAACAAGAAATGCTGATCGCTCAGCGAAGCGAAAAAGTGCGCGCGTACTTCTAGAACAAAATGATGAGGATGATTGGGACGGTGCAGATAAATTAGCGCAAGCTATCTTGGAATCAGGGGATGATGACGAGGCTGAGAAAATCAAAGAGCGAGGAGCGAGTAAAGCAAATAATGCTGGAAAAGCTGAACCTACGCCGAAGCGCCGCGCTGGACGCCCCAAGGGTGCGAAGAATCGGCGATCCCCTACTCCTGAGGGAGATCTCCCACCGCATGAACGGTACTTCTTTCAAAATCGACCGGGACCCGTACAAACTTCTAATAATACGCTTGCGAAGCTATCTCTTTTGGATCATGAGGAGTATTTTGAGCGGATGAGCAAATTTGTGGATCCACACCAAAAGGAAAAAGATTTTTTACTTGAACTTCATGAACACTCCTTTCCACAATGGGCATTTGAGCTGAGCGAGGGATTTAATATATGCATATATGGATACGGTTCAAAAAGGCGGCTCGTTAATCGATTTGCAGAATGGCTGTCCCAACGGCACAGTGATCAACCAACGATTGTAATTGTGAATGGCTATGTATCTAGCACGACGATACGGTCCATTCTTTCGACGGTAATTAGAGCAATCCTCGGGCCTGATACACCGTCAAAACTTGGCACGCAACCTTCAGAGGTATTGGAGCTACTTCAATCCATCCTACATAATAATCCACTGCAGCACCCTATAATGGTCTTTATAAATTCCATCGATGCACCACCCCTCCGGCGTCCTTCTCACCAGGCCCTGTTAGCGCGTCTTGCTAGTATACCTCTGATCAATATGCTAGCCACAGCTGACACACCCAATTTCCCTTTGCTGTGGGATGTAAGCCATCGTGATCAATTCAATTTTGTATTCCACGACTGCACAACCTTCGCACCGTATGATGTGGAATTAAACGTCGTTGACGAGGTAAACAGCCTTCTCGGACACCAGGTACGCCGAATCGGCGGTAAAGACGGAGTCAACTTCGTCCTGAAAAGTCTTCCAGAAAACACGCGGAAACTCTATCGCTTATTGGTGACAGAGATCCTCACACTGCTAGGGGAGCACCAGCTTTCTGACGACGAGGAGAATGGTGATAGAAGCATGAAGAAAGATGGTGACACCAACCAAGGCGAGAGAGTAGCCGTCGAATGGCGGACGTTGTTTCACAAAGCCTCGGAGGAATTCATCTCCTCTTCAGAGATGATGTTCCGTACGCAATTAAAGGAATTCTATGATCATCAAATGATTGTGTCACGGACTGATGCCAGCGGAGTGGAAATGCTTGGAATCCCACTATCCAGAGAAGAGATGGAAGGAGTTCTGGAAGATTTAATCATTGACTGAATATGATAATCGTACACAACGTTTTTTTTTTTTTTTTTTTTTAACTTTCCATAGCAGATATCATATCCACAAGCATACGATACCCTATTGTATCTAGAGAACGTGGTCGAAAATATATATTATACATACGATTGACGAAGGCAACGGCGCACATACTGTTGTCTATTTTCATTCAGTAACTAAACCCATTGCAGGATCTTGCAACCTTGGGGATCTTGCAATCTTGGGCTATTATTTTCAGTAGTTCTTAAAACTGCGCAAACGCAGCCAACATCATCATGGTCCCAAAGCTAACTTTGAACGGGACGTTCTCGGTCAGAAACCGTTGCAGATTCGTAGATCTAACACGCTCCTGCAACCAGCGCGTGGGGACGACGTTGTAGCCCTTGGAAGCTGCCCACTAATAAATAAATACCAAATACCCCAAGTCAGCATCACACATGAGATTCATAAGTCAATCCTAGAACTGGGGGTTTTTAAATAAAATAACAATAATAATAATAATAATAAAATAGTCATAATCCTACCTCAACCCCCAACACCGTAAGTCCCAGCGCAAACACCAGCGCCCTCGAAAATATCCTCAACCCAAGGCCCGCAAGCAATCCCAGCACGCTTCCCAGACTAAGCTGCCGGACGGTATTCTCGTTGATTCCTCCGCTACTGCGGATCCCGCGCTTTGTTTTGGGCACAGGGCTGGTACTGTAGTGCGAATGGCTAGTGGTGGCGAAAGGGCCTGCGAAGTCGCAAAGAATGGGCTGTTGTTTCGGGAGGGCGAGGGAGAGGGATAGGCCGAGGGGGGCGGCGAAGAGGAAAGGTCGGGCGGCGGGGTGGAGGAAGCGGGTGAGGAACGGGGCGGTCATTTTTTTATTTTTGGTTTTGGTTTTATTTTATTTTTCTTTTCCCCCCTTAGTCAAGCTGTGTGTATGTGTTCAAGAATGGGATGTTGGGTGTTCGATGCATGGTCCCAGGAGTGCCGAGCTGGACCGTTGATTGGCGCAGATGGAACGGTGCTGATGTCATCGGCGAGGGCGGAGGTGGATTTAGGCTTTTTTAGACTCGGCTGAATAACGGCAGCCTTACTCGGTATGGTTTAGACGGATTGAGTCTCCAACAAACATCTGGGGAACTTGTGCTCATCCTGGCAGGTTGTTGACATTTCACGGAAAGACAAGGAACCTTTCAATCTCAGAGTATTTAGATATCTAGAGTTAACACTAAACTGCCCATTCATGTTTGTTCTTCAAATTGCCAACGAGTATTTCAACACCACAGGGCTTTCTTGTGCTGTACAAGTCACACTCCGTACTTTTCTTGTAGATCCGAATTCTATCCACATGTTTTCCGACCCGATTGAAGCCTGAAAGCAATTTCCTCATCTGCTCCCTTCACCAATCAGCAAACAATATCAGCCATCTCCGAAACCAGAAGCCGTCCCCTCTAATTGGGTCCACGTGGTTTGTCCGTTCCATTCCAGTAGCATGCATTCCTTGTAGTCTGTCTTCAACCCATCATAGACCACAACACAAAATCCCATTCAAACAACTAACTACAAACCCTCCTTCTTTCATTTCTAATCCTTTTCAGCGAAGGATAGCATTCATTAGCTCCATCCCACATATATATACGGCGGCTTCAACATCCACACATATCCCAAACCCTAACATAAACATCTTGCACAGATCACAAATGATATGGCCAGCAGCCATGTAATCCAGCAGGGTTGTGAAGACCTGCAACTTTTGCCACCATACCTGTTTCATGGATGGTTGATCTAAGACATTGATTTGGAGCAAACATATGGATGGATATAGTGTGGCAGTGGTGGGGGCCAAATTTAGTGGAGGCGCAAGAGTTGGGGTAGTGGCAAATAGCTACCTGCAATGTCTGAAGTATTATATCTATCCTGGCCAGAACGTTCGACCATGCTGCCTGATTGTAGTGGGTGTTTGGCGTGCGTGCGACTGGTTTCGCAGAATCTCATAATCGGAGTACTAGCGGCGGGATATGGATTGGATACTATTAGTTTTAGGAATATTGAAGTGACGTATCCCGAGAGGTAGTGGTTGGAGCTAGCTGCAAATGGTGATCGTTGAAGGGTCACAGTGAGATCTTTGTACCATTCTCGACAATTCTTCACATCCGTAATGAAACAGAGGCAAGAAATTGGTCAGCTGTGTTGGAACGCTGATTTTCACATCTCGTGGTTACCAAAACTGAGAACCGACCCGATAGGTGGAACAAATAGAGAGAGAAATGAATTTGGCCCGTGGATCCAGGCACGGGACCCACTTCGATTGCACAGGTCGCCAATATCAAAAACGCCTGCAATGCTGGAGAGTCGGAAGATTGCCAGACAGGGCAATCCACACTGTTCTGTTCTATCTCCTAGCATTTATTGTCTCGGGATAATGCCTTCGCCATAAGTGTTTCCAGCTAACCCCGGGAGAAGCGACCAATAAGCAAACAAGTATGTTTGCAGACAAGTGCATGGACCCGCGCTTGGATCAACCTATCTCTCCCCAACTAGCGGTAAGTCGCAACAGCGACAGGGCGCGTGCCTTTCCATACTCTGCTGAAAAAGTTTAATCGCACGGCATTGTCCTGGTTCTTGTGTGCAGTGTTAGGACGTGAACGCAAAAGAGTCCATCTGAGCCAGGCCATGAGAGAGAGAGAGAGAGAGAGAGAGAGAGAGAGAGAGAGTTGTAATCGATTTATCGGTATCAGAATGCACAATTGATAGAGAGCCGGCGATGAAGCCCACTGGGTTTGGCAAAATTGCATCCGGCAAACACGCCGCCACCGCGGAAGATGCGACCAAACAGGGTCAATTCAGAGTCTTAAGCTAAGCTTCATCCATATATAATCCCGAAGATTATCGGCCGAAAAGGACGTTATCAGAAGGTGTTGCATAAGACAGCAAGGTATTAGCGCGAATAGCCCGCCGTTTTTAGTCTTGCTTTTCTTTTCTGAAGCCCGACCAAAAGGTGAAACTGCTGAAGAGAGAATCTGGACAATCTAGTTCCAGTAGTGCCAGATCTGCAAATTAACTCACAGCAGCGGTTTGTGGGGAAACAGCATCGAATAATAATTAATTGGCGCAAAGCGGGACAACAACAAGCTCCTAATTTTTCTACATGGGCACCCTGCCTTTGGAGTTGCGAAACTGGTTATAACTACTATGTACTGTAACCTTTACGCAGCAGTTAGTCCAGCGTATATTTAATCACCGTCAGCCTTTGCCGGTTAGCGTGGCCGGAGATAGCCGTGGGCGTGGTGGTTTAGCCGGCCTGACCTCCGAAGCCCTAACCCATTGTCCTCTACAGATCTGTACAAGAAACGAAAGAAACATCCTCGAGTTGCCAACTTGCCAGCCCATTTTGGCTGTAGGAGTTTGGTTGGAGGAGGGGGTTTTGAAGTCTTCCCCGGAGCATGTCACGGCGCTATCCCATGAGCAATAGATACTATAATAATACATTTGGCGCACATTCGGTTCCTGGTAGCTTATACACTCTTTTTTGCCCGCTATCGGTTTCCGCGCGCCTTTCCTTTTACAATGGCTGACTCACAAACTCGGCACCGTTCACCGAGTCATTTTTGGGCATTTTTGGCCCTTTACTTCTTTCTACTTTTTCAAATCAACTTGAATCCTCAGCGGCTTTTTGGCTGAAACAGAAATCTTCGCTTTTATTCCTCGAGCGTTCCCAGAGTGTCAGAATCCGTCTTTCTCAACGCATCCGGCCTACCCCCTTGTCCTAAAAAAAAGAGAGAAAAAAAGAAAAAAAAATTCCTGCCCCTCACCCCGCCCCAAATGGCACCAGAAATATCCACCGGCAGCGATGCTGTCGCCTCCGCCTCATCTTCCTCACCTGTCGACTTCAAAGTCAAGGCTGGTCTGGCCCAGATGTTGAAGGGGGGTGTCATCATGGACGTCGTCAATGCGGAGCAGGTATAATTTCGACCCTTTCTTTTCTTCCCTGGCAGCATCCATCTCCTTCCAACGCAACTACCGTTATCAATTTACGATCTACTATCACAATTCCCCCTATGCATAATCAGGCTGACGAAGCGATGTTGATTAAACCATGATAATAGGCCCGCATTGCCGAGGAAGCAGGTGCATGCGCCGTCATGGCCCTCGAGCGGGTGCCAGCAGATATCCGTGCTGAAGGCGGAGTGTCGCGCATGTCCGACCCATCGATGATAAAGGAGATCATGGAAGCCGTGACGATACCCGTCATGGCTAAGGCGCGGATAGGGCATTTCGTCGAATGTCAGGTACGTTCTGTTCCTCCGCCCCTTAACAATGAATAATAAGAGTGCCTATCCCTAACAAAAGACGAAAACCCTGCGAAATCCAGATCCTCGAAGCCGTCGGCGTCGACTACATCGACGAGTCCGAAGTCCTTACCCCAGCCGACCACCTCTATCACGTCACCAAGCACAACTTCAGAGTGCCCTTCGTCTGTGGCTGCCGGAACCTGGGCGAAGCCCTCCGCCGCATCTCCGAAGGCGCTGCGATGATCCGTACAAAGGGCGAGGCAGGCACAGGCGACGTCGTCGAAGCCGTCTCCCACATGCGCACCGTGAACAGTCAGATCGCCAAGGCGCGCTCCATCCTCCTCTCCTACCCCAACGGCAGTGTTGAGGCGGAAGCGGAGCTGCGTGCCTTCGCGCGCGAGCTGGAGTGTCCCTACGAGCTGCTGCTGGAGACGGCGGAGAAGGGTCGGTTGCCTGTTGTGAACTTTGCGGCGGGAGGCGTTGCGACGCCCGCGGACGCGGCGCTGATGATGCAGTTGGGCTGTGACGGCGTGTTTGTCGGGTCGGGGATTTTCAAATCTGGCGATCCGCGGAAGCGGGCTAAAGCGATTGTCCAGGCTGTGACGCACTTTAAGGATGCGAAGGCGCTAGCGGAGTTGAGCCAAGGGCTGGGTGAGGCGATGGTGGGCATTAGTGTGCGGGAGATGAGAGACACGGAGAAGTTGGCGACAAGAGGATGGTGAAAAAAAAGGGGGGACGGGGGAATTGAAAAATAGAAAATACTCGATGAGTGTGTAGGGGTTTTTGATACCAATGATGGATGTGTTGGTGATGTCTTGATTGCGATTTCAACTGTGTACTGCACCTTGCGCGCTCGCGTGGGCGTAAGCCGGTGCAATCTGCTGTTATTCGGTGGCTGTGTATGTTCGTGTACATATACCTCTATATACCTATATGTATCAAGGTTTACGAATTAAAATATAGATTGCTGGGAGGGAAGGCCCAATTTTTCCACGCGGGTTTTGGTTGATTGCACAAGAAACCCTAACCAGCCACGAAACTTGTACCACTAGGGATGCTTCTTAGAACACTTCTATCGTGCATCTCTTTCTCTCCCTAGTTCAATTGGGGAAAAATTCTTTGTCGGAAACACACCGTTACTTAGCCTGTTGATACAAATCATCTCATAAACATAACCGAGGGAATAAAACATATATAAATATGTATATTATTATTATTATTAGGCAAAACAGCCACAAATATGCATATAACTAATGCGTTTACATGGCTAACTTTTCCTGCTCCGGCCCCGATTCAGAAATTTGAACTTTTCGAATTTTAAAAAATTTGGCCAAGGCCCTATTTAGACCAAAACTCAGCTCGCATACGCGAATCCCTTCCCCCTGCATGTCACCCAATAATCTTTCACAACACGATTAGTTCCCCTCGCACCCCTCAGCGAGAGTATAGATGATAAGAATCTTTCTCGCTCCGCCTTCTCCGGCACCCGTCCTCCCCCTCCCGGCTCACCTGGTGCAGTTGAACTATCCATTCCCGCCAGCGCAGCCCCAAAATGCACACGTGCCGCACCCTGGTAGTGGAATATGAACTTCTTGATAACCTCACACAGGTGGTCAAGGTCCGAGCGTGCGCAGTGACCTGATATGTGGTGCATAAGTATATTTCCAAGTGATGCGAGGCAGGTGTCGAAGAAATGCTGCCCATGTTGGGGAATTGTACCGTTAGCTGGCGTGGCAGCTAGGTGTCCCGTGATAGAACCACCCGTCCCTGGTTGGAGCTCAACTGGCAGATCTGTGAGGGAGAATAGGGTGGACCAGAATACGGAAGCAGACCGGAGAGGGAGAGGGTCGTGGCGTTTCAGCACTGCTAGTGTGAAGGTGAGGATCGTGGGAACGACGACACTGTGCTGGGGTGTAGGCGCGTGGATAAGGTTAAAAAATGCTGTTTTGTACTTGGGCAACATCAAGTTGAGAAAATCAATGCAGCTATGCGCGACCTCCGGATCGTATTGATCCGGCTGGGCGCTCACGAAGTTCATGAGTTCATAGGCGTGGATTATTAGTTCAGTGGCTTCATCTTGGACTGCTGAGGGGTGAGCAAAGTGAGAAGCTAGAAAAGCGGAGGCTGTTCCCATAATTGTCGGGAAGCGAGGTGAGTTAACGCTAGCAGCCTTGATGAAGCGGATAGTAATTTGAGGTGGTAGGACATATGGGCCGGGCGTGCGTTCTGTATATCCCGCCTTGAGAATATCGCATGTAGCTTCGATTATGTCGCCATCAGTAGGGAATGTGCCTATTAAGAGCTCCAGAATCTGAATCACGTAAGCCTGTGGTGTTTTGCCGAGTTCATCGCTGGTCCAGAAAGTATCTGTGCTTTCACTTGCTGCGTCTGTATCTAGGTCGATCACGGCGTCATCAGGAGCCCGAAACCCCTTGCCTATGCTTGCTGTGCAACGCATTACCCCGATCCCCTTTTCAAGCGCGTCATCATACTGGCCTGATTGGGCTTCTACTCTGGCTTGTTCTGCTAACTGATGAAGGGGAATTAGTAGTTTCACCAGGCATGTTGCCCGGGCCGTATTTGAAGTGGCCGCTTGTACAACTGCAGCAATGCCTTCGGATACTCGCTCAAGAGTAGTGACATTAACGGAGGAATTGGAGCGAAGCTGATCCAGCTTACTTATAAAATCATCGACGTACATTGGGAGTGCTTGGCGGCAGTTCTGACAGAGGAATGAAATGGATTTGGACGCAGCTTGGTCGCATGACGGAGCATCAAGGGAATTGAACAGAAAGTTGAGGGCTCGTGGAAGGAGGTCGTGGTTGCGTTCAAAGTATGACGTGTACCTTGCAATCATGTCAGATAGGGTCTGACGGGGCTTCATAGGAATGGAAATTCGGTTAAAACAAATGCCATCGAATATTTCGGAATGAAAAATCGTGTGAAGTAGCTTGTCCACTTTCGAACTATCCGCAACAGAGTCAGCCAAGAAACCAAGACAAAATATTGCTACTTCAAAACCGTCCCATATGTTGGTGTTCATCAAGCTAGTTGCTCGCTCAACGAGCTTTTCAATAAGGTCAAATCCTAGAAGAGAATAGGTGGCCAGCAAGAAGTCTGCGAAGTCACGTCTGAATCCATTGAAGTTTCTCACGTCGTCGTCGTCCCACCCCTTCAGTACTGACGAATCGGGATACCGGAGCTTGTCATAACAGTCAGCGACGACTTGTGCAAACTCCCCTTTTACACGATTTGGGAAAATGTCCACACCGCGCTGCATGATATAATCGTTAATATCATCCGCTGCCTCAGTCCAATACTCCAGAAGAAGTGAACTCGCTTTATCGTCAACTTCTGCGAATCCTGGTCCGCGGAAAAGGGTATGAAGCAAGAAAAGGATCCTTCGTTGTTGTTCATTTAATTCGCCAGTGAAGAGTTGAGTATGGACCGTCGTTGCATATCGCATTAATAAATCCAAAAATCGCATAGAGTCCTCATCATAATCCCCGTTTAATAGAGCCAAGGCATACTTTTCCCCGAAATTTCCTGAGAGGAATTGCATGATAGCAGTCAGGTGTTCAATCCCCAGTAGTTTTGCATAGCTACTAAGAATTTCGGCAAGAAGTTCCATTGCCATCTCTGCAAGTTCAGGCACCGCTAAAAACTGAACGGAATAATTCAAAGGTACTGCAACTACTTTTGGGAGATCGTCTAGAGAGACGCGGTCTCCTCGGATTGCAATAAGCCATGCCTATAACAAAAACTTAGCGGTGACAGTGAGGTTCACACGGGGGTTAAAATTCTCACATTGAAAGATTTCATGGCTTCAATAGCTAATTTATTTAAGTGATCCGAGAATTGCGGTTGATTTGCGGCTCCATGTAAATTGGATACTCGTTCCAAAACGAACTCTATCAGATATATTGCATCCCTGATATTGGGACCTAAACGAGCTCTAAGATCCCTGCATATTTAGTCAGAAAAAGGCCGCGTCGAGGTAATAAAGACCGCAAATCGCCAAGAACTCACTGGCTCAGGGAATACCGTGATGACTCCTCAGCTAGGGTAGTAGAAAAGGACAAAAGCGGGAGCATCCGTTCATAACTGAGCGAAGGCAGAGCGAGCTTTTCGAAACTTTCCTGCTCGCACTGATCTTCCGGGAGGTACTTTCCACTAGCCATGGAAATAGCAACATGTCGTATGCAATGAGTCCAGGGAGCTTCAGGCTTGAAAAAGAAGGTAGTCAACGTTGACATAAATTTCCTCATGGCTACTGCCGCTTCGTTCCCTGAGACCATCGTGATGAAGTTGTTTATCAGATGCTCCAAAAGCCCTTTGGCTTTTTCTTCCCCAAGATGTTCCCTAGGATAATTATTAGCGAAGTCTTGAACGAAACAGAAGAAAGGAGAAAACACCAATGGCATAGATCCTTACCAGTCCTGATGGATTTTAACGGTCAAGGTAAGGGCACCAAAGAATCTCGCATTGGCGTCATCACTGGCCAAAAGTCCATCTGCAATGGCCCACCCCGCCTCCGACTTTTGGATTGCCTGCAACCTCTCCTGGATAGATCTGGCAATTCCAGCATTCCCAGGAGCATTGAGGACATGTATAAGCTAGGCAAACGTCAGTCATGACTGACCATGTGATTGGAATACGGACTAATAAGCATACCTGGAGTGACTCGTCAAGAAGCGATGGGATCTCCTTTTGAGCCGAAGGAATTCCAGCCATCATCCCTTTCTTCGATCGATATCAATCACGCTGGAGATTAGGGGCTCTGGTGCGTTCCTGATCACATGTATTGATATGATATGTTTATTTATGGCCTTAAACTAGGCCACAAAACAGGGTAAAATGGCCAGGTCAGCAGAGCAATGGCATGGAGGATACGGATAAGAATCAATAAGAAAGAAGTTCGCTGGCGAAAAGTTCATTCGAGATGAACCTGAACATGAAGCAAGTTCTAGCTCCGAGGGCAAAACCAGAGTATAAATGATGATTTGCTGACAAATGACAAACCCATGAACATGAGTAGCCCTACAAATACCAGAGATTGAAATATCTCATTTCCAGACTAATCAGGATAAATAGTCCTGAAACCAGCAGTATTAGCGGAGAGATAGATGATAGCCGCGTTGTAGTTAGGGATGGTTTGTCACGCAAGCACAAATCTTGAATGGGTATCTCTAATAACATAAACTGTTAGCTCATATGTGGACCCCAGGATATGTCAAGGACTTGTCAACCCCATACAAATGAGTTTCTCTTTGTACAGCACCTGTGGCGGCGATGAAAGAAACGTTGCGCGATGTGGGTTGAAATCCTGTCCCAGGGTTGCTTAGCTAAGCTCCATCGCTCACTGTTTACTAGTAACAATCGCAGAAGGGGGAACTTTGGGAGATTTCACCATCCCCGCCCCCGCCACCTTCTCCCTCACCCCCGCTAGATCCCCGGCGCATCCTTTGGAGCGCCACAATATATATGAATGCTTTTTCTCCGCAATTCTTGCCGTCTTGCTTCTACCATTACGACTTCCGTACGACCTCTACTCCCACCACTGAGTCGCCTGATTAGACCAACAACCGGATCAACATTTTTTTCTACTGCATTTCGTTCTGGAGATATGGGTCCCATCGATACGTCACAGCGCCTAGCCCGCTTGAGGGAGTTGATGCAGGAGAGGAAAGTCGATGTCTACAGTATGGAATGATATAACTAACCCTCAGCAAGAACCTATTGTTGGATGCTTACTTTTATACAGTCGTGCCTTCAGAGGATAGTCATCAGTCCGAATACATTGCACATTGCGATGGCCGCCGCGGTTAGCTACCTGTCCCCTTGACGATATAAATTCCATCACCACGCCAGCAAGTTCCGCTCTAAGACTTTAGCTTTAGCTTATCATTGTTATTATATACAGAATTCATTTCGGGCTTTACTGGCTCGGCGGGATGCGCCATTGTGTCGATGACCAAAGCAGCACTGTCTACTGATGGACGATACTTCAATCAGGCAGCGAAGCAGCTAGATAATAACTGGATCCTTCTGAAGAGAGGTTTCGAGAATATGCCTACTTGGCAGGAATGGTATGGACAAAGGAATGCAACATGTCATAATGCAAGCATGTATTGAAGTTTGACTCATAGGACTGCGGAACAAGCTGAGGGAGGCAAGGTCGTTGGCGTCGATCCATCACTCATCACTGCCTGTAAGCTCATTTTCTTCTCATTTAAGAAAATATTTTTCCCAAGAATATAATTGACCCAATCTAGCCGATGCGCGCAACCTTTCAGAAACAATAAAAAAGTGTGGCGGTTCCTTGCTCGGTGTTCAGGAGAATTTAGTCGACCTTGTTTGGGGTACGGAGCGTCCAGCTCGACCAAGCGAAAAAGTGGCTCTCCATCCTATCGAATTTGCGGGAAAGTCATTCGAGGAAAAGATCAGTGACTTACGAAAAGAGCTCCAAAAGAAGAAATCCGCGGGATTCGTCATCTGTACGTAAATAACCCGCTTGTCAACGTTCCTTGGTTTCTGACTTCGTTGTTTTAGCGATGCTTGATGAAATTGCCTGGCTGTTTAACCTTCGAGGAAATGAGTACGGATAACCCTGCCCGCCTGCCAACATGAATTTAACCCCTGACATTAACAATCACTTATAGCATTCCATACAACCCAGTGTTCTTTGCTTATGCTATTATTACACAATCAACCGCCGATCTCTACATTGATGAAGAGAAGCTACCAGCTGAAGTGAAGAACTATCTGGGTGATAAAGTTTCCTTAAAGCCATACAGTTCTATTTTCGAAGATGCCAAAGTATTGGGCCAATCTGCTCAAAATAAAAGCGATGGCGAAGCTTCAGCAAAGCCGCCCCAGAAGTTTCTCATCTCAACGAGGGCGTCATGGTCGCTTAGTCTTGCCCTGGGCGGTGAGAAGAATGTGGAGGAAGTCCGAAGTCCAATCACGGATGCCAAGGCCATCAAAAATGAAGCTGAGTTGGAAGGAATGAGAGCTTGCCACATTCGCGACGGCGCAGCGTTATCCGAATACTTCGCGTGGCTCGAAAATGAATTGGTCAACAAGAAGACGGTTCTTAACGAGGTAGATGCTTCCGATAAGCTCGAACAAATCCGATCAAAGCATCAGCATTTCGTTGGGCTTTCTTTTGATACCATCTCATCTACCGGCCCAAATGCTGCAGTCATCCACTACAAGGCCGAACGTAATAACTGCTCTATTATCGACCCAAAAGCCGTGTATCTATGTGACTCAGGTGCGCAGTACTTGGATGGCACTACCGATACAACCCGCACTCTTCATTTCGGTGAACCAACGGAGATGGAAAAGAAGGCCTACACGCTTGTCCTGAAGGGTTTGATCAGTATTGATACTGCTGTATTCCCCAAAGGAACAACTGGATTCGCTCTGGATGCTTTCGCACGGCAATACCTGTGGAAAGAAGGCCTAGATTACCTACATGGCACAGGTCATGGTGTGGGGTCGTATTTGGTATGATGCTCTTCATTTCGCTAATCCTTTTTCTTCAAGCGCTAACATGTCCCAAGAATGTCCACGAAGGTCCAATCGGACTAGGGACTCGGGTTCAGTATTCGGAAGTTGCCATTGCCCCAGGAAACGTGATATCTGATGGTATGCTTGCTGCGATTGTTAAGTATTATCGCGTTGCGGAGTGCTAACAAATCATGTAGAACCTGGTTACTATGAAGACGGAGTGTTTGGTATTCGCATCGAAAGTCCGTTTTTGCCCCATCTGCTAATAAACCTGCCATTCTTACTGACACCTATCATAGACATTATTATGGCCAAGGAGGTAAAAACAACGCATAAGTTTGGAGAGAAACCCTGGTTAGGCTTCGAACATGTTACGATGACACCCTTATGTCAGAAATTGATCAACCCAAGCTTGCTCAGTGACGCAGAGAAGAAATGGGTGAATGATTATCACACTGAAATTTGGGAGAAGACTAGCAAATACTTTGAGAACGATGAGCTGACTAGAAACTGGCTTAAGAGGGAAACTCAACCTATATGAGTGAATTGACGGGTCCGTGCATGGAATGTTAAATAGATCGAATTCTTTATTCATACAAGCAACCACCATGGGTATCAGTGGTTTTGGTGTATAGAAATATGTCAATGTTGTCCATACATGTGTAACTTTACTCTTCTCGTGGTATTCCCAATTAGTACGATCAGTTCTATGAATTATTTGTATATAGAAGCACCGCGTAGCAGTTAAGACTGTATATAATTATTCCTTTTTGAGGTTTCCAGCAGACCCAGTTCAGCAGGGTAGTCTTTCCGGTACAGTTTATGATAAATAATGGCTCTTGCCTGTAGAATTGCAACCGAAGCTTGACACTATATCTTGAGTGCGAACGGTATATTTGTCGCAGCCCAATCTGGAGCTGGTGTAGTTCAAACTAGCGCTTATATCCACAACCTTGGAACCCCTTGACCTCACATGACATCGCTCCAACAACTTGCACAATACAATCCACACGAGAACCGTTAGATATCCTCACTCGACCGTCAGGCAAAACCCCAGAATTAGGTCGCGACACCTCCCCGACCAACATGATTTCATTTCCCAAAACCCAGTCCCAGAAGGCCTAAACCGATATTCCTCCTCGATCTAGCATGAGCAGAACCGGCCTCCCCAGCGGCGGACCGTCGTCAGGCCGCTCCGAACGAGACTACGGACTTTACAGAGGGGACAATGCCTCACTGAAAACCGTGTCAAGCGCCGGATACTCTTCCTCCCGGGAGCGTCGCGCTGGTGGCTACGGCGGGTTCTATGAAAACGGTTCCGCGGCTTCATCAGCCTCTTTCCAGAGCTCCGAACAACAATTCCGCCCCTCTTCCCGCCCGCGGCGGTATGATACTGAAACGGGAACCGCGGGGAGTATTGGTGGTGGTAGAGACGAAACGAGATACGGTGATCGTGGAAAGAGTCAGGATAGGAATAGGTCCGATGCTACCTCTGGAAGGAGTGGACCGCAACCGATCGACGGTATGTTTCGTTATACTCCTGAAGGGACTCGGGTGGTGTTCACAAGTCATTTTTCAGAGTTTGTGAAGCCCGTTAACGCTGCTCATGAGCTGACTTGAGCTGACTTGAGCTTTTGTGTAATAGATGTCCTCCGAATGATACAACAGGATTGGGAGTTTATGGCCGCCGATGACTGCATACCCGTTCAAGTTGGCTTGCAGTTGATGGACTCAAGTACTCTGGGCAAGGCGGATCGAGAGCCCGATTTCATACGCACATATAAGCAAATACAAAAATCTTTGAAATCGATTGTCAATGGTTTGTTGGATCTTATGCTCGCGCCCCAAACATGCTTTACCCGTGCGATTACTAAAAATATTCTGTTTTAGAACATCACCAGGGCTTCAATAGTTCTATTGGAACATATCATACTATCCAGTCAAGTATCCAAAGTTCCCAAAACCGCCTTCGAATACTAAAAGGGACCCTGGCTGAAGCTAAAGCGGGGCTACTTACAACGAAGCCAGAGTTGAAAGGACTTGCGACGGCTTCTCAGAATTACGATGATATACTACAATTATTCAGCCAGATCGAAAATATCCAATCATTACCGGAAAAGCTAGAAGCACGTGTATCGGAAAAGAGATTTATTGCTGCGGTAGAAATCCTCAAAGATGCGCTGCGGCTTGTGAATAAGCCGGAGTTTGACGGAATCGGAGGTCTTCGAGATTTGCGAACATATTTCAGCAACCAGGAATTATCGTTGACAGATATCCTGATCGAGGAGCTACACGATCATTTGTATCTTAAATCTCCGTATTGCCAGGACCGCTGGAAGCTGACAACCGGTGACGAAGCCAAAGATGGACCAAAACCACCAGGTCTAAGTAATGTGACACATTGGGATAGACCAGTTTACCATTTTCTAGCCAACCTGGATATGAAGACACCCGTTGCGGAAGATGCCTCGCGTAATCCGGAGACTGATACTTTCCATTATATACGCGTGGTCATCGAGGCGTTAAACAAAATGGGCAATCTTGAACTTGCTGTCGATCGGATCGAACAACGGCTTCCGGTTGAGCTTTTCGCTATTGTTGATAAGACAGGCTCCGAAGTCGCAGCCCGCTATCCTGACCATAGAAGAAGTCAACAGCCACGAGACAGCACGGTTCGTTGCATGCCTAACGAACTGGGTGGAGACAGGGGATATGTTCTGTCAGAATTTATGTGGAATCTTTATGCGAAATTCGAGGCTATTGCTGAAGGCCACCGCATCGTACATGATGTCGTTGCGGGAATTGTGGAGCGGGAAAACATTCGGAAGTCTGGGTCGCTCACAAGTGGTTTCAAGGAGTTGTGGAAACTGTACCAAAGCGAGGTGAGTTAATTTCTTTTTTTCCCAATTCCCTATTGTAGTGAGATGTATTTTAACTTTCAATTGCCAGATTCGGTCCCTTTTGCACGATTACCTAGCTACAGATGGAGAAGTCAGCTATCGGGCTCAATCTAATATCTCTGATGATAAACACACACAGACATCTAACAAAAGAGATAGAACGAAGGTGTGTAGCTTGATGATTATATGTTCCTGTGGAGATGCTAACAAGTAAATAATACAGAAATTGTTCAAACTCTCCGAAGTAGATGAGAAATCATCGGATATGAAAGCTGAACAGAACGAACTAGAGGAGATCCTGAGATCATCAGTGCCCGGCCTGGTGTCGAAATCCCGCCAAAAAACATCTACCACTGACTCATCCAGATCAAGGCAAGAAAATTCTGGGACCGGACACAAGCTCCTGATCGAACCCAGCGTTTTTAATATGAGTCTACTTCTTCCTCCATCCCTCTCTTTCATTCAACGATTGAAAGACATTGTCCCTCTCACTTCGGATATCGTCATGAGCACCCTTACCTCCTTCCTCGATGACTTCCTGATCAATGTTTTCCAGCCACAGCTGGATGAAGCTGTAACAGACCTCTGCGCGATGACTTTTATTGCACTAGATGCATTTACCGAGGATCCGCAGTGGACAAGGGTTTCACGACGGCCCATTTTTAAAGTATGTAACTTTATACCCTGATCTATTCATCTTTTGAGCTAGATCTGACCGTTTTTCAGGGAACAGTTGCGTTCATGGAACTTGTCAAAACGTTTTGCAAAATGCTCAACAGAATTCCTCATGATCAGGCTTTCACACAGTTGGTTATACACCAGATTGTAACTTATTATGATAAATGTTATGGCATGTACAAAGGTACTACTGATATACTTCATTATATTTTAAACTTTGAAAAAAGCTAACAAAAAAGTATATCTAGCACTGGTTGCGCGTGTCTCTGCTCAACATACCGGAGGGCTACACTCGAAAGCTGCTGCTGCATACGCTGAATCTGGGGAAATTCGAGAAACCACAGAAAAGCTGTGGGAATGCACCGATGACAAGCAACGACAGGAATTGATAGCTAAAGTGCTTACCCTTTCTCTGGCACGAGGTTTCTAGCTAAGTATGTTACTGATACAACTTCCTTAGGAAATCGATCTCCTTATAAAATACACGAACGAAACGCCTCTAGAGTCGTATGACATCGTTTCGGACCCCAAAACCGTGTTCTCGCTATCTCTCCTTTACAACAGCATGGTATGTATTGAATAAGTTCCACGAATTCTCAAGAAACACTTCTAACAAAATATAAACAGCAATGGCTTGTCAACAGCCTCTCGCGACTACGCCATATAACAACCCACGAAACAGACTCGAACCGGCTCCAATCTACCGGTCGAATCCCCCTCAGACGGCGCTGGACGCTCCTCTCCTCCATGAATCACAATCGCGACAGCTCTAGCATCCCGAATAACCTCCCCATGACCGAAGACTCCGTTATTATCTTCGATACCACCTTGCAATCTCTTCAGGATCTCGCCCTAACGGCTTTACTAACCCTACACATCGACATCCGCTGTGGCGCTATCCACATGGTCACCCGCAGCCTCTCAAGCAACACATCCCCTTCCGCCCTCCCAGCCACCCCACCATCCTCCACAAAAGCTACAGAGTTGCCACACGTCTTATTAGCCCCGCCATCTTCCGCCTCGCCCGCAATCATCGAACTGAATAACGACCTAATCAACTTTGACGCCAACGCCGCCATGTACCTCGGCCCAAACGAATGTCGCTTCATAACCTCCGGCCTCGCACAGCTGATCGACCGCGCCTTTATCTCTGCAACACGCTTCATAAGCGCGATGAACCACAACGGCGCCCTCCGCCTCCAACTCGACGTGCTAGTCCTGCAACAGAATCTGAAAAACATCATCGTACATCCTTCACCACCACCGCCATCCTCATCCTCATCCTCACACACCACCAAAGAAACCGCCACCAAAGGGCCCTCTTCGCAACCGGAGCTAGGACAAGAAGAGGAAGTCGTCGCCCTCCCCCGCTCCGCCAAGTTCCTCGACTGGTTCCTCGATGGCGCGGAGAAAGCGCTCGAGAATGCGCAGGCCGAGCAGGAAGAGTTCAAGACGCACGGGGCCGAGAAGGCGCTGCAGGCGGGCAATGGGGAACCGTTTACGTATGAGGAGATGCGGGTGTTGGTGGAATTGTGCTATTCAGCGATTCTGAAGGGACCTGCGGGCCGGGAGAGTAGTCGGGAGGACTTCTTGGCAGCGAAGAGGGCCTGTGGAGATGCGTTGTTGAGGTTGAGTGAGTTTATGTGGGATTCGTAGTGTGGGAAAGGGAATACGGAATGGCAAAGGAATATCAGTTGCGTGTGTGGATGTGTGGATGTGTGGATGTCTGTTTTGGCGATTTCATTTCCTTTTTTTTTTTTTTTTCGTTCTTGGATTTCAGACTTTAAGATCCTTTTGAACTCCCTGTCCTTTTTTTTTTATGAGCTTGCTTCACTTTTCTATTGTTACCTTACCTACCCCTTCTTCCGCCGTCGATGGGGATGGCATATTTATTATCTACTCTGGCATGTAGCATAACACACTTCCACAACTTTCCAATTCCCATCTATTACTAATGCGTAGGACCCCCAACTCTCATCGTGGATGACCCTATCTCCTCCCTCCACACCGGCTGTACGTAGATAGTAATATATCTCCTGGCCGTAATACGCTGCGGCCCCCCTCCAGCAAACTCCCATCGACCGATTTTCCTAAATACCCAACCTGTCCGTTCTGGAACGAAATAAACCCGCAGACCAGAATCGCCACATGCAAGCCACATATACACGTGCATATACATCCATCCATCCATCCATGCATATATTGTTGGGGGTTTGGATTGGCTCGTCCTCTCTACTACCAGCATGGCGCTGGTGTGAGAGAGCGCTTTTGCCCCAGTGGCCTAACATATATAAACATTTCACCGACCGACAAATGGCCGAATGCCACACACCATCAAACAAATGAATAAATAAAACAGATGGATAGGTAGGTAGGTCAGTAGATCAAATAGATCATACCGACAACACCGCTAAAAACTTACCTAGCCTTGTACGTTAACTGTAGTTTTTGTAAAAATTCATATATCATCAATTTGCTTCAACTATTTATATATATATATAATTCATTCTTTCCTTCCCCGAGTGAAGTAAGTCGGGAAAAAGCAGATAGTGACGCGATAGGAGAAAAAAGAAAGGGGAGAATAAAACATGCACGCAGAGCAGCAGGCAGTAAAGTCAAAAGATAGATGAATAAATAAAGGATGAACTAGATATACTGGATTTCAGTTCATCAAATTTAGCGCGAAGACGAACAGAAAAGCGGGGGAAGGGGATTCTTTTGGTTTTTTAGAACCGGGAAGAATAATTGGTGCACACAAGGGAGGGTTCTCTGCCGGAGAGGGCTGTGACTCGACTTATTTCAACTGGAAGGGGAGGAGGGGTGAAAGGTGGGAAAAAAAGAAACGGATTCATTTTTAAATACAAACCCTTCAAATTAAAATAGATAATAAATTCAAAAAAAAGGACATGTAAATCATAGCAAATAAATCAAATAAAATTCAGCAATTAAAAGGAAATGATAAATATATAAAAATGTAAAACAAAAGTATAAAATCAACTCGTTGCCAGCCAGTGTTACGACAAACATAACAGAAGCAGTGCGATAAGAACATAGAAATGAGAGAATAGGAAGAAATAAGGGGTTTGTTCATGGTTGGGAAAATATAAAGAATAGAAATAGAAATAGAGAGGGGGATAGATAGGGTGGCCCTGCGAAACGTGGGCAAGAGGAAGCTGTGTTATAAAACAAAAAGCAGCAGAGCGACATTCCAGAGAAAACAGAACTCACAAATAATAGTAATAGTAATAGTAAAATAACAAAACCAGTAAAAACAGTAAAAAAATTAAAAATAACAATAAACACCCCGTACGAAAAGTTGAGATAAAAGGTTATGTAGGAAAGAAATAAAAATTGCAAACCATGAAAGACGGCGTGGGGGAGGAACAGTATGAAAACTGAAAAATAAAATGAAACCCAGACCAAACAACCCAATATAAAAAGTTATTTTATTTTTCAACATCTTTCACCTACTCCTGCCCAATCCCCACTTGTCCGACCTGCTGCACCTGCTGTTGCTGCTGCTGCTGCTCCCCACCCCCATCAACATCCAACAACCCCAGATCCTTCTCATCGTCCTCGTAATCACCAAACTCCAGCCCGGCATCTCTACACCGCTGAATCCATTTCCTCGCCACTTCGCTGCGCCGATTTACCTCGCTCTTCAGCTTCGTGTTCTGCGCGCTGATCTCCGCCAGCGCGTGGTTGGTAGTCATGTTGGCCGTGTCCCAGCGCGCAGCCATGTCTTTGGCCTCATCTTGCAGTTTGTTGATGTAATGGATGGCGCGCTGCAGGATGGAGCCCTTGGCTTTCTCGCAACCGGGGACCATCTTGGCGATCTCGTTGATGCCTTCGTTGATTGCTTCGCGGCGGCGGCGTTCGACTGGATTATTGTTCAGGTTAGTAGGTGCTGGGGTATTTATTCGGCAATGAAGAATGGCCATCTCTCACCCTCTTTATGGTTATTTTTGCGAATGGTATGCCACTCTGCAGACCCGACCGTTGGTTTTGGGTTGATATTCTGAGCCTCGCGCGCCGCATAGACGGCGGCAGCGGTCGAGTGGCCATGCACGTTGGTCATGGGAACTTGGTTAACATCCTCGGGGAACGTGAGACCGTGGGCCATCGCGGCGTTGTTCTCGAAGCTTGGATCTGGCGGAGGGTATTTGGACTGTGGGCTGTGTGCGGCCAAAGCAGCCTTGGCTGTCATGGCGTTGTCGTCAGACACCCCATTCTGATTTCCTACATGCTGTAAGAGCTGTTGATCGATTTGGCTGAGCTCAGTTGTGTTGGCGGGCAGGCCATGGGTGTCGTATCCTGATGGATGAACAATGTTAGTTACTTGCCATGTAGCTATTTGAATGTGGCAAGATGGTTGAAGGTGTGTCTGCATGCGAACGAACCATGGAGATTCCCGTTGGAGCTTTGCCCATGGGCAGAGCGTGTCATACGCTGTCCGTCGCCAGCGTCCATAATTTCACGCTTTCGCTTATTGGAGCCCGTCGTTCCGTCTGTGGGATTCATTTGCTGGTCGGACATAGTTCGTTGGGGCTAATTCTTCGGCGTATCTACATCAATTTACAGGTAGTGTTAGCAACATTGTCGCACGAAATATGGGAAACAACGCTATGGTACAAGTGATAGAAACATTTCCAGCTCGGGGAAACAGCTCCAATTGGGTCACGTCAAAAAAGGGGAGTCGATCCATCTCCAACGGGCAGCACCAAATGCTGGAGATTGAAAGGGTTTTGTGCAAGGAAAGCACCCGACTGACATGGATGCCAAAATGGAGGTGGCGGGGTACTCCGATTCAATTTCGAGCTAGACGATCCGCAAACAGGATAGGTTGCAAATCCCCTTACACACCCCCACTGAGGCAGTGCTGCAGAAGACTCATTGTCCTCTGAGACCGAGGAAACACAGCAGGGCCAGGAGGGGAAATAGTGGCCGGAGCACCCATTCGCACTGACCGTGCTGTGTCACCAGCCGTGGTAAAACAGCTGTGGCAACAGAACGACGAATGAGATATCCCAGGGAGAGCCCGGAAATGCGATTAAGTTGGTAGAAGAGTGATATCCAGGCGTAATGTGCAACCCGTTCGATGGAGGGGTGATAAGAGAAAAGAAGAACAACGAAAATAGAGGCAGGGAGGGGGAAAAGCCCACCACACTGAGATGGCAAATCTGGATAGATGGGCAACGTAAAACCCGTACTTTTTGAGGACTTGGATCCTATTGTATTCTGAACAGGTGACAGCCGTAGGTTAGCTGGAGGCCGGCTTTATAGACGCGTTTGAGGAGGGAGGAGGTAATAGTGATCACGAATCGAGTACAGAGCAAGCAAAGCCCGGCAATCTCTTAGAACGGCCAGGCCATCGCACACAAGAAAAACATCGCGCGATCAGAACGGGCGACGCTATTCAAGGGTCACGGGAAGGGGGAGATAATGATGCTCTTGATAGTTGGGGACGGTAGCGGGGGATGAGGAGGACAGGGGAAGACATGATAAGAGAAATTCGGGCAATTGATGCGAGAAAAACTCGCGAACAGGAAACAGAAGAAAGCGATTTTGAACTTGACGAAGCAGACGACGTTGGACGCTGGGGATGCCTGGGATGCCGGAGATGAAGCAGATGAGGTTCTTGAAGCCGCGATCGCGATCTGTTTGACTTACCCGCTGGCGGTTTTATCAGGTGACAACAGGTCACCTGCTCTCTGTGGAGCGGATTCGATATAGATAGAGAGATGGAATTCGGTATTGGTCTGCAAAAAGCGGGAAAGAAAATGAATAAAAACGGTGTGCTTGGGGATGACGAGAACAGAGAGCAGCGGCAAGAAATCAGGCGCAAGAACCGGGGGAGATGGCGGAATGGACGGTGGTATATAAGCTCTGTTCTGCTATACAGACACTCGCAGTCCGCTTGCTGCTGGAGGAAGAGAAGAGGACTCACGTGGCGACGGCGGAGGAGGAGGAGCCTCGCTTATTAAGACAGGCCGGCTACGGTGGGCGGAGCAGGCACAACACGCAGTAATACAGCAGCAAAGAACAGGACAAATAGTTGCCGTGTCTCTTCTTATCTCATTTCTGACCCGCTTTCTATGTCCACCACCCCCGCGTTAGATTAGATATCACCACCGCCTTCACCCCGAAATCAACATCGATATCATCTTATCAACTTTCGACTTCCTTTCTCCACCTCCTCGGCGGATCATGTGCCCCAATCCCGTGGGCTGTCGTGTGGCTGGCTGACCAATCAGCCGTCCCCTCGTCCCTCCCGCGTCTGATTGGCTCTGCACCGCCCTCGGATCACGCGCCCTGTCTAGCCTCTTTGGGCCACACCGCTAGCCCCCTTTTGGATGCGTTGGGTGTGCATTCGAGGCCCGTGCGCCCGGGGCAGCTGCACGTGAACGCGGCTTGCCCTAATTGATTCCGCATCGATCCTCCGGCCTCGTCCCCATTTTGGCAGTTGTAGAGGCCGAGGAAAGGGACTTGAAAGGGATACTAAGAGTACTTGCATCCCGCCGCTGGCTATGAATGGACATGCATCCATACCTATCTACCTACACACCTTCCGGTTTCCAGTGCTAGTAGTGCCTGGGTGTGCAACAAGCGCGCCGAGTTTCCACTTAGTCTCTGCCCCGCCTGATGGTCTCTCGTCTTCAATGCTGCGGCGCTCTTCCCCTACACCCCCCTCCTCCCCCTCCCTCCCTCCTCCCTCCAAGATTCCATTTATTCTGCTACCTACGATGCTGCTCTGCATATCTCCACCCTCTTTCCAGCTTCCACGGGGGGGGGCTGACCACCTCCAGAGCAGTCTCCCCGTGATTACGGATAACCCTGCTGTCTAGTCCATCATACATCTACTTCTGATTCTCTCCCACCACATACACAGCACCCCACTTGCTTGCCTTGCACGCGCTGCATACATGGAGAACATGGCTGTATCCGCCTCACCCTTCTGAAAACAAGATCAAGCAGATACATGGGGAGCACGGCCACAAGAAGGAGAGATTGGAGACAGTTGGATAGAATGAGGGAATTGAACGAACAAGATCAAAAGCATCATTCCCCTCCACTTCCCCACCTTTCCCACTAGCATCAAAACATAGTAATGTTTTAAAAAGCCTCTTCTATGCTATGATATCCAATCAGGACTTGCTTCTCCACTTACGCGTTTTGTGCTTGTGATTGTGGTGGTTAGCTTGGCTTCTGTTTTGCTGAAGGGAGGTCACGGTTCACAGAGTAACTACTATTCGTGAGAGAGGATTGCGCAAGGCTGCTATGCCGCCCCAAAAAAGAAACAAAGGAGTTCAACAATGTTAGTTGGGGATTGGGACGTAAAATCAGGTATATAAATGAATATGAAATAGAAGATGATGTTGGCAGCCCTGACCCATGCCTTTATTATTATTAAGAGACCTGCGCGTGGTAAGATAGTCCCAATCAACTAACCTTCCACCTCCATCAGTTGGGAAACAAAAATAGAGAAAACAAAACCAGAAGTGCCGGGAGAATGGGGTTATGTTATCTGGATTAGTTATTAATTGTATTTTTAATATCGGAACCGCGCGTTCCAGCGAGTGAAAATAAGCATCGCAACCAATTTTCATATTACCACCCCTTGCCAATGAAGGGGTGAAGTGTATCATTATCAAACCAGCAACCTCGGGCCATTGCGCGATGAGGTGGAAAGTATGAGACAGGTCAGAAAATTAGAATTCCCCATACTGTCACACCCCTCATCTTCGCTATCTATGTACCAGCATCCATAGCTGTACATATGCATGCACACATTGTATACACGCCACAAACGTTCATCCTCGTCAATCATCATCATCATCACCATCATCCCTGGCACCCCCCATCCGAAACACCCACCTCGGCTCCGCCTCCGTATCAACAAAACAGACCCCTTCCTCAGCACGGCCCAGCATCTCCCACACAACAATCTCCGCCTCGTCGCCCGGCCCTCCCCGCTTCCCTCTACCTACCCGCCGAATTCCTACAACACAGCTAGTCCCCGCATACCTTGCCACTCCATCCCCATATTCTCCAATTCTAAACCCGCCCTCTTCAACCCCTACTCGATTCGCAAAGACGATAATAACATCCCCGTCCCCCTCCTCTCCCTTTCCCTCCCACCCCGTCTCCCTAACCCCCCCACCCCCCACCAACGGCCAAAACCGCGTCAGCCAATACCTGAACGTCTCCAAATCCGGCGCGCGCAACGCAACGCTCTCTCTTCTCACTCCCCATACCCCC